TAAATAGAAAAGTAGATGGGAGCAAGATATCGATATAATGACTTGAAGTGGCATTTGTGGCTTTGAGTGTATGGTTGACGAACGCTTGGAATGAAGCCAAGCAGCGTGAGAAAGATGCTGCATGCCTGGAACAACGGGGCTGGTGAAAGTCCAGAGAGAACTGATCCTTTCAGTTTCGATTACTTTTGTTTGTTTCCAAAATGTGTATGAACGTGATAGATCCATCCATCCAACAATTACATGAGTTCAGGTCCGACGAAGACGGACTATACTGAGAATCTTGCAGCCTTTTCATTGCAATAAAAGGAATTCGTTCCAGCGGAAAAATGAGTTCATTAAGTTACAGTGATGAAAGTTAGTTTACTTCACTTCATACTTTTTCCCTCGCCATCCGCAAGTCGCACATTTTTCGTGAAATCCTTCAACAAAGATTCTCCCGGATAATGGAGTTGGATGGAAAATGTAACTTCCAGTCACCATCACAGTAACCCAGATTATTATACTCCATCTTCTATCTGTATTAGATCCAACACAAAGCTACTGCTGTCTCTACGTATAAAAAAAGTCAAAGAAAATACGGTGAATGGGTGGTTGTAACTCATTCTGGAAACTGGATCAGCTCGTGATGTTAAGCGGGGCATTGACAGAGATCAATGAATCTATATTATGACTCAATCAATCAAACGCACTGCAAAAACCAACTTTTCATTTACCGACTTTTTCATTTTTGCTCCTCAACCTCAATAGTGGGTTTCATCCGGATATACATATGTGACCCATGATATGTATGTACGTACATATACCTAACGTGGTACAGAGAGTTTGGTGGTGTGACTGGATGGGAAGAACGCCCATTTTGTTCCCAAGCTTAAACTTTGCAGTTTTCTTTCAACAAACTTGATACCGTATTGATATCTAGGGAAAAAGTTATGGGAACGAGAAAGTCCACAAAAGCAGATGAGACGAAAGATGAGGAAGATGAGCCTTGAGATAATTCAGCTTGGTTTCGACTTACAAGAAACTTTATGTTACATATGTATGTAGTCTGAAATTGAGATTTTCATTGTACCAAAATGAACCTCACACACACAAGCTCCAACCAAACCACACACACACGAACATACAAACACATGCATGCAAACAATCCAGAGTGGTTCATTTTTCATTCCTAGGCAGACAACATTTTCAGTTCAAAAGAAAGTAGTGGAAAATGCTCATGATACTTTAGAAATAAAACACTTTCTGTTCAAATATGACGTCGTGGTTGTTTAGTTTTTAAGACAGGCAGGCACCAGAGTTAACTCTTTGCAGAACATGTTGGTGGTGATTCCTATTCAAACTGACTGAAACTTTAATTCATATTCCAATTCCCTGAACGATGAAAAACGTGCTCAATCTTCCGAACGTGAGCTTTAGCTGGCTGCCCTTTAAAAACTAGGTCGGAATTCTGCCCTATTCGTATAACTCTCATTCAATTTCGGGTTGAGAATGTCTTTGATATATTTGCATACTATTCTAAATATAATATTATTTTAATATTCTAAACAAACCCACCTGAGTGAAAGTTCTGCTTATAATCTGGTTTGTGGTGGCGATGAGAAGGTATTCGAGAGTTACCTCTGAACAGGTAGCTTAAAATATTTATCCCTTTCGTTTGATTTTCTAACTGACTCGGTGTAATTTCTCGTATTTATTCACGGCGACGAAACTGGTGGGATTGGATACACGGAATGATAGTAATTTGCATTCATACATAAATAAATAAATCTGAGGTCTTTTGCCACTGGCAATCTCTTCTTTTGTAAACTTGAGCTCCCAAAAGTTTCGAGTAACAAGGAATAGCATAATAGTTACAAAATGGAACGAAGCGATTTTCATCCAGCGAGGAGACAGGAGTAGCACGAGACTACACATACAAGGACATTTTGCATCTGATATAATGATACGGAAGCAAACAGAACCAAAGTCACCCATCCATCTTCAACTTGTCCCTTGCTTACTCGTGAAAGCAAAACTCGACAAGATTCGAAAGTTTGGAATTCCACAACAAAAATACCGTTGACTTGTGACCTTTTGGAGTGGCAGTCATGAGAACAGAGGAAGCTTTCTCCCTCAGCTATGTCAGCACTCCAGAGCACGGAAAACAATGCATGAGCATGTATGTAGTCTGTAAGTGTGGTCCTCGTCATTCTTCCTGCCTTGTGTACGTAGATATGCACATAGATATGTATGTACGAATTCACCAAGTGAATTTCGTGTATCATGCAGAATTTATTGGAGGCTCGTGAGCCCATGTATTCCATCCCAAACTAGTTTATTTTTGTTGCATGTTAGAAAATGTTATTTCGCTTTTTATTTTGCTTGCTTTTCTTATTTCTTGTGGGAATATCTACATCGTCTGAAACACAGCAAGCGAAGGAACAAAGAAACCAGGTAAATCAAAGAAATGCAAGCTTTCACTGGACTCTTGCTTTACAGAACAACATTAACCAGGTAGGTAAATAGGTACGTACAGAAGCAGAGTCGTGGTACGGCCTGAGAAGAGTGATTGAGTAGAGCACGATTTAGCCAAATCGCTGAACTGAATTAAAGTTTGATTCTATACGTTTGATTCTATAAATGTACAGTTTAGGAAGTGAACTGCTCAGAAAATTGAATAAAAGGGAAAAAAACTGTTAACTGTTGACTATGCTTCCTGCTTGCTTACTGACTGGAGAAAGTTCGTTTCGGTAATTGGATGGTCTTGTCTCTGCATATTATTTTTCCCTCGTGTTCCAGCCCATTTGAGGTTTATCGGAATATGTACAACACAATATACATGGATGGAAAATTTCCCTGAGCAGGACTATCCTGAAATATCCTCTGCACTTCATGTAAAATTAGAAAATAGGCATATTAGCAATTGCATTCGTAGTGCGGCAAATCATTAAATGTGTGTCGGTTAAAGTACCTAAAGCTCCGTAAAACTGCAGCTTATTTCTTGATCCTCCAGAATACAGAACATAATGGAGTATTTTTGATAATACGAGATATGTGTGTGTGTATCTCTTGTATATTTACTGCTGGTAAACGGTGATTATTTCCAAGCATGGCATAAAGTATGGATTTACTTCCAGTGTTGCAAAATTACTTGTGTATGTATTCAAAGCTTGTAACGGAGGGAAAGAATCGCCGTAAACTTTTCTCAAAGGGCTATTATTAATGCAGAACTCTCACCAGGCAAAGGCGGCTGTTAAGTCAGTCGCCTTAATAGCCCTTATGTTGGATTTACACTCATTTAATGCCTTCTCCAATGAGAAAGTCCAACGGAAGGCTGGAGGAAAAAGTTGATAATAAACGCAAAAGAGTATCCCCCACAACCAGCACAAACTTAAACTCTCCATCTTTATTGCTGATATTGGTGCTAGGGCGCAGCGAAATTGGGGTGAAAGTGGTCAACTTTGCACACTGAATAAAACAATAAAGCTCTCCTCCAATGGTAAGAAATGAGACACAATTTTATCCAAAGGGAAAGCCAATTTCGACCGGAAATCTGGAATTTCCTTGTGTGGATTACAATGGAAGTAAGAGCAGCGTGTGTACATACATGTGTTCCTACAAGTTTGTTTATTTTAGAGACATGAAGATATACGAGATTGTAACTCGCCCACCACACACATTGAATTGCAACAATTTGGTTGTCCAAAAATAGGAGGCGATCTCGAGGTGGTATATGCATTACGTTCTTACGTACATGACACAGACCATGGCGAGTAAGAAAACAATAGCCGCTTGGACTTTCGTTATACGCGTAACTCGGTTAAAGAAAAGTGGAGCGTCAAGTAAATCTGGGCAGTGATCGATCTTGTAAATCGTTACCAATTCAAATCAACAAATTCCTTTGGCAAAGACAAAGAAGTTGAACAAATAAAATCTACCATTCAACGTGGCGCTTATCTTTACTCTCTTAAATTGAATCATGCGTCGTCTGACTTTCACGTTATAAATATGTTGTGCAATAAATTCAAGTCGGAAAAGGATACTCAAACATTTACACAAGGTGCAATATGGAACTGAAACAATTATGACTTGCACAAATTGCTACTAAAATACACCGTCAACCACTTGACCGATTTTGTTCATCGACCTTAACTCCTAACTTTGTCCAACATATGCGTGTGTAAAATTTGAACTCAATTGGTTCAGCTATTTTGGTCTCTTGGTCATTCGGCTCTATCGTGTTTCGGACAGACAGACAAACACGATTCAATGAACCCTGACTCGGGCTTCAAATTATTATAAGGTTAAATTATGGGATTTCTGAGCGTTATCTTGACCGAAAAAGCTTACATACATATTTGCATATGTTTGTACAAAGAAGCTTCGTAGTTTACACAAAGAATGCAAATTTAAATATTACTCTAAGGCAGCGACACAAGTCATTAGCCATCGTAATGATGGCTCTGCGAGTTATATTTCAAGCCACAAAATACATATACTTACCACGCAAACCGCTAAGACCTGCATGAATTTATATGCCATACTTATGCCATTAGACGGGGCTGACTCTGCTCGTATGATATGCTCGATAGATTCAGGATGTGATTTATTTCTTGGAAACATACCCAATCGTAATTGGAAAAGTTGTCCTTCTCAAATTCCTCTCCACTCTTACTATTTACGATTTAGCAGTTACAACAACCAAGAATGTTCACACATGAGAGTAGCTCTGTTACTTATAATAATTATATAATAGTGGGGCCGTGATTACCTTGCATGCGTGGTTGCATTACATGCTTTCACCGTCAGCACCACACCACTCGTACATACATCAGCATGAACCAAAATGTGATTTGAAACAAGCACGGAGACGAATTAGTCAATGTGGGGGTGTGATATGCTAGGTAATTGGCAGTGTACAACTATATTTACACATATAAGTAAATACATGCTACCAGAAGCTAAACTAATGTCCCTCCTGAGAACATTTGCTGCTTACTTAGTTTTGCTTTAACTCTTACCTTTTTTATTATACGATGATCTAGTTGGGTACCCCGATGCGAATATAAATCACAAAACGGACCAAAAATCTACCGCACCTTTGACGTGCATACAGTGTCTCAAAGTGGATGAGAACACTAAACTTGCTTGTTCCTTCAGCGTGTTATACGTTATCAACCTTGCAAATTTTTCCGACTTGTCCGGTAAGTTGGTGGACAATGACCGATCGGTGAATCACCACCTGCGCTCACTCACGGAAGCCACATTGCTGATAGCAATTTATGGAGAAAGTCTGGCAGAGGAGGAGCGAGCTGAGCGAAGGTCAGGATGAAACTGAGAGTGGGGTTGCGAGAGTGAGTCGACTTTTACCACGAATTCTTATTTATTCAACTCCCCTGCTTTCTCCGTTCTCTTCTCCCCTCATTTGACTCCAACGAGACCACTGGACGACAAAATTATTCTGTGTGTACAATTTCTGCATCGATTACACAAAAATAAAGTCTTTGCTTAAAAACAAGCTCAGGCCATCCTTATTTATTTGCATATTTTAAATGTGTATACTATCTGCAAAAGTTTAAAAATTGTAAAAGTTCGTTGTTCCGGTTCGGGGTAAGAATTATTTTTAACCCAGCTCAGTTCGTTGATGAATGACATCCATTTAAAATAGCCGGTTGAAGTTTCAAAGTGAGTTATTGGTTCGGCATGGCAAAATGCAAAGGTAAAGGTAAACTTTGTAAATACTTAGTTATTTATAACCGATTACCACAATGTATGTTCAATTATTCACAGCAATAATAATGCATAAGTGGGTGTATCAGTCTGAGTTCATTATACATACGCACTCATGCATGCACACATACATAGATCTAAAATATATGCATATTATTGGTAGTCAAATATTTAGTGGTTGTGTAATCTCCAATCCATCATTTCCCTTACATTTGTGCACCTGTGTCTTGTTAATCATGAATAGAAATACTTAATTGACGTGTTTACGGCGTAATAGGCAGCATTGTATTACACATATTAGTTTTTTCTCCCGTTCCAAAGTTATGTAAAGCTATGTATGCAGAAAGCAAATAACAAAAAGCATCGCATGTTAATCATTTCACTGACAAATTTGCCCTTCACACTCAATTTGCCACTTGTATAACGAGCTGCAAATTATTGATTGTCGATGTTCATATTTATGTGTATCAAGGTATGTTATTAAGGAGCTGCTATTCGCATCACGAACGTACAATGATGTTGTCTTTGGTCCATACTATTATTGTGGCACTACTCGTCTTAGGATTAGAGGCATCATTTCGTAAGTAGTATTATATTTAGCCTGAAGTATGAAATTATTAAGAGCTCGTCGAGGCTTTGGTCTGATTCATTTTGGTTAATATAGTAACACTTTCAGTTTGAGATTAGTACTACAGATTCCGGTGCAAAAATGTCTACTACTACATTTGTTGTCAAATACTTTCCCCCCACGGTTAGCAGAATTAATAGTAATAGTAATTTATTTTCTGAAATGAATTGCACAGATGAAGTGAATCCCAATCTTAAACAAAACGCCGATTTGAAGACTTTGGTGCTAAACTCGTATATCTCAACAACAAGCTATGTAGCCCCATCAGAAGCCAATTTGACTACTGCTCAAACACTTTTTGAAAAACTTTTGGAAACTAGAAGTTTTTCTGCTGAAGATGTGGCAGCATGGTCAAGTCTAAATTTAAAGATTCAACGAGCCACCGATCAAAGTGGAAGACAATATGCCGTGATCTCCGAAATTGACCCAGCCACTGGACATGGGCATGGATTTTATGCAGTTAAATTAGGATTGGTGTCAATATCTGAAAAGTCACAATTTCTGCACGCCCCTCACCGACCTTCAGACTTATACACTCATGAAATAATGTTTGACATGCTGACCCTGACGGATGTATTTGGAGGTGGTGCTTGGGCAACAACTCATCGAAATATGGTTGACCTGTGCAAAGAACCAAGTTCATATTACAATAGCTTTACCAAAGCGGTTGCCAAAGCGGTGTCAGTCCCAACCATTCTTCAAATTCATGGTTTTGCCAAAGAATCCCAAGAGGTGGATGTTGACGTAGTGTTCAGTTCTACCAAACGAGTGATGCCCCCGGAATTTGTGACCCTTGCAAACTGTGTAAAGGCCCAACTGAACCCATGGATAGTGCTACGATTTCCGGAAGAGGTGGATTTTTTGGGAGGAACTCTTAACATTAATGCGGAATTGTTTTATGAAGTAAACGCAGCTGGGAAATTCGTACATTTCGAAACAAGTAAGGAGTTAAGGGACGAATTGCGAATTAACTCAACTCTCAAATTAAAAATTTGTGAATGTTTTTAAAATTGTTTATATATCATGTATGTAATAACTGAATAACAATAATTTTATTCTGGCCTTGTTTTTGGTACAATGTAACAACTAGATTCTTTTATTACGACTCATAATCAACAACAACATACACAGGAAGTAGCAGTATAAGTAAGGATAACTAAAACGAGTACAAAATATAGTTGTCTTGTTCACTTTTTTTCAAACAATCATACTCTCAGACTATGGTGATGTTCCACTACGTTTAAAGATTACATCATGCCACCCATTCCCCCCATCCCTCCCATGCCACCCATTCCACCCATACCTCCCATTCCCATATCCTTTTCTTCCTTTGGAATTTCGGTAACGACAGCTGAAATTAATAATAAATCATATGATTATCTAAATTCTGATTACTACTTAAGCTTTCAAACTGATAAAATGTACGAACCTTCAGCAGTGGAAAGTAGAGAGGCTATTCACAAATAATAAAAACAAACATTTATAATGATTTAAGTTGTCATCATGCGTTTTTGTGAATGGCTTTTTTCAAGTATACAATAAATAAATAAGCTTACCGACACCGGCGGCATCCATTAAAGCCGTTCTGACTACTTTGGTAGGGTCGATAATACCAGCTAGAAATGAATAAAAAAAGAATGTCAACCAGCGGAGTCATGTTTAAAGTCTCATGCGAGTCTAACCTTCAATCATATTGCAGAATTTGTCGTTGAGCGCATCGTATCCAAAGTTAACGTCCGCGTTGTCCATAACTTTTGCAACAATGAGGGATGAGTCGACTCCAGCATTCTTAGCAATTTGTTGGCACGGTTGAGTAAGTGCCTTTTTGATGATATCGACACCGATTTTCTGATCATTGTTGGCAGTCGAAAGGCTGTCCAATGATTTCAAGCAACGGATTAAAGCGGTTCCACCTCCAGGAACGATTCCTTCTTCTACAGCTGCTCTGGTAGCTTTAAATACAAATTACAAACTTGAATCAATTTCATCAATAACGGTAATAAAAATTATCCCGTAACCATCAAAATAATTGATGCAATACCCCCTTATTTTCATACAATTACATTTTAATCCAGAGCTATTTTCTTACCATTTAAAGCATCGTTGACTCGATCTTTCTTTTCATTGACTTCGATCTCACTAGCTCCTCCAACTTTAAGAACAGCCACACCTACAAATAATCATTAAACAGAATTATAATAATGCAATTAAATTAATCAGATATTTAAATTGCATGAAATTCAAAGACTAATAATAATTATTACCAGCCGCCAAACGAGCTAATCGTTCTTGCAACTTTTCTTTCTCGTATTCAGAGTTTGTCTCCTTGATTTGATCCTTTAGAGTTTCAACACGTCTATCAACATCGTCCTTTTTACCCTTTCCTTTGAGGACTAGGGTATCATCCTTAGTAATCACACATTCACCAACTTGCCCAAAGTCACTCATCTGTTTCATAAAATACAAATTAATGAATGCACACAAGAATAAACTCAGTCCCCAGAATATTCTAGAAGAATATTAGATTAGTCGCGTACCTTGATATCCTCGACTTTCACCAGGTCAGCTTCGTCGCCAAAGACCAATCCACCGGTGGCCACAGCCATATCGTGAAGGGTATTTTTGCGATTGTCGCCAAAGCCAGGGGCCTTAACTGCTGCGACTTGAAGACCAATCTTGATCCTGTTGGTTCATAGTAAAATAGATTTTAAAAAGATTGCAAAAACCTTTGCAACCGGCTCAAAAAGAAAGGTTAGAGCAGCTCACCTGTTAACCACAAGGGTAGAAAGGGCTTCGCCATCAACATCCTCAGCTGTAAATGTACAAAACAGAACACTGAAATAATATACTACTGAGGTAATCATTAATCAATCAGGGACTGATATCGAGTTTTAATCATACATAAAATTAGTTTAATAAAGCCAATTAATCTATTTCTTACCAATAATGACCAAGGGTTTGCGAGCCTGGTTGGCCAACTCCAAAGCTGGGATGATGGATTGAACGGAAGAAATTTTCCTTTCGGAAAGTAAAACTAAACAGTCTTGAAACTCAATCTTGGCTCCCTTGGCCGTGTTAATGAAGTATGGCGAAATGTATCCTCGGTCAAACTTCATCCCCTCGATCACCTCAAGTTCGTCCAGCAGGGTTTTTCCATCCTTGACAGTAATAACTCCATCCCTTCCAACCTTATCATGGAAAAAGTAATTATTTCACTCATAACATTATTCATTGACTAACAAAAGTAAAATTGCAATAATGCTATTACCTTTTTCATTGCATTTGAAATCAGATCTCCAATAGCTCGGTCACCATTCGCTGAGATTGCGGCAACTTGTGCAATTTCTTCTGGAGTTTCCACATTTTTCGACATCCTCTTCAATTCGGCAATAACATGATCAACAGCCAACATTACACCCCGACGAATTTCGACTGGGTTAGCACCCTTGCTAATCTTCTCAAATCCTTCTTTAGCAATTGCCCTTGCTGAAAATAAGTAAATATTGTGGCAATTGTTACTTGATGGCGTGTGGGAAAATGATGTAATATTTTGCATATTAAATAAAATATAAATAAACTTACCCAAAACCGTTGCAGTCGTTGTGCCATCTCCAGCCTCTTCATTTGTATTGTTAGCAACGTCTTGTACCAATTTAGCTCCGATATTTTGGAATTTGTCTTTAAGTTCAATGGCTGAAAGAATTGTTTGCACGATTAATTGACACCGCCATAGTATAACTTTCAACAACTTGTATTAATCAATTTGCCAGAGATGTAAATAGATTGGTTTAATACCCTTTGCGACAGTTACACCGTCCTTTGTAATTTTAGGAGAACCCCATGATTGCTCAAGGATCACATTTCTTCCCTACAGGCAATTTACAAGATATACATAATTTGAATGGATTATTATAATCAACATTATTAATATCTAATAATCTAGTAAACTTTGGTACCTTGGGTCCCATTGTGACTGCGACAGCATCTGCAAGAATATCAACCCCAACCAACATTTGTGCTCGGACATCAGCACCGAATCTGACATCTTTGGCATATCCGCGACGATGGGACACCGACACGCTTGGTGCTGTTGACGAAACAATTGGAAATAGCCTGGCGTTTGCCACTTGACGGGCTAAATTTGGAAGACGGTACATCTGCATAAAAAAATTCTCAAATTAATAGTTTATTCGACTCTTCGCAGTAAAAAAAATATAAATCATTACCTTTTAATCAGTTGAAAGAATTAAAACTTTTAAGTAACAAAATGACAATAGAAAAACTTTTATTAGAGAAAATTTTTGCTGACGAGTACACTCAAACTGAACACAGAGTGGCAAATTATTCGTCAAAGAATTTTAAATAATTAAAGAATGAAGGTTTTTATAGACGAATTATTTTGCTGTCTTGTCGGCCAGAGAATTGAAGTGAAGAAATCTGATGAAATCGAATGCAGGCAGCAAGTCTTCCTCAAAACCGGCATGAAATCCCCTCCTCCTCCGTCCGCCATGTGCGAATCAAGTCTCATGGCCCCCACGCTGCATGAATTTATCATCTGCCATTCAACCAGGTTCGCTCAACTATCATGAGAATCATTTAAAAGTCCATTGATTCAATGTATAAAATATCATTAATTTACAGACACAGAGCATCAATTATGACGCCTGCCATGGATGATCTGAAAACCTGGATATGCTCGTTACGGGCCCGCACGTCCAGAAGTTTCCATGCTGAGGCTCCATTTTTGAGGGTCGTTCAAAAAGATTCCAAAAATATCATGCTTTTTAGTACTAGCTTATGAAAATCGTGAATAGGAAGAAATTTTAAAGTTCTTGAGGAATATTAGAATTATCTTTCTGCGACAAAAAATTGCGTACGAAAAGGAAATTGGAAAGTGTGAATAGGTGCTGAAAGTTGCCTCCACATTTTAAACTTTGAGACAATTTTTCTGTAAATCCGTGGTCACATTTAGATTTCGTCATCTCGTGTTCTTATCCACTGCTGCATCTCTAACACGCGAGACCGGTGTGGTGAATAATTTATATTTGAGGTAATTGTAATTCACTTTTCTAGATATCACAGGATTTCGAAACTTGAAACTTAAGATTTCTTTACTAACTTTCAGATCTTGTCCTGTACAAAGAAAATATTAGTCAATTCTCTTCATTCTCCAGTTAAAACAATCAACTAAAAAATAATGGTAAGTGTTGGTGGAATAGATAATTTATAGATAGATCATTATTATTAACCATGAAATAAAATTAATTTATTAATGCATTTTATAGGCCGCTGCCGCAGCTCGTGCCGTTCAGGCCGCAGTGAAGAAGGTGGTTCCCCTTTTCGATAGAGTGTTGGTGGAAAAGGCGGAAGCTGTGACCAAGACCAAGGGCGGACTTTACATTCCTGAAAAGGCACAAGGAAAAGTCGTCACTGGAACAGTCGTAGCCACAGGTCCTGGTCACAGGAATGAGGTAATTCATAATTTAACCATACTGGATAATTAATTAATATATTATTATTGAGCAAGTATACTGTTGGGTTTTTCGGATCTTTTACACCCCGCCTGCAATGCTTGCAGCTACGTCACGGCCTTATGCAGACATCACATGTTGTGTTTTCATCCGACCATTTTTGGGTCTTATAATGATTCCAAAATTATTTGCATATATTATCCTGAATTTTAGTGTGCAAATTCTTGGTACTTGTAAAAAAGTGCGTTCTACCGTGATGGATGCTACATAATGATCTGTCTGCAGGGTCATCACGTGACTGCAAGCATTGCAGGCGGTCTGTAAAAGATCCGAAAAACTCAACAGTAGAGAGTACATTTCATATATATTCGATATTCTGGTTTACAGAAAGGCGAGACTGTGCCTGTTTCCGTTCAAATAGGCGACTCTGTTCTTCTTCCCGAGTATGGAGGAACGAAGGTCGAGCTTGAAGACAAGGAATTTTTCTTATACCGAGAACATGACATTTTGGCCAAATTGAAGGAATGAAGTATCTTCTCAATATCTACTCTTCTGATCATTCAGCCAAAACTTGTGGAATATTCAATGGCCATATGAATTTAAAAAACAACATAATAACAATAGTCCAAGCAATGTCATTACATTGTTGTCTCGAAGTTGATTAGTCATTTAATTCAGCAACGAGACAAAAATTAAGACCAATTTAAGATCACCACTTGATAAACATGGCTGTCTCTGTAGCTCTTAATAAAATCTAGTTTTGTTAAAATAGATGTTTTAGCGATTAAGTTTGATACCGATGAATGTGTTGAAAGTCGTTTCTAAAATTATTGTCCTCAATCAATAAATTCAATTAATAATTATTTCAATTAGTTTTTATTGCAGCGTGGACTTAACCTAAATGGAATGCATATCCCTCTCGGCTCAATTCAATTAACTCCTCTCTATTCAATCGATATAATTGAAAATCATTCCTCATGCAATTTCATGTGTTCCTCTCCTGTGGGGAATTAGTCGCTTGGGAATATGTCTTCATGATTAGAGCACAGTTAAAATTATGCTTTTCTCATCGTGCATATACACACCCATATTTCTCTAATGATTTCTCTACTGACTAGTAATATCTAATTGTTCATTTATGATTATTTGTGCAGCGATCTATAATACTTCTTTGGATCCGTAATCTAGCAAGGTAGCAGCCAAGATGGAATTGGCGAGCACGCATTAAAAGAGAACAACGCAGCTTTCTCCCGTCGTCCTGCTTTTTCTCGTCGGAAGTTGATGTGCCCCGTTTCCAGACTTCCCATTCCCAGTTCATCCACACCACCACCAGCACCCCTGCGTGCCTCTACTAACCCACGACTACTTTCACTTTGTCTCAATTTACCTCCTCTGTACATTTCATACACATCTCTCATCAGTCACTACGTTTTATTGCCTTGTCGCAAACGTGGAAAAATAAGTAATTTATATTCGAATTCGAGTTTACCATAAAGTTATCGAGTTGAGTTTCTTGATGAAATCATGGCATATTCATTTCTTCATAATTGCGAAGGACACAGTTCCTCTAGATTGAGACACTGTTGGATCTTGATCCTTATCCTCTTCTGTGATCGTCACTGTGCCCAAGTTGATCTCACAATCAAGCCAACGACATACCAAGATAATTCATTATTAGTATCAAATGGGTCTTTCTTTCCTAATTCTACCATCAATATGAGTAAGGCACGTCGTAGTGTTGTACCATCATCATCATCATTCAATAGTCAATCTTCATCCACAGCTAATCTGACCCTACTCTTAATGAAGACGAGCTTTCCCAGGATGAATAGCGAAATTAAGAAAAATAGCTTTGTTCCTCATCAAGTGTTCAATTTAAATGATACGAATCCTATAAATTCTTCTTTGCGATTCTTACACAATGTTGTGGGATCAGGAGTCGGAAGCAAACCTGCTGTAATTTTAACCACCCGCAGTTCTACCACCATGGCTTCATCGCCTGTTCAAATTAAAGACCAACCCGATGTGATATTAAGCAAGTCGAGAACTCTGAGAAATGTGAGAAGGAACAGGAAACTTATTCAGAGTGGTGCCAATACCACGGGCAGCAACGCCTTGTTGAGTTCCGATGGGAGAAAAATCCTTACGATTCTTGGACTCTTTGAATTCAACTACATCACGAAGACTCCGCTGGGGCTGAGGAGGAGAGACAATGGTGAAAGTGAACGAGCTGCTGCTCAAATGGCGTTGGACGATGTGAACGGAAATGACAAGATATTATCGGGCTATAAACTTGTACAAATTACGAATGACACCCAGGTACGTATGTAAATAAATGCACGTGCTTACTGATTTTGTTGCTGCTGGAAGTCACAAAAGTTTCCACAATCGAGTCACAAAATTGAGATTTCGAGATCATTATATTCCATTTCATTCTTCTACCCCAGCCCATTAATAAAGTTATGTATCTTTCTATTTTGAGAGTAAGTTGTTGGCCAGAGTATTTGTCACTCTCCTCACACGTGCATCCATCTGTCAAATTATAGTAAAACTTGAGAAAGTGCCCATTCCTTGATTTTAAGACTTTTACTCAAATAACAATACTCAACTATGATTGCCAACTTATTACATACTTGATTTTATCGTGATTTTGCGAATTGAAGCAAAACTGGATTGCCAATGTTTTGCTATACATAAGTAAGAAAATTTACATTACATTTCACGTCACAGACTAACCGACGCTGACTGACATGATCAACAAACTACACAAATTGACCATATTTATTGACACTTTGATGGCGATGGCGATGTCGTATTATTACCCCATCTACGGTAAGTAAATAAATCAGTGGAAACAAGTTGAAATGTTGAAAGTGAGATATATACATACGTAAATACATGCATATGTAGCGTGTATATGTAGGTGTGCACGTGTGTGTATGTATCTAGATATGACCATCATCCAATTCGAAAGAAGGGATCATTTCCGCGTGCCATTCATCCAATATATCTCAGAGATACAATCACAGATTCTTATTTCCATTCTACCAGCAGCACCCTGCGTACATATGTATGAACGTATGATGCATAGAAAAACTCGTCAAAATTCAATTCAACTAACGGATAAGAATAGAATATAAATATGTGTGCATGTAGGCCTTCACTTTCTTAGCCAATATGAACCTATGTATGCACAATATCGGGGTGTCCTCTTGACTAAAAGCAATTTTAAATATACATCCCTGTCCAAGAAATTTAGTAAATCCAGCTTTGTATCATAAATTAAATTGAATGAGACTTTTACTCAGCATTCGCTGCGGGTTTAGAGATTTTCTGATGTGATCCAGCCTCAAAATGGAGACACCTAATTTAAGAAATAACGTAATTCGCAAAATCTCTCCGTGAAAAGTCTCTTTACTTTTGAATCAATATTTTCGCATTTAGAATACAGAGATGAAATTACACTCGCAATAGTAATGCAGAGAAGGTGAGGGTGATAGGAAGGAATGTGACATAGAATAATATTTATGATCTGAGACGGGAGCAAGGAAAAAATGTCAAGTCGTCTCAAAAGTCAACGTCACACACACACTACGCTCATGCACTATCAAACTAACGTCACCCACAAAACAACCAAATATGTTCCAAAATAATACGACCATTCTCAGCTTTCCAATGCAGAAAATGAATTAAAATTTCCGAAAATTTGTCTCTCTCAAGTTTAGATTTTATTTCCCAATGTGCAGTCTGACAAGATAAATAACGCAGATTTTTAATGACACCATCTTGCAATATAATCTTATTGTTTGAACAAGAAGACTTTATACTAAATACAAAGGAAGGACTTGTCGACAGGCTCATTCATCAGATATTATACGAACTTATTACAGGTATATATGTATAGATCTATGTATACATATCTGTGTGCACACACCGACCAAGAGATCGACGAACGGGATGAAAGAAGCTAGGTTTCCTTCACTCAAAATCTCACAATTTTGGATCTGAATACATCCTTCTATTCATCACTTTTCTATTCATTATGCTCTTATTTAAGGTAAATGTCAATCCACCCATAACGAAAGCTGTGTGTGTGTGAATAAGAATCCCTTGGAAGTGAAAGTCTTTGGAAATCGGCCTAACGAAAGCTTCAATCTCTTAACATATGCATTTATCGTGGTTCATCTCCAACGAGTGGATGAGAGTTTGGATTTCACACAAGTGAACATGCCGAATACGATCAAACAAAAAAGTTCATTTGTAACGTATCACAGAGTTTTCATTGTTCATAACGATCCCGAAAGAAGAAAAAAAACTTCGTGTATGTAAGTATTACTTATTATGAGCAACAGTAAACATTATCTGCAAACGACTGTGGCGGATGTATGATCGAGCAGCAATTAAAGACTTTTCCATAAGTGAGTGAGTTTGAGTTAGTGATGTTGAAGAATCACTAAAAAACATCTACCAACTTTCTCCTTTATTCCTTTGTTCATGCTACAAAGAATCTGGGGGACAAAAATGCAGGAAATTACTTTTATTCTACTACTAATTGTGACAACTAATGTTTTATGGCCCATAGGTCTCGTCCACATACATGAACAACTGAATCGTATTCTACTGCGATAATTTACCTACATATTTCTTCCAGAAATTCAAGCACGCGGAGCACACAAATAATTTCATAAGCCGGTTGACATTTCCTATTCAGTTTTACTTTCCTCTCGTTTCTAGCCTGAATCAGGGCTTAGGGTGCCCATCATCATGTCCGTCCGTCTGTCCGACTTGGAATGATAACCATCGTAAACCTCAAAGGACCGACTTGAAACTTGGTATACATATTCTATGGGGCAATGTAGGAATCAAATTCGAAGATGGACAAGATCGGTCGATTTGTTGGACCGGTGGGGCTACACATTGTAGGACTTTAAGCTTTTATTAAAATTTCTAAACTCACTAAAGTTGACGTTAATTTAAATAAATTTTCCATAAAAATTCAATATTGGGAGAATGACATAGAGTAACAGTCTTGACCTTTCCCCCTTGGATTCATTTATTTGTATGGTTTTAATTTTATCCCATGAATGAAGTGAAAGGTAATCGCTCTGTTTGATTTTTATAGACATCCTGAGACGTAGAAAACATCGTGTCTAGAGCCATTTAAATGTGGGTTATAAGCAATCAACACACCTATAAATTCAGGTAGGAAGTGGAAGGCAAAACGAATTTTGGCCAGTTTCATGCTACTTTCACTCTTGGAAGGAAATTGCCTATTTACATCCCACCCAAAACTTATTCTTTTCTCGTTCTTACATGATTTCTCTTGCACATTACTTCCTCCTCGGTCTTGATTGTTCGACAGCGAATGGTTAGGAGGAGGGTCCAACAAGGGCAATGCGGTCAATAAAAATAATGAATGATTATTATTAATTCGGCAACTATTCTTTTTTCTTTCTACTTCAATCTCCTCGTCAATTGTTACTTCACAATTTCTGTTTCGTTCAGGAGTGGAAAACACATGTGTGTAATACTTTTTGTATAATCTAATAGCTTTTCGGATAACATAAAAGAGACCTTCTCGAAATTTGGTACACCTTCTTTCCTCACTTTTCGTATAAGAATACATAAAAGATTTTTGCAGGTTGGACAACTTCCAAATTTTGTGATCAACTTCCTTCGGAATCTGATCCGGTTGAAATTGCAAGCTCACTTGAAGTCAGTTGAGTTGGCCAAATGAAATTGTTGAATGAAAGGTGTATGCTCTATATCATCCATAATCCATAAACCAATCTGGGCTTCCCGTCACTTCTGGAAGGAGCTTGTGACAGGGTGTGGAAACTTGTGAATCATTATATGCGGCCAAGTCGAAAAATGGCAAACTTCTTCGAGCTTGAGCAAAATCATAAACGCACTTTCACCAACAACATCTCACAATTTCCACAGTTCGTCGGTTCACATATGTACGATAAGCCCTGTGCGAGACGTGGTTGGTTGGTCAAGACTTGGTTTGAGGAACAGATGGACGGATACAGATTGCTGCTCAATTTCAACTTTGAAACAAAAGATGAATTGACAAGTGTGAGACTCGACACGAGATTTATATATATATTCCATAAGGATATATGTGAATATATGTGTACATACATAAGTTGTGTAATATATATGTTATGCCGTTAAAATGCTTAATACGGATAAAAAGACGAGACGTACCGTTTGAGACGATCAATAAGCTTAGGAAATGAGTTATTTACTTGAAAATTTAAATCCTTGGTTAAAATTACTCCAAATCTAAATTAACTGGGGTTTATCATGAGATAATATTCTATCTTTATACAGTTAATATTTAACTGTTTGAATTTTCACATAGTGTATATATGCACTGGTCTTTATATTAAAAGCAACAAGAAGACAATTCTGCGTGGGGAACAATCGAAGCCCAGCAAATAGTTATTTATGTATTTTCCATTAATATCTTTTCCTGCAAACTTTTTTAATATCAAATTTCAGTTCAATTATCTCCTCTTACATTAACGTTAATAGATTCATGTGCGAATTGAAGTAGACACATTAATAGCTGTATTATCACTGTTTATATAGATTACGCAAGACGCGATTCATGAAGGGTGAAAGTTTCCGTAAACAGTTTATCAAAAGTGCCCATTAACTGAGTGGCAAGTTTTAGAAGATTTTGTCAAGTCTAATTTATTTTCGTGCTTACATCTTCCTGTGCAGATAAATCAATTTATTCTCAATTTTAGTACATATAAGAAAATCATGTCTGCAGAGATATTTGCAATAATATGTACACACATTTCACAACAATCTATTATTGTTTTTGTATTTGTGTTTTTGCAGTGTGATCCTGGCACTGGAGTTGATGCATTTTTTCACGCCTTATACAGCCAAAAAAACAGCACTAAAATAATAGCTCTACTTGGAACAGCATGCGATGAAGTAACGGAAAGGGTCTCAAAAGTCGCCACTCACCAAAGAATTGTTCAGGTGAGTACGTTAATGACTGACATTTGGTACAAATATAAGGTGAAAATGCACATGTAAGTATATCTAGTTTTAAGTACATGTACTTAACCTCAATCTTTGTAAATTTTAATCCAAGTAGATAAATAAAGCGACCGAGAAAACTATCAAGTTTGATCTACAAAATAAAGGAACAAATAAATTATGGAAAAATTCTATTTTTCAGCAGCATGTATAATATATTGATAAATGCATTTGTTTATGTGTAAGCTGGACCATCCATGCATAAATCTATATAAATACATACGTAAGCAAGTTGGAATATGGTGATAGTGATTAAAAGTTATTACCACTGCGTAGACTTTTGTCTTCTAACTTTCATAGGAAAATCCAACTTTCCCCCACACAAGCTATCTTGTACAAGTGGTATATATGTAGGACAACATAATGAGGTAAAAGTGAAAATAAAACTTGAGTCTCTCATCAGCTCCCCTTCTTCCCTTCTACACAAATAGGCTGGCACTGACTCAACTTAAATTCGCTGAGCGTGCAGAATTGATTTTTTTTCTTTTAAAAACTTTAAAGAGATCGTTTATGCTCAAGTGGAGCTAAAGATGAGATGATTTTTTTTCAGGTCTCATTTGGGTCCACATCTCCTTCATTATCGGATCGTTCCGAGTTTCCTTTTTTCTACAGAACGGTCGCCCCCGTCTCCTCCCATTCCGAGGCGATAATAGAACTCATCTCCCATTTCAACTGGGACACGGTCTCCTTCTTCACTGAGAATGAGAATCGATACTCCATGGTGAGACCCTCCCACAATCACTTAATTATTCTCCACCCAGTTGTATTGCTCGACTAACATGCATCATCATAATTGCATCAATTATATTGCAAACTGTCATTTTGTGCTGTTGTGGGCTTCTCTTATGCAAGTGCTCTTGTGCAGTTACAATGAATGAATGTTCCTATGTACAGAGTTACAGAGTGATCCACTTACTCATTATTGTGAGAACATATAAATTTGTGGGTGCAACTGTATGAAAAGGAGCATCAGCAATTCACTCACCGTAGGAAACTCATCGGTTTAACCGCACAATGACAAAAGATTGGAAATTTATCCATACGACTGGATTCCATTTCGCTTCAGTAGAATATTTTTCGTAATAAGATAATAGAGCTCTTGCACTACACAATTCTTGGGATAAGAGAGGGATTTTCTCGACTGTACAATGCAAAATAAGATAAAGCAGCATTTAGTTGAGATTGGACTATAACCTGAATATAGTGGATATTGGATATACACCCATATAAATATATCGACACTCCTCGTTGTATCCATGTATGAGCACCAAACAGAGTTTATATAGTTTCACTTTCAATCAGTCAGTGTACGGCTTTACTGTATTCGATGAAATACATTGGAAGAAGACCTAGTTGAGCAAAGACCAGCTCTTTTTGTTTCTCCATTTTCTTAAAGTAAACCGACACCACAAAGTTCTTCATCTGCAAATACAAGAAACCAAGAAAATTGCTCGGTTTGCAGATATTGCAATGAGTCGCACTTCCTCGCGTCTACATAATGATCAAAATCAATACCAATCTCGCTGTATTCCTCATGATGATGATATTATGATGACCAGGACGACTCTTCTGTTGTAATATTGTAAGACATTTGCAAAGAAAGTGTCACAATGATCTTTGTTGAAAGTTCTGTGCCTGCTTTCTCCGTAGCCTTTCGCAACTGCATATTTTGTGCAAAAGCGAGTTTAGAAATAGACAACCAGTCCAATAAAATCGTGCAATGTGCATAATGTTTAGTGTGTTGTAATTATCGTGTACGTGCAAGATTGGTAAAACCCTCACAACAAACAACGACGAATTGTTAGACAATGAATTAATTTACTCTGCTTTCTTTCTGACTGCCATCTTTTTTTAAAAATCCAAGAACTATCCACTTGATGGGTTTCCCACAAAACGATGAAGTGATAAGCCTTGAACATGGGTTCAAGGACTTGAATACATGCTGAACTACTGGTGTGCTCCACGATAAATTCGACATTGTAACTGGTTTGACACTCAAATACTCTTTTGTTTTTTCTGACATCGTCGCCTTGTTTGGATCAATTTTTAAGATATTTTTTATCAACCTTGCCTTTCATAAGGTTTCTGTATAGAAACTATGTAGAAAAATATTGGCGAAGAGACGGAAATCTGTCACTTGCAACATTTCAGTGTCACGTGTATACAAAACTAAAAGTTCTGGTAAATGTTGCAGCCCGTAAACCACCATCTTATGAAAGACATGGAGGAAAAGGGGAACATTACGTGCAAAGCAACACTGACTTTCTCGCTCTCTGATTTGCAGGATCAGTTGGATGTTTTGAATGTATGTTTATCAAAATTTTTGTTGGAAAAATGAGTTTTATTGAATATACTTACACACACCATTTATGCAGGAGTCTGATTCCCGGATAATTATCGCAAGTTTTGGAATTGACATTGCTCCAAAGGTGTTTTGTGAGGTAAATTTATATTTATCATAATTAGTTCTTCTGTCATCTTCATAAGAAAAATCACAAATACTAAATATTTAAATGTACAAAACTCTTTTCGAATTAAATTCACTTCGTAGTTCTACTGATATCAAACTTGCAATTTCTAATGCTTAAGAATTCCTAAGTACATGCGTAGGTAATTGCGTGTATGAATTTGGGGTAAGATGAAAATGATCAACTAAAATAACTCGTCGGAGCCTCAGCTCCATCATGAATATCTTTAACATATCATCAGATTTAAGGCCACTCAATATCAAGGGTTAGTTGTCTCTTAAACAAATAAAAGCACATTACGGTCCATTAGTAAATAGAATGTAATGCAATCTGATGCAAATGAGTACCATGTTTGGAGAATAAGTACAGGAAATTGAATACCTGAAGTGTAGGCCATATTATATTTTAGAATAAACACTTTGTCATCTATTCAGATGAACTACGGCTACTTTGTATAAATGGATGCATTTTAGATGGAAATTTGGTAATTGCTTATAGTCTTCATGGTTTTAAAACATATTCCGCATTGCATGCATATTTTTTACCAAATATATTTCATGCAAATGAAGCCGACACGCCATGCCAGACTATTTGAGGGTGTTGTAGGAATGAACACGACAGACATCAGATGATAAATGACCAAAAGACGGAGAAAGTTCATGACATGATGACCCAATGCAGAGATGAGTTTCCTGATCCGTGAAAATGACAGCTTACTCAACTTCACGCTCTCCCTGTCTCAATGTCCAGCCAGAGCGGCTTTTGTCACTTTTTTTTACTAGGACTTCTTATAAACACTGGATGTGGATGAATATGACTACGTTAGCAAATTTAAGGACATTTTTAACGCATAGACATTAGCAAGAGATTAGAAAGAAGAAGACGTACTTTTTCACAAGTTATTTATTACATGAACAAATTCCATTCTCCAGCTTGCGAAAACTCCATGTGTGCCCAAATTACAGGTCTTCAAGAGAAATATGTTTGGGCCGGATTTTGCTTGGATATGGATCGGGAAACCTGAGACGATTTGGTGGAAAGATGACACCACCACTTTCTCCAGGTTTGACTTCCCGTCATCCTTTTCCTCCTCAAGATCAAGACGGTTACGCACTCGTGATGGAAATCCATCGCATGTCGAAACACAAACGCGTCATGCCTACAACATCAATAATAATATCGATAACGATACTAATTACTCCCCCTCCTCCGATTCTGAGGTTAATGGCAAGACTGGAGCAAATCAATATAATTTGAGCAGACTTAGGACGAAGGGAGTTCATGGGAGCAGAGGGGACCGAGAGGAAGGCCGTTCAACGAGGAAACCTTCAATTAAATCAGAGCTCGAGTGCAGTCTAAAAGAATTAACGATCGCGATTGAAAACACATTGGTGGTGGATCGATTTAATATTTTGGATAATGCAAGACTATCAGATTTCGGATTGGTAAGTAATTTCGCGTGTTTACAGTTACTTGCTAAATGAACTTCTGCTTATGTAATAAAATTTGAATGCATCTGTTCATCAAAATAAATATGTAAGCTGAATAAACTCTAGTGAAAAGATATATGCAAGAAAGTAGTGATAATGAATCGAAACAAAAACGTCGGCACTATGTACATAGTTATTTAAAATTTTACATTTTACATTTTACCGTGTCGTCACAAGCCCAATGTGCTAATTGAAATTTTTCTGTCCTGCGCGAGGTCTTTCCAACAATACGATAAGGGATTAACTGTTGACCAGTAGGTCATAATCCACAGGGTCAAATTTTCGGCATTCGAGTTCTGAGATTTTGAAACTTATTTGCAATATTGTCTATACCCGAAGACAGAATATCAAAATGTTACATCATTCTGGAGGAATAACATAGACGGACGGATTCGCTTAAAGTAGCTACTTAACAAGTACATAGCCCAATTTTCCTCGCCACACTTACCCTGGCACCATCAATCACTTTTCTGCGTATTTTCTTTGTACATGGTTCGACATTCTGAGGAACGTTTATTATATATTTTTACTCATTGACAGAATGAGTCTACCGGTTATATTTATAAAAACCTACAGTGCAGACTCCATATAGCCCGAGTCAGGGACAAAGTCCCTGACTCCGTGAGTCCTAGCTGTTTCTAAATTTTTCTCCGAATTGACCGACATAATATTACCACTTTGAACTTCCACAGCTATATTTGCTATCAAGAAGTGGTCTTTAGCCTTCGTACCAAATTTCAGATGGAAAAAATTAAACTTAAAAAATGGTATGGGTTACCCTCCAGGGTCACTCTGGTTAAAATTCGCTCACTTTTAACTTCATATCCTTTCAGGAGAAGCCATTAGGTATGACCTTGCCGGATTTAATGTTTTTAAAGTAATTTCTAAAAATCGGTATGGGTCACCCCATAGGGTCGCTCCTGATAAGAATTTTACCAATTCCACGTCATATTCTTCTATTAAGACCCATTAGCAACCTCTCTACCAAATTTCAGCTTGTTATGACGATTTTGAAAAATCAGTATGGGTCATCCCATAGGGTCCCTCAAGATGAAAATTTTTCCAACTTAAAGTCATTTTTATCTATTAGGAGCCATTAGCAACCTCTGTACCCAATTTCAGCCTTCTACGACAATTTTGAAATTTGGTGCATAATACCCCACCCACTCCGATGACCCCCACCGGTCAACCACTTGACCGATTTCGCCCATCTTCGAACTCGTTTCCTAACTTTGTCCAATATGCATATGGTAAAAATTTCAAGTCAATCGGTTCAGCCGTTTTGGCTCTATCGTGCCGGACAGACGGACGGACGGACGGACGGACGGACATGACGGTTCCATAAGCCCTGACTCGGGCTAAAAAGAAAGTGAGTAAAATGAGCTGCGGAGAAGTTTATTTGTTAAGAATTATGAAATAAAATCAGTTTTCAGTCAGAAATTTGCAAATATTTGCTTCCTCGCTCTAATTTACAGAGTGTGCTTTCACTCGTGAGAGAATGTGAGCATCTTGTGTATTCTATGCAATTGAGTGGACAAGAAATTAATGCTTATTTACTCATTGTGGGTTTGATTTTCTCGACTGGAAATTGAAATTTGAGACTTTGAGCCCTTTACTCCTTAAGTTTTCTTTTGCTGGATTTACTACCAAAAGCCAAACAGTTCAGTATTACATAATATTTATTATTTTCTGCGAGGACGTAAACATTTTTGCCTATGACGTTTTAAAAATATTATAAAATAATCACGAGCCCTTCCAAGCATGTACAGGTTACTTGTCAAATGCATCTTAATAAGTAGTCCTACATGAAATGATGCATATGTGCTACGAAACAAGTTTACAAGTTGACTGGTTTGTATTAAATTAAAGCATGGGAGACAAGTGAATATAGCACAGAATCTGATTGGCGAGAAATTAGTATTTCAATTACAACCGTCTGTTCTCTCCATGTTCAAGCACAGTTCAGTTGCGCCGTCTACGGGTCACTAATGCTTAAGTGTTGTGTAATATGTACATAAGTGCATGGCAGATGGAATTAAGATTAATTAATTTAATAAAGATTTGATTGGATTGAAGACGACAGAGTCATTTGGGACGAGGCTGAGGGAGAGGATGCAAATGGAGAAACGTCTTTTGATGAATCCCGTCAGTATGGACAAAGATTCCATAAATAAGACTTCAATTAGCACCCTTTTAACAACGTCCTTTGCACCTGAGAGTTATGACGCGATTTGGGCCATCGCGATGGGTCTTGAAAAGCTCGTCGAGAAGCATAATTACTCTCTGGAAAAGTTTAATTACATGGATAATCACTTTTCTAACTTGTTGAACGATGAGATTGGAAAACTCAAGTTTACAGGAATATCGGTAATTTAAAGTTTAATATGATTTATATTGGGCGTACATGCAAACATACATTGCTTTAATTTAAACGCCTGAAAGATAATAGCATTTTATTAAAGTTTATCGTTTTTACTTAGGGACCAATAACTTTCTCCGGTTCTGATCGAATAGGAATTACCTCGTTTATGCAAGTTCAAGGTAGGTTCCTGATAGCACCTTAATGCATTCATTCTTTATTTACCAAGATGACTAATTTTTGATACACATGAATTATAATCGTAGGCGGAAATTTGCGCCAAGTCGGCTTGTTTCATCCAGACAGAGAAGAGAACAAACTGGAGTTGTGTTCGAACGACTTTCATCCCTTGTCCCAATGCTGGACCATCAAATGGCCTGGGAACCAAGTCCCCATATCCAGGAGGGAGTTTCGCACAAAGCTAATTCGTGTGGAGCATTCTTTATACCTAATTGTGGCTGCCGTGGCCTTTCTCGGCATCCTTTTGGCCTCTGCATTCCTGGCCTTCAACCTGTACTACAGGAAACTCAAGCAAGTTCAACTTATTGAGATTGTTGTTAATGTCAAGAAATGTTTCATAAAAACTATTTCATAAAAATCCCAACATTCATGACTTTCCATCCTTTACCTGCTGAAACTTTTCCAATCAAACGACTTCTTTGAATCTCTCCCAGGCCAAGAAGCTACGTTACTGTAAAGAATTGCGAGAAGGAAGGGTTCGACACTTCCAACCACTGCTAAATTCAATTACTGAAATAAAAGGATTCCTGTGTACATTTCTATTCCACGTCCGTGTAGCTGCGACCTAGCCACTCGTCTTTGAGGAGAGTGCGTGACCATTAGATTTTGATTCGGTTTCACCTTTTAATTGCCCTTTTTATGAGTTGGTTGACTTCAGAAGGAAAATTATTATTAGATTAGAAACCGATACTGGCTGAAAATGAAAATTTGAGCCAAATGGTCAAATGATGACGTAACAAATACATAAGTACTGACGGTAAATTTTAGTGATTTTGCATCAGACATGTGACAAAATCTTTCTTAATTATTTTACCTGAAATCATTCGTCCTTCAAGATTTTATCTCTATTCTGAGGCATAATTTGCGCACAACTCAAAAACTTCAGCAGTGACTTCTAAAAGTACTAAACCTTCAAGTACTTCTAAAAGTACTTCATACTAAACCTTAGCCAATCTCCATTATTGATGTACTTTGAAAATTGGGTCTGAAAATTCATATCAAAATGTGTTGTAAAAAATCAGTTGGAGGGACAGGATAAAACTAAATTTGATTTGTACAGAGGTCCAATAGCAGAAATTTTAATTGGGCAGTTATTTACATAAAGAAGCCAAGGGAGGAACATACATAGAGTTGAATTTAATAATGATGGAATGCTGGTGAAAGGTGGTGGAGAAAGATACCAAGCTGTCGAACATGGACTTTCACAGCCACCTAACCGCAACTCTCGAAAAGCATGAAAACCGACGCTCCTCAAACAAGTTGCTCGTTACACTGAAAACCCCAACTCATCGAATCTTAGCCAAACGAAGAATCCCCCAGTTCCCTTAGTTAATAAAAATCCCTATGCATTTCCGATTTCTAGAGAGATTTTCATACAGAAATATCAAAGTTTCTGTCAAAAAAATCTGTTATATAAAATTATGAACATACATAGATAACATGTTCATTTTATCTCGGATCTTTTTACTTAATCATTCTGAATTTTTTCCCTGGTACCATACAATTTTGTCAAATTTCAAGATTTGCCTAGGAATCTAGCAAGTAAAATTCCGACTCAGTTCATGAATCGCAGTGTACATTAAGCAAAACCTTGCTGCTCATATTAATAGTTTGAATTGCACAAAACATGACTATGCATGTATATCTGAATCCCTAATATTTAACTTGTACATTAAATGAAGCGATTTTTTGGTTTTTCAGGTACATTAAACTTTCCAGCCCCCGTCTCAACAATATGGTTATCATCGGGTGCATGTTTGCTTACTTTGCTGTGATTATTCTGGGCTCAGATTTTGGTCCTAGCATCGGGTCAAATGAGATTCGGTTTTCCTACATATGCACAGTAAGAAGGAGCACGTTTCCTATGCAAATCTAAAATAAATTATCATTACAATAATTTCTAAGGCTCAAACCATGCTAAATATGAAAATGTATTAATTAATTTGTTCCTGCATTCAATTTTATGTATATATATAGACATTTTTATAAATATCCCCACGCATTTCAACAAAGTTGTCTCAATTATCCAGCATAATTGTATGAAAAAATCAAAGAACGTTACGCAGGGCTGCATTAAACTTTCCTTCTTGACTCTGGCTTGAAAATCAATTCATTCGACCCAGATACAGATCTACTTTGAAATACATATCGTATGATCCGAAATCCCTCGTTTCCTCTTCAGTGAAGACGGGTGCATGGGAGCACTCGTTTGAGACAACGAAAGAGAGGACAAAAAGGATAATCTTGTCTTGATGGTTGTCAGTCAGTCAGTCAGATATCGAGCATGTATTGGTAATCGAATCCTACTTTCTCCCTGAGACGAACCACTGTGTTGTGTTCAGTGTCATGTTTTCAGAAAAAGTGAACACGGATAAGAAATAAATGTCAATATCTCTTCATACTTAGAATCCTTAGACTTGCACATTTTTTGTGCATCAACTTAGATTAGCTTTTTTTACTGAAATATGAAAAACGTAAAATTGAAACAAGTGTATATGCTCCATTTTATGCAAATAGATAAACAATCATTGGTTTTAAATATTTAATTGTAAATCGCTTTGATATTAAGTAAAATGCTCTACATTTTTTACAGAATTATAATCCCTTTGCTTTCAGATAAGGGCTTATCTTCTATCGACTGCATTCTCCCTAGCGTTTGGAGCAATGTTTGTCAAAACATATCGTGTTCATCGTATCTTTACGAGAAGTTGCATTGGAGTTGTGAAAAATAAGGTAGAGTGAAAATTTCTTCAAATACCCTTTACACTTTTTGTGCATTTATTATTAGATTTATTTATGTATACGTATGTACACTTCTGGGGGTGAGTGTATGTACGTATAGCACATAAACACACATTTTAGTTTGAATTATAAGTCTAGGAAGAGATAAGTACAGTCAGGGATAGATAATTTGATATTACTATGCCAAACATTTTCCTCTTGCATTTTTAGCCGTATTTATATGCAACTAACATACTCAGGGTAATACGGAGGACACGATTCATGCAACAATGTAATGTTCAACCGTTTCTACTCCAAGTTATTCAAGTTGAATTGACTTGATTGGAAGGAGAAAGATATTCGTATATATATTGCATGTACTTATGCAGGTACATACATACGTACTTGCGTCATCTTTCCTTTCCGACAATCTCACTCTGTCCAACCAGGAGGAAGAAATGCAGATTGCTAATATTCTATTCCAATAACGCATTATTACCCTACTTGTTTGCTATACGTAACTAACATCCACAGTCCATCAACTTTATCGGCGAGCAACAGCCAACTAACAAATATAGACTAAAATTCATCAGAACCGTTTTTCTTTATCCATGCTTTTGCTCTCTAATTCAGAGTTTCACGAATGACATAAATATATACAGAACTCTGTTTATGCTTAACATCCCCAGTTTTCATTTGAAATTTGAGAAGAGTTCTTGGTTCACGTGTACCTGTATAAATATATGTTACTTAATTATGCTCAGGTCAGAACTATCAGTTTTCCCTCTACACCCTTGCTACTGCTGTTATATACATATTATCATTAGATTGTAGCCTAAAATATTATTATGGTGTGTGATTAGCCTTATTGGGATGCCGTGTGCTACTTGTGGATCATGCCCACAACTGAGCACACACTTTACTAATTCTTAGATTGTACATTATGAGATGAAACTATGTATGTAAGTAGTTTGAATGAGTTTGTATATGTAACGAATGAATGATTATGATTGTAAGAGCTTGCGCTATATCAATCTTGAATAAACCTACCTACCTAATTATGCTCAGGTTGTGTAACACATTTGTTTTCATGATTACAAGCTCTTGTGTCATTTGCAGATGTTGAAAGATACGCAACTGATATTACTGGTGATGCTACTTTTACTCATTGATGTTATCATCGTCACATCCTGGGGTAAGTTTTATTTAACAACCGATTGACATATTTACAACCCGTACGTCATTTATATATACATTGAATTAATTGCAATGAATTAGCGGTGGTTGATCCAATGCATCGTCATTTACAAAATCTCACGCTACAAAAAGACGTATCTGATCGGTCGGTTGTGTACCAGCCTCAGGTAAGCTGAGAAAACGCTTGACCATCAAGTTAAAGTACTTGTAATTATTGTAAATTTGTTGTTTTCCTTAGATCGAGGTGTGCAGATCTCAACACGGTCATATCTGGCTGAGTGCTATGTACGGTACGTGCTTAATACAAATATATGGTGGCAAGTAATTTAACTGCATTAGTTTAATCACTTAAAATAAACACTTTTCCTGTCTTCTTGTTTTCAGCGTATAAAGCTTTGCTTCTAGTCGTTGGGATCTACATGTCTTGGGAAACCAGGTGAAATTGATTTCCGTCTTCCTTTTGTTTTCTTTCCAGCAGTTTTTCTGCAACTATAACTGAACTCGTAGCTTCGTCTCACAGTTTATAAAAAAAGTAAATAAAAACATTCCCATGTACAAGAGTGCTGGTAATATTCCTTGAGCAAGGACACATGTACCCAGCATGTTTGTCCGTCCCCATGAACGCGTCCGTACCACTTCTTTAGGCTTATTACATAAATACAATGCGAAATAAAATTCAGCACATATTTCGAGTGGGCCGGAACGGAAGATGAGTCAAATCGGTTGATTAGTAGGCTCAATTTGGTTTGTGGGGTGAAATCAGAAATGTACAAAATTTCAAAATTCGTTCATATGTATTGTACTGGCTCGGGCTAAATGGAGGTTTTCATCATTGTTAGAGGCACTAAGCATCAGAAGCATATATAAACATATAAATGTATATAAGTAGTTGATAGATGGAATGAATGGTAAGATCAAAAGTAAACCCGAACTGTTGTAGTAATGCAATACAAACTATTCTCGACACGGCAAAAGTTTGTTGCATGGCGTGTGATGATGACCCATGCAGGTGTATAAGACAATCAATTTTCCTTATTTCAGACACGTCAAGATCCACGTTCTTAATGACTCCAAGAACATTGCGTACTGCGTTTACATCGTGGTCCTTACATCAGTGTTGGCCGTGTCCTTGGCAAATCTCGTCTCAGAACGGGTAACGCTTTCCTTTGTAAGTGTCACGTCACTTATTCTCACTTCAACCACGGTGACCCTCTGCCTCCTTTTCCTTCCAAAGGTAAGTAATATTGAATAGTATGACGTCTTACTTTCAACTGACCACCAACATAATTCATGCATGTCTGGTTTGAGTAAAAGGAGAGATTTTATATCCTGATACTTATGTATCATATTAAATATTATTAAATTCCTGTTGGGGAAAGAATCTTCGTCGATGACACCTTTTTCCTACTACTGAATGGATGTTCATTTTACAGCGTTTTTCTTACCTTTAGATCCACGCCATAAAAACAGGAGGTCATAAAGGAGATCCTGTGGTGGAAAGTATGGGGCTCAAAATTGAGTTCAACACGCGCAGGTGAGAAATGTCCAACCCAACATCAAATCTGAATTTATTCCTTTTTCATCTTTTTTGAACTTTTGTTTGTTTTTCATTCGACGATAAAAATAATGATGACTGAATTCAACATCAATAAATGACACATACCCACTTACACTTCATATATAATTTAATCGCACGATTTTATTGGTAACACTGGCGGCACTCCTGTTTGTGCCATGACAGACTCTGAAGTGCTTATGTGTGGAATAGCTTGAAAATGAAAATACCAGACAAACGCTAAACAAATCAAATTTAGAAGCAAACGAAATTCCGAAATGTCTGGGAAAGGTTTTTTTATTTAGTCTTGGGTTGCTTTGTGTTTGTCTGTCTTCACGTTTCTTATCTCTTCTGATATTTGCATTACCAATTGTATTGAGTAGAAGTAGAAGTAAAGCACAGCAAAGTAATAGAGTGGAAATTGTCAATTGTCAAGCAGTCAAATAAAAAAGTTCCGTCCGACCTATAACTCAAAACTACAAAGTTCTCCAACTACCAAGCCGTCCAACAACTCTTGCTTTTTGCCATTTTCTCCTTTGGTTGCATGTCCTTCGCAATCAAATCATTCTGCTAAAAACTCAAAGTCGATTCAATTTGCTCCCGATTTCATTTTATTCAGATAACAGGCAGGATTTCTTTTTTCCTTTCACCTGAACGAGAAGAAGTCAAGAAACACAAGAATTTGAACAATAAAAACGATGCCATGAACGGAAGATAGTCAGAAATGTGAAAGTATCTGTAGAAATCGGACCTTCTTTATTTTACAACATACATATTTACATACATGCATCTTTGAATACAATAATGCACAACGATGAATTGTAGGTGTACACACATTATTATTCTTCAAAATTATAAGTTCGAATTATTGATGTCATGCTTATCTCGAATTATAATAACGTTTTAGATTGGTGGTTGAAGACGCTAAGGAGCTCATGTTCCGTGCAGAGGTTCAGAATCGAGTGTACAAACGACAAATCGAAGCCATTGATGTTGAGATTTGGAGACTGGAGAACCTTTTGCTGTGCTCGAGCCATTCCTCGGTCGCCTCTTTGGACAACAACACCAACAAATCGGTAGGGGAAGCAAGTTGTTTGTTCTTCATTAATAGACTGAATTGACGATTCTTCCGTTTGATAATATGCGTTTGTGTGTTACGCAGAGTTTTTCCGTACTTGATATTAAAAGGATTTTGATTAACTTTTACTTTTCCCCCCTTAAGAAGTCAGTAGTTGGCAATTTCATTGGATCGCAGAAATTTTAATTTTAACTGATTTGCATTTGAATGGGAGTTTGGAGGGGAACAACTTTTTTGCCAATTGTCATCCCGAGTGAGTATTTATTGCATTGCCTGAGTGATTGAGATGAGTTTACGAACGTTGGACGGAGAATGTGACAATAACTGTCAGACTATTCGATCAAATACCTAAACTGTACTTCAAGCTTTCCCTAAAAACCAGCCGTGTGTAAAATTTACAACAAAAATTCAGTTTCAAAGATTCGCCAGTGCAACAAAAAATGGATCCTTAGTGTCTTTTACTTTTACATAGAATGTTAATGTCCAATATCAAAAATCAAAGTTCCGGCAGGCAGATTTACAAGAATGGAAATATATTATCCTAATATGGATAAGAATTTTTGACATTCAGACATATTTCATCAGAGTATACGGGGCACGGGCAGGATTATTTAGTTACAGATGTTTCACCTCTATACTATAATTTAGAATTTGAACAAATTTTCCAAACCTGTACATGACAATGAATTGTAGTTCTTACGTATGTATTGTCTTTTGCTTGGGTTCATAAAAACAGTCGGGGTTATTTTATACGTTGTCTGCTTATGCTTATCCTACAAATCTCAACTTTGTTTCTCACTCTCACAAGAACGGTTGCGTGCCACGCCAACATTTCCGGAATTTCCCTTGACTTGGGGCGTATTTGCTTTTTCCTTTCTATTGGTATGATGTGGTCTATAAAAAACTTTTATCTCTCCTTCTTTTACTATTCACTTGGATTAGAACAAACCTCGTCTTCTCCCCGACTTGTGTATGTATGTGCATGCGTTCGACGTAATTTGAAATGAAATGAAGCACAAGTCCAGTAAATTAAAGCTGACAAAGTCGGTAAATTCAGTGAGTCGGTCAGTCTTATAGTTTTGTGGCGATTCTAATTTTCATTTTCTAACTTTGGGCTACGCTACGCACTTAAACAAGAACAGGGTTAGATCCACACGAAGATACGAATAGAATTAAGTGACGTTTCTGCATTTTCTCTCAAAATGAATGTAAATCTAGAAACTATAAAATATGTCAATGCTATTTGAAACTTTGCTCATGGTAAAACGCTTTTAATTGTTGTGGCAAATGTGATTGATTTCTTTTGAAATGCATTCTCGGTTGCCTTTTATATCTTTAGTAAACGATGACTACTTCAATCGATGACTACTTCAAACGATGACTACTTTCATTAGCTTGCACCAAGCCTGATTACAACTATTTACTGGTTCTTCAGTTTTAAAAATTTATCCATGCTCTGTAGTTTAAAGAGTTTCATGGATTTTAAACCAGTTTGAGGTAAATCGAAGTTGCATACAAACATCCGCAGAGTAAATTGCCCAAATGCTTGTGTACGTATGTTGTACACGTGCATATGTATGTACATGTATCTGGGCGTTGATCAGAAACTCGTGTTGGGATGGGACGTTTAGAGAACGATGTTGAAGCCTTTCTCTTCCTCATTTTATCAGAAAATATCAACTTCAAGAGATTTTGCAGCTTATGTCATGCCAATTCAATTCTAATCTCAGTTCTCATTTCAATCCCACATAACCCATTACCTTCACAGGTGGTGGTGGACGAGGAGCAGAGTCGGAGAGTGATGAGATGAGTGAAAGTGAATGCAATAAGAGAAAGTGGAAAGGATGAGCTACCAAATCCTGCAGATTGATCCAAACCAAACCAATAAAGCGATGCAAATTGTGACGGCCTAAATTCTATGCCAAATTACCGAAAGATAGGAAAATACTCCCCGAGGAAATTATTTAAACAAATCTCATTTCAGCAGCAATATTGTTAACAAATAAGTAGCCATGCACGCAAATACACCGAACTGTACTCTCACCCCACGGTCATATAATTTGTGAAATTACGGCGACTATTTACCAAACCAAACAAAACGGATGAGTGGCTCACTTACCTTCATGACACTGATGAATATCACAAGCTTTTAGTTTACAATTTGCAATCTTTCTCTCCACTTTCGTCTTGTAAATAAATAGTACGTTCCATCGCCGTTCACTTTCATTTGCTTCAGTTTCACTCAAGCTGGATAAGAGGAGAAGGATTATAGAGGCAAATTGGCTAAAACAGATGCAGAAAACCAATTAGGGCCAGGATTGTAGATTTTAAATGACACAAGCCTATCTCCTGACACATGAATCCGTATATACCAGCACATAAAGCATATGAAGCATAGTTATATATACACATATCTGTTTTTCATACAGTAACAGTATTAGGGTCATTGGTAGGGCCTGCTAGAAGTCCTATTTTTACTGATTAATTTCTCCTACGTACATCTGCCTCCAGAAATTAGTTAATATTGAAAAGTATTTAATGTATTTAACTTGTGTTATCGAATGCATCAGTTAACTTCTTTTTGCTAATTAATGGTCGTTACAATTTATTTGAAGGGCAAGGAACTACCAAGGGACTCAAAAGACTCGGTTTCTGCTGATCGTGCTGAAGATATGGATTCGTCAGAAGAAACAAGCGAGATCTACACGGTCCTTCTTCACGGCCCCAGATTCATCGTTCCCATTTCCGTCCTTAACTTTCAAAACCCAAACGCCACTCTAGATCCGAGTAGTTGGAGCAGTAAAAGCAAAATCAGAGAAAGTGGAGCCACCTTGCAACCCCCACCACCACCGCCTCGATCCAGTTGGCCAAACGTTCGCTCTCTATTAGCTTCCAGTGGAAATGGGCTTATCACAAAAATCAGGTTCAAATCGGAACCCAAATTGCTTATTGATGAACCCCCGTGCCGTGTTACGAAGACGTGCGAGATGATGGAAACTGGTGGACATGTAAACATAAATATAAATCCAGAACTGCTGCTTTCACCTCGAGTAACTTTTGGGGGGAGCGACGACAGCTTTGGCATTGGAGATGATTCGGGAAAGTCTAATATTTCCATATCCAAGGGCAAGGGTTCCAGTAGGAAAAGTAGTAATACTAGCGCTGGATTTAGCGGTTCTGGGGGCACCAACAAAAAGTCTTTCCTGACCTTATTGAAACAACCGTTTGTGTATTTCTCTGGGATGGTTAGATCCGGGGCTTGCAGTGCAAGTCCTATTTTAACCAAGAAGCAGAAAAATGGAGACCATTTTAGAGATGAAACGGGGGGAAGCGATGATGAAGACGAACCTCAAGTTTTTCAATTACATGTTCCAAGAGATTCTATAAGAAAAAAGTTTAATTCGGTGCCAGATCTTTGGGCCGTGAGAACCTCTCCCATTTTGCACCATTATCCAAAAAAGACATCGATTATATCCGATTCCGTGATGGATAATTCTAATCTAAGGTATATTATGGAGGCTAATCAGCCATGGAATAAGTTGTCCAGTTCAAGTCCCGTGTTAAAATTGACGGTCACAAGTGATGCATCTCCATATCTTTAACTTAATTATTATATTGACTTAATTGCTTTTGTTTTCTAGTTTATGAATATGTGCACATGCCCATAATAATTTTAATCTAACTCTTTCCCACGAACGAATAAATTGATTATACAATTAAATTATTTACATTAATATTGTGTGAATAAATGCATTTATGCCATACAGATAAATAAACACAATTCTGAAAAATAAATATTGATGGATATCTTCAAAGCTGATATATATGTGGTTAAAAAATTAAAATCAAGTAAAACTTAAGGCGTGTTAAAAGCACCAATGTTCCATCCACAATATAGGCAGATTTGTCTATGGTGTGTAAAAGTACATAAGGATGTGGTATAAGGATAGTCTTTAATATTTTTCTGCAGTTTCATTTTATAGTTTGCACAATTGTTGCGGTTATAATACGTATATGACGCAATCATCATCGAGTTCATTAAATTGCCATGTTTAACTTCCAGATAATCTGGGTCGTTTATGCATACGGTCCAAGAGTTATTGAACCATTGTATTATTCAAGGTTATAAAGGTTGGCTCGTGTATTAAACATCTATATACACGGATATAATTCACAACTGGTGTATTAAGTAATAAAGCCTTGTATTACGCTGAAAAATAGTGCTGCTATTTCCAATTCTTTTTTTAATTGAAATGGCGAATTACTAAAAAACGTAATTTTTTAGTAAAGTGCAACAGTATTCCCTGAATTACCACGCCGCATTCACACAAGCAGTCTGGTTCAAGTGCCGGGGGATTGGAACTTAGTACCTGGGAAACGTCACCCAAAAGTTCCGATCCCCTGCACATTTTAGTTATGCAAGTTACAGGGAAACGGAACCCCCTTGTCGCAGGATTTAGCGGGCTTCGATTCCCCGGTACCCTATTCGACAAAAGTTACGATTCCCCGGAACCCAAGATTTTTCTTCGATTTTTCATAAATTGGATAAATTTCAGGAAAAAAATTTTGTTGTCTCAAATTAACCTCCCACTAATGAGGAACATTGGATAAAAAAATTAGAATTTTTTATAGTCGCGCAGGTTCCTAAAATCGCAAATATCTGACAAATTTGAGGAGCGGCAAGCTTAAAAAGGTACGGGGAATCGTCACCCAACAAGTATTTTCAGGAAAAAATAAAATTATTTTTAGGGAAAAATAATTGTAACATAATAATAACGTGATAATTGTAACAATAACTGTAAAATAATTGTATTTCTCCCTGAAAATAATTGTTGGGTGACGATTCCCTGTACCTTTTTAAGCTTGCCGCTCCTCAAATTTGTCAGATATTTGCGATTTTAGGAACCTGCGCGACTATAAAAAATTCTAATTTTTTTATCCAATGTTCCTCATTAGTGGGAGGTTAATTTGAGACAACAAAATTTTTTTCCTGAAATTTATCCAATTTATGAAAAATCGAAGAAAAATCTTGGGTTCCGGGGAATCGTAACTTTTGTCGAATAGGGTACCGGGGAATCGAAGCCCGCTAAATCCTGCGACAAGGGGGTTCCGTTTCCCTGTAACTTGCATAACTAAAATGTGCAGGGGATCGGAACTTTTGGGTGACGTTTCCCAGGTACTAAGTTCCAATCCCCCGGCACTTGAACCAGACTGACAAGTGTATGTTCATATGTATAGATTGTTTGCATAAATGCATTTATATGCATATACATTTAAACAACAACTAAATAATCCTAGTCGCTTAAACCGGCAATTCAATATTATATTAGTTATTTATGGAACATTTAAATGTCGTTCCTCCATTGTCATCAAATGTACCGTGTCATTTGATTAATTCATTAGAATGCAATGTCGTAAAACTAGTTTTCCTTGGGCGGCGGCGTTCATATTAAATGCCATCAACAATGCACCAAGAGCAATTGGAGGACAAAGGAGACGGCTAAAAGCTTGGTGATGAAGTTCACACAAGAATGCAGAAAAGCCTGGCTGAGTCATCCATGGGCAAGAAGTGAAAGTTTCCCCCGAGTGAAAATACAACTTTCCCCGAAAACCGTGCCAATCCACCAATTCGCGAACTTCTCCCACCCACCCACCACCGAAGCCCACAAGTCTCGTTTCACTTTTCCTTCTCCGAAGACGACGTCACTGCCTTGCAGCCTATATTGGTTTTCGTTAGCTTTCAAATGATGGGAGGAAACAGCACTGCTTCAGTTGAAACGTGCCTGCCAGTAAAATTGTTGTCGGCTTTTAGGGGAACTGTGCTGGAGAGAGTATTTACTAGCAATAATGTAAATTTCTTCTCAATTAAAAAATATAATTACAAAAATAGAGGCTCATTGACATTCAGTATTTAGTATTTTGAGCTGGGAACAATATTTTTTTCATAGTTTTAAAAAACCCAAGCAGTTGTGGAGTGAAATATTTATTATAGATAGATGACAATTTTTCCAAATTATAAAGGTAAGCTGTTTACCATCTTTTTTGTCATTAGTGTGTAAATAATGGCGTTTATGTATGTATCTGTAAGAAAGCATATTGACATTTTTAGTTAAAAACTGTCGCAAGTTGTTTTCGCGAAGCAGCGAAAATGGATGTATGTACTGTTATTAATTATGCAATGACACAAAGCACAATATTTTCAACTCGCTCGTTCTGGTTTTGGTGGTTTAAATCCACTTTGATACATATTTATGTTTATTAAATCAATATTTTGCTTCCGACAGATTACGGTATTTCCCGGACTTTAATTTCCAGAGCTTGTATCTTGCAACCGTTATACAAAAAATTGTGAATTAACATTCAATTTCTGAATGGTTGCACTATACAGAAATTATTTGCATATCAAGCCAGTCTTATACATACATATTGATTGGAGATTGAGACCAATGTACATACGTTATGCATATGTACAATGTACATGCATGCATATACATAGTTGAGTAGTTCAGTCGCGTTCATTTAGACACAAAATGAACTGTTCTCATTCATGGACATTTGGTTCAGACACTTATGCACCCAAATGCACATAAGTGTATATGCCCTTTTCTGACAACATGTGATGTCTATGCCCCTTGATGCAGGAGGATGAACCGGCTAGACAGAAACTTTTACTAATAATAGCTCGACTTTTTAAATGCATATACAAAATTTACTACTTTTGTCATAAATCACTACATTTGAAAGTTATTACGGGATTGCGTCATCCTTAAGTGCAGACTCTTCTTGAATATCCTCTGACTCACATTTAGTAAACTTTTAACTCTCGTACGTTTCCGATTTGCACTTGGCATCATCTACGTATGCATGCAATACTGCTTGTAAAAACTGGGACAAAAGTGTAAGAAAGAAGGAACTATTGCATATATGTAGATATATCCCGCAGCAAGTCAATGGTAAATTGAACGGCAATCTACCACCCTCTCTCCTTTTTCATTTCATATGTACATATGCACTATGTACGAAAGTACATATAGTTTCATACCATTATCCCAAATACCAGCGTAGTAAAACCCGATGTAGTAACATGCAGTTGTTTCAGTCTACCGGTGAACTCTGGCTGAGCTGTTAAAACATTCATTTTGAGTGCTAAGCTTTTAGTGATCCTGTGAACTTGGAAATCAAAGAAATCAGTTTAACACAAAGCTGCAACACTTCAATTGAAAATTGAGATTTGAAGAGGTACAGAATTTTTTATCAAACTCATTCAAATTTTATTCATACGAGGTATACATAAGTTCCAGACGTCCAAAAGTTCGAGTATGTACATCTAAAACATCAACGTCGGGAACATTAATATTGCGTCTGGTTATTTCCTAATATGTTCGTTTGAAACGTTTTGATTTTGGCAAAGCTTCTTAAAACACCCACAAGTTAACCTTTTTCAACATATTGCATCTTGCGCTTGCAATGAACGTTACAAATAACTGGATAACGCAGATTATGTACATTACGTATATTTTACTGGGCACACAACACAACTTTGCGTACTTGATTGTTTTTATTTTCAATCACTTTCATAACGCTAATGTAAAGTTGAGAGCGAGATATGTTGCATAAAAACTTATAGTCATGAATACCAATCAACTTTTCTAGTTGAACTTATCCTTAGTTGTGTGGGACAGCCTATTCAAGCCATTAACTTTGCATTTACTGTAGTTTCATGACAAATTTTACTTTTGAGAATGGTGTGAATCGAAATCCGCTTTATCATGTTTGGTTAGTGCTATCTCTTGTGGAGTTCATGAGCAAAGAGAGATCCGATGATGGGTCCAATAAGCTCCATTTACTCCAGCATATTATAACCTGGACTTAAACCTTTTCTGTCAGAGTCAGAAAAGAGACTCGGCTCAAACATGACCCCGAAACAAGATCAAGGTCTCCACAGCGAATACCTAATCACAACAGCAGCACGGAGGATGGGAATAAAAAGATCAAGTTACACGGCATGAATTATGTATTTACTTATTACGTCTTGACCAAAGCTTTATTTCCATGTCCCCTACCTCACCTTATTTCAGCTCGTCACATGCTCATTTAATGACGCCAATAATCAGACTTGTTATCTTATCGGAGTGTAAACCAATACCTATTATCATTCCTGACTGCGGGAGAAGTTGAGCTGGACAGACTAACTGCAATGTCATGTCATTATCTGTACAGCAAATAGAATTTTACATGTAATAGAATTCATCCTGTCTGTCAAGCCTCTTATGGGCTTACGACTTGAGTAAGGCAACCGCAAAGTCACCAAAAGGAGATACAGAATAGAAAAATGAGATTACAGCTAAGTTTCTCAGCAGATATTATAGAAATCATATTGAACAAGCTATTTTAACATAAAGACGGAATACTGTCAACGTTTTGTCCATGTGCATGTGTTTAACTGACAGCAAATTGACAGAAAAAAATTATGAACAAATCAGCGTTTTATTTACATTACGTGGAGATGAAATAAGTTTGACGTTTTAAAATAAAAGGTCACAGAAATGTCACTCCCATAAATCAAAGACTTTTAGTCAGATGTCAATTGGTGAACCTGAGCTGCTGATGCTTGAATCAATGGAATGAAGCTAAATTCTAGGAATTGTTTATTTTAATTCTTGCCGACTTATATTTGCATGCATCATTCTCCTTACCTATACATACCTATACTAAACTGTATGAATATGATAAAGGGATAAGGATATTTTTTTTCTATATGCCCTGTGCGTGGTTTCCAAAGTTTTGCTCTCGTCTTTCATATTATTGATACACAAAAATTCCTTGAACAACTGAATAAGATGAGGTTTAATTTTAATTGCAGGAGAATGTGAATTCTCTGCTACAAAATGGTACTAGGTGCACAAACCATCGAAGAACACAAACAGAATGGTGACTTTGGAAAGAACAATTCCCAATTATTTGGGCCTTCCTCAATTGAAAATGATCACATCACCAGCTCTCCGTCCCCAACAACAATGATTGTCGACCTGGAGGATGTCGACAGCACAACAAATCGCCCCCACAACCACCGCAGGGAAGTGACTCCGGTTTATAAAGAAGTTGTCATTGTGGGGAACGGCCCGTCAGCTATCACGCTGTCCTATTTCCTGGCTGGCAATTGTCCTTACTACAATGGACTTGGAGAAAGTGTAAACGATATGCTTCACTGCAGACTTGTCGCAGACTCGAAAACCTCTCCAACTGGAAATCGTAGTTTGGTTGAACAAGACCTCACATTTCTTGCTCAGGTAAAATATTTTTGCTCGTCCTAATTTCAAGGTTCTTTAAAAAACCTTTGACGCATCCACATTAGATTCTAAAAGTAGATGCATTTGCCACATGCTCATATCTGTATATCTGTGATGAACAACAAACCTAACAAATTGGGTCACCGTTGTTTCTGCAAATGAGAGGTTACAGATATTTGTACGTCCAAAAAGGTTATGCACAGGTTATGCGTGCAAAAGTGTGGGTGTGCCACGAGAAAGAGAAAATACATGTATGTATGTAAGTAGTTTATTTAAACATAATGTTTATAAAGAATATACACACATTTTACATACATTTTGTATGAGGTGACATGCAGCAGCCGTAGTTGCTTCTCGTTTGTGTTTCAATTTCATCAGGTATATGTACATACATACGTATAGCTAGTTAGTTAGTGGAACTTATTGAGTTCACTGGAACCTTGGCAGGATTCCCATGATCTTGATGAGATAGCTGGTTTTCTCATTGCTGATTTAAACAAGTCATGCACATGCAATACGAGCATATATGCTACAGTACGCACAGATTGGTTGTCCACATATTAAGATATGATTACTTCAATAATTGAGATAAATCAAAAGCCGAACATTTCGGATTAGCTGCGTATCAATAAACCATTCATTACATTTTTCTCCATGATAAGACATAAACTGTCTTATAAACTGTTAATTAACATGTGCTTAGCTCATGATTCATTTAAATAATTTTCGTTCCAATAACACCAACTCAATAAATCAGTCGTTTATGAGGATTGGATTAATAAATAAGTGAAGTTGAATGCCGCTGAATTGGTCCAGCCAGGTCAAATTAATTGCTCCGTCCGACTGGAGTTCCGTTCTGCTCTCTTTTCATAAACAAGTCATTATCATGTCTCAAAGTTCAATAAATGCTGAAAAGAGAAAGAGAGAAAGACATTGATAGACAATGCATACATAAATATGTGCCATGTAAAATTCTGGTATTAAGGAAATGATTTTTTTTGTATGAGGCGAAAATTTCCATGTGTGTAACTTTCTTGGTCTACCACAAGACAAATGCGCATGTTGAGCTATGCAATTACAACGTTTTGAGAGATACTTTTTAATCCACAAAATGACGCAACAAGTATTGTCAGTACGAACTAGTATCATGTACATGCATTCGTAACATGTTCAGTTTTTTTCAATAACTGAGTAATTCTTTTTTAGTTCTTGTAAACAAATTTAATGACGCATACGCAAATTAAAAATATGTTCCCTGTTCAATTTTATAGGGCTTGGAAGGAAGATCATCAAATCCAATTGCCTTACTATTTGACACTCTAAATCATCCTCAAGCCGACACGTAAGATTATTATTTTTTCAACAAGAATTAAGACTTAATTTAAAACAACGTGAACAACACCTTTTCAGCGGACTTGAACTGCCATCGCTCCTAGATTGGAAACACAGATCCGAATATGAGATTGACCACGTCGTCATCGGGAAAGGCCCGGCGCCTGGTGGGGCTTGGCAGTCCATGGAAGGCGACGTCCTGACCATAAGTCGTGGGTGTTGGATGGAGCTTCCTCAAATCAATTTCAGAGAGTGGGAACGAATGCAACAGTCGCGATTTCAAAGGGAGTCAAGGGCAACGGTAGCATCGGTGGCGCAATATTACTGCGACTACGTTGCGGCCCATGACCTTCAAAAATATTTTCGCAACTCATCCGTCATTACTGAGGTGACGGTGTGTCAGTCAAAAAGTCTTCCAGAGCATTGTGATAACATTCCTCCAGATTTGATAAGTGGGGATGAAGATGAAGATCGAAACTTCAGGAGACACACGATCAGTGAGATTCCTGTTGGCAAAGCTATACGAAAACGGTACGCAAGCATAGAATTCGAATGTGTTTGATTGAATAGTCCAATGATTCGAAATTTATGATTAATACATAGCAATCAGAATTTGTGGACTGTCAAAGGATATGTAAGTTTTTTTTAAAATTATTATAACCGTCGATTAATTAAACGGTCAATTAATTATCTGCTTAATTCTTTTCAAAGGACAAGACGAATAATGGGATACAACCATTTACATACGTGACAAAAAATCTTTGTCTGGCCACAGGGACCACCGACCTCCCAAATATACTCAACGTCCAAGGAGAAAATCTTCCATTTGTTTTGCATTCCTTGAATGAACTCGAGAGTCTCATCAATTCGGGGGAGTTGAGTGAATCTTCAGACCCGGTGATGATAATCGGAGCTGGCCTAAGGTACGTATGTAAATATGGCAAAATGCAAATTTAGTTGTGCGACCTTTTGGGTCCATATTTTTATTGGTATGTTTTCTTAATTAGTGCCGCCGACGCAATTATTGCCACCCGATTCCATTCTATTCCAGGTATTATATTACTCAACTGATAAATAAATTTAAGTTGTCTATGTACGATAAGCTTAATTGGTATTAATTTTCCCTAGTGGTCCATTGTTATCGTAGAAATGTGGACGATAAGAATTTAATTTTCAAGCACCTTCCCGTCAACATGTGAGTAAATGGAGATTGCTAACTCTTATTCCATCTTTCGTTATTTAATTGTTCCATTATGTTCGTAAAAAGGTATCCCGAGTATCACAAAATATATCAGATGATGCAGTACCCATCGGGTTATGAAGGATATAAAGTTTTTGAACAACATGTTGTGGCGGATATCCTCCCAGACAGAAGGGTAAAATTGGTTGGACCGAGCTCATGTCGCATTCTAAGGGTTTGTCATCCATATAAATAAATAAGAAATGCCTACTTATTAACATTATGTACATCATAGTAATTGATTTATCTGAATTTCTCAGGTTTCAGCTGTCGTTGTCTGTATTGGCTCTCATCCTGATTTGTCATTCCTCGGAGACATTCAGTACGACATAGGAATTCACCCTGGAATGAGAATAGATTGCAAGAGGTAATAAGTCATAATGATACACAAGTAGTATACTTACGATTTATCGGATTTACTGGATTTTGAGCTCAGACAAAAAATTTAAATTATACATTTTTATGTATTTAGGAACCCTCTTGCAATAAATTTTGCAACTCATGAGAGTGTTCGTCAGCCTGGCTTGTTTGGGTTGGGACCGTTGGTCGGAGAAAATTTTGTTAGATGTAAGCGCTTTGAATTGTTGTGGCGTTTCAGTTATTATTATGCATATCTGATTCATTCTCGTACGTAAAATTATTTAACAAGTTTTTTGTTTGTTCCCAGACGTACAAGGCGGAGCACTTGCCGTTTCCAATCATCTATTAAAACAGAAGAAGGAGGAAGTGGAAAGAAAATAAAAATAATCATCATCGCAGAGTGGTACTTAAATATGCTGACAACCAAATCAATCAATTCCCATTGCTGTTATCCGGTAAAAAAAGATTCTTAAAAGCAACCAGACAAAGGAACGGAAGGGATGTTAATAACATCATGTTATCTCCAAAAAAATGTATTAGCAAAACATTTACTTATCTATCATGCACGATGTATAACTTAGCGATTAAGTGTAAGTAGTACTGGTATCAGCACAAATTCACACGTTGTACCTTACAGAAAATATAGTCTGCCAAGTTACATATAGTTCTCTAGATGCAAAATATAAATTTATACGTGAACTATTGCATTGTAGACTGCACAATAAATAATTTAACCTGTAAATGTACCTGTAAAGCTACTCTACAGACTTTTTCAAAACAAATACCTGCAGTCAAATAATATTACTGGGTTTGGGTACAGCTAATTGTAATTCGTTTTTAGAAATATGTACATAGTCGTGAATATAAATACATGTATAAATACACACATACATCTACTAGCTAGTCAATATATTTCGAACTATGTACATACATATGTATAGCCGTGCACGGATGTGTAACCATATTATCTATGTGTACATTTATATTCATTCCTTGCTATAATTTTAAATATATCTGCAGTATTATATAATATGCTGCTTGCTTCGTTTTCAGGACTGTTTATATTACATACACATTAATATGTGCCTATACTTCCATTATATCAGGTGTAAACCAAATTATTTTTTTCTAGCATTGTTCAATTTATGCTTTTAGTCATGATCAATCATGAACGCTACAATTCGTCTGCTCTTATACAATTTATAACAATTTAGTTTGATTAAAATAAAATGACAAACAATTAAAATTATCAAATTGTAAACATGAAAGATTTTTCAATTTATTATAAGTATTCAATTTATAGATGAATAAAATTTCTTTCATTTACTACGCCCTTTTAGCTTTGTCTTTCCAGACGGTCTTGTCGTCCTCGCTCAAGTTCTATGTATAATGATTTTAAAACCAATCAATTAATTAACCACGTTAAAATATATCGGCAATTACTAATAAAAGGAAATGTAAAAGCACATACCTTCCATTCCTCATCAAACATTTTGAGGACTTGGTCCATGGTCTTGTCCATCTTTGTCCGCGTCTGGACTTCGATCTCCTTCTTCTTGCTCAAGGCAAAGAGAAGGTAGCCATTCATTTTCTTCTTCTTAGCATTTGAAGACCCTGCCACTTCTCGACCAGCCCTTGAGGATTCTGGCATTACTCGTCCAGCCTTGCACGATTCATTGTTCAATCCTTGTGTTTCCGAACCTGCAGGTCGAATTCCCAAAGGGTCTCCAATACTTGCTCGAGAAGAAGCCCTAGATGAACGATTAATACTGACGTTGCTTCCAATTTCCACCAAATTGCAAACATTGTCGTCATCTTCATCGGAATTTTCTTTAACGGGTCGGCCTCTCCCACGTCCAGCTCCAAGACGACTTTGCCTTCCTTCGTTAAATTCCATTCCAAATGACCGCATTCGTTGATAGTAGGCGTCCATTTCTCGAATCTTCCTCTGATACGCTGCATGGTCAAACACGACGACTTTTTCTTTTTCTTCTCCAGACTCTTCTCGAAGCTCATCTTCACTACCATCTTCAGTAACCTCAATATCTATCTCGCTATCTGAGGCGCTGTATGCCATCCTGTTACCTGTTCCGTCGTGGACAACAAAATACATAAATTAAACTAAATAATTAGTAGTATACTAATATACTTTATAACACGAAATAACTGAATTTTCGGACAAATATAAAGGCAAGAAGATGAAACAGACAGAACTATTTTATAGACTTACTCGGGAATTTGAAAATGGATTAATCTATTCTAGTTTGAGCCGATTATTCAATAAATTGAAAATTGACACCGGGTTGGGTATCAATTTAGTCTTTTAGCTTAATGAGTTTGTAATTTAACTAAAAAATCTTCAAATCAAAAAATTAAAAATTAACGAATGGGAAAAGTACAAAATTTTGGAAAGTCAAATTATCTCCAAACAGAGACAACAACAATTTGAAGTTGTTGGAATGCCTGCTGACTGCCGGCTGAGGTGTGAGGAGAATGCACAGAGTTGTATATAACAAGGGAGAATGCGAGTGATCAACTCTATGAGTAGAGTGCATTCGTTGAAAGGCATGCATCAGATCAATAGGAAAACATTTTATGAACGTTCGGTCAAGTTAGTCAAAAATTGTAATGTAAATGCTTCAAAAAATAGTGATATGTTTATTATCAGCTTGATTAATGTTGATTACATAACAATTGCTTACACGAACTTATACATATACTTGTGACAAAGTTACTAAATAATTTGTTAGCAATTCACAATTTGTAAAATGCATCAATTCATCAATGCATCAATTCAAAAAATTGGTGCCAAATAATAGAAAATAGTTAACAAACATTCAGCCATCCCCACTACGGGGGTGATAATATTAGTCCGATCAATTCGGATAACAATTTAGAAGAGGACTCGGTTCCTGACTTGTCGACTTCATTTCGAATGAATGAAGGAATGAAGTCGACATTAGGTTATTTGTAATGAATGAATTACGAATTGTATTTATGACTACAACAGTTGACCTATCTTTGAATTTCATAGTCATGGTCACCCCGCATGTGTTTTCATGATAAAGTATTGAAATCTGTTTACATGCCATAATTTTTAAAAATTCGTTGTTGGCGTGGGGAGTTTGGGATATTAAAATTTCAGATTGGTAGTGGCAATAAAATAATTTCGTCTTATTTCGAGCTTATTTTTGTTTATAGCACTCATTTAATTTTAATTCATTCATAAATCATCTTGTACTTCAGAAAAACAGCCTTTATTAAGTAACCCAACTATCGACCTAAGGACACCAATGATGGCCACCAGTTGGCAGAAGGAATAATTTATTGAGGGGTACCATCCAGGTGAATTAATTTAAGGTAGGTGCATTAAAATATGTTGTTAACAAAACTAAATCCCAGCAAAAACATAATCTAACTTAAGGGGAAAATATGGAGGGATCACAAAATGGACACAGTGAAGAGGGTCACATGAAATCAATTCTGAAGCCGAGGTCCAAACCGTCGACACATCTTCTGAAGGGGAAAGGGTCCAACGTAGCAGCAGCAGCAGGAGGGGGCGTGATGAGGGACACAACGGATGGCAAGAAAAGAAGGGTGGAAATAACTACGCCACCGCATTCCTCGACCTCCCTGAAAAGGTCAGGAAGAGCGGGTTACAAGCATACTCCACTCCCTCGTGTCGCATTGGTAAGATATCATTGCAAATAAATGGCTAAAATGATTGCTCCAAATTACAGAAATGCGTATTTGAAATTGTAACTTTGTTCCAGCTACCCCCTAAATCTGCGAACCTTGAGAAACTTCGTCCAAAACCAAAAACATTCCTCAGTCATAGAGCATCATCCTTAAAAAGAAGTAACAGCACCACGACCTCGCCACGCCCACCTGCTGTAAAAGCTTCAGCATCCATGTCAAAGCTCAAATCAAATCCAGTAAGTAGCAGCTTAACGGGGAAAAAGCACGGTCCAAATTTTTCAAAGAGAAGCAAATCTACGAAAAAGATGAAAAAGAAGAGCAAATCCACCTCAGATTTAAGGTCAACCACGGTTCCTCCAGTGGGAGAAAATGGGGGGAAAGAGTACATTAAGCAACTGGTAACCATTAATGAGCTTCTCAAATCAGTAACGGATCCGACTACTCAGGAAAGTCAAGGGGCTCCATTGATAGGGGGGTTTGTTCGTCCGTTCTCTGCTGATGAATTGCACCAGTTGTTAACTAGCGTGGGCAAGGTGGCTACAATTCATCAAGACCCAGCCTCGTTAACCCCACAGATTGAACCACAAGAGGATGAATCGAAGAAATCAAAAACTAATGAAATCATCATTTCGGAAAATGTGCAAGCAAATGAAAATGTAACAAATAATCCAACTAATCCTGACGATTCTCCCCCTGCAGCCATTAAAGTGAAAAAGAAAAAAAGAATATCACGACGCAAATCTAACAAGGTTCAAAAGACCAAGTCGACTTCATCCACAAATTCCAAAAATGCCAAGGATCAAGACCTGCCTCCAAAATCAATTCCAGCTCAGGGATCAGCCAACAAAAATCTTGCATCCAAGAAGACACTTAAATCTAACGTGAAAACTTTGAAATCCAAATCTAAGAAAAATTTAGGCGATCCTCGTAAACGGCAGTCGCTTGAAGACTTGGAAAGCGAGTTATCCGAGCTGGATTTGGTTAAATCTGCAATTCTAAACAGAAAGTACTATGAAGAAAGTTTGGCCTTAGAACACATGAATTCTAAAGATGATGAGCAGACAGCTAATAAGAAAAGCTCTGAAAGTCAGAAGGTGTCAGCCAACAAGAAAAAGTTGAAAGATTTAAGGCGTCTTCAGGCTGCTCATAACTCTGCCCACGAGTTGATTAGTCCAGTCCTATCTCGATCCTCAAGTCCAAATAAAGGTCACAAAATAGATTTCATTGAAGCAGATACAACCTCAAAACCTGGAGCTGTCACTGCCGGTACTCCTGATCGCTCTGCTGGACCACTTCCACTCCGCCCATTGAAACCCACGGATACTGACGATGGATATAGTAAAGCCATCGGAAATGTCTTAATAAATTACAGCCATGTGATTCGTCCATCAACTCGGAGAGGAATTTTGGAACACGTCAGTTCGAAAACAAAACTAGAGAATCGAGGAGTTGCTGAGTTGGAGCGTATGTTGGAATCAGATAATGATACTCCGGAATTTGAAAAACACATAAAAAGCATAAAGTACGGTGGCCCCATTGCACGCAACATGCTGGATATTGGTCATGTACATGTTTCAGATGAGCCACCATCTCAGGGAAAGTATACAAAAAGTAACATCACCAAACTTTCAGCCGAAGAAAATTTGCCGACATCCATTTTGGATAAAAATGGGCAGCGCTCGTCAGAAACTGGTTTAGACGAACAACGAGTTACAAGGTCAAGACGAAGTCACAGAAGGAACAGAAAGTCCAGAAGTCCAAGCAGTCAAGAACCCCACAAGTCTCCAATGACAGCTCCAGTGATTGGATATCACGGTATTTATTCATAATAAATGGGTTATTTTCAATACTCAGCGTACTTATAATGTACTTATGCATGTATCCTATAATTCCATAGGTCCACTCGGAACTTTGGAAAAGAAAATGCACACTGTAACCAGAGGTGGTCTTCTAACTCACTCAGCCCCACAGCCTGTGAAATTGGCTGCTGATTCGACCATATTCAACTTGGTGAAACCCCACCCTTCTCGATGGAATGAGCAAAGTATAGCTCCCAGCCTCTTTGTGGGACTTCCAGACACGGGCGCATCTCGCTGGACCATTTTGAATGAGAGGATTTTGGAGAAGAATAAAGAACTAACAGGTGTGAAGAATGAATCTCGACGAAAAGGCACTCGTCAGCCCTACACAAAGGGTGGCAACATAAATGCAAGATTTAACATGGACGTTGGAGAAGAGCGAAGAAATTTTCTCCAGAATTTGGATAAAGCAAAGAAGGCATTTGACACTTTTGGCGTGCATAACAGTGTAATGGACAGAAAACCATACTGGAAACCTGGGAAAGCGCAGTATGCCAACATTGCCAACGCTTTTGGATTTGATACTGTGAGGAATGGCCGGACAAAATAACTCGATTATGATGAACCAAAGTCTTGAATAGATTTTTACTTGGAGTTTTTCCTGTAAATTTCAGTAATATCTTCTACATCTTTATAATAGGGCCCCAAATTCAAAATCATATTTTGTAGAATACATCTATAAGCTCTGCGAGATATGTAGGCTTGCTCCGAAATATATGATGCATTGTCCCTTGTTCTCAATTTATTTCTATGCTCATCCCTCATTTTACATGCACATGTACAGATATAAGTACTGTAGGTATACCAAGCATGAGTATTTAAATTCAAGTTTGTATGCAATCGTTTTAGTTTTATGGCGACAAGTTACAAGGTCTACTGGAATTTAAAAATTCTATCTTTTGTGTAGTGAATTAGTAGTTGGTGAGGCTGTTCTGAGCATATACGAAAGATTGCAATCCATGCTTATCTTACTCAGGTCTAACGCACACAAAGTCTAAAGTGTTGGAGGAGTTGAGTGCCAAAAACAGATTTTATCCGTAATGATCATAACATTTGTCTAGCACTTGACTTATTATTACTAAAGTGACTAACATGCACTCACTTCATTGTACGATAAGACATCGTCACAAGATAGGTTGTGTAAGATGTGAGTAGGTCTCTCTAATGACACCGTGTGAGTGCATATCCATAATTCGGGCGCCTTATCATCTGTTCCTACATACATTATTCACTAAACTTAATAATTAGCTCATACTATTACTCACACATGCATATGTACACATGCATATATATTTAGATACTCTGGTAAACCAAGAGACGCGGATAACAAATTGCACCCCAAAATATCTGACATTTGTTGATTACTCTTGTGAACGAGGATGAATGCTCATGCCAAGTTTACCAGCGGGTGACGGCAATAACGAAGGTCAATCTTGTCTGATAGATGTTTAACTTGCAAACTTTCAATCCATTATTAAGTATGCATATCCACGTTTTTAGTTGGTGTCTTGTCTGCTCCTTCTACTAAAATAATCTCAGGCCAACTATTAATACTGACACTAATGCCCTCAACATATACGTCTAAAAAATATGTACGTATTTATATTCAGTCACTCAATCATTGTTAGTGAAGCAGAAAATTGTCGTTGTTGCAGTTCAAAAAAGTATAAATATGTTCGGGTGTATCCTCGTGATAAGATCTGTGCTATTTTATATAATCTTGCATTTTCCGACGGGATACGTACAGAAATCAGAAAAGCATTCAGTAATGAATTGACGGGAGAAACATGTAAAGAATATTTTCTCATCTTGTCTCCCACGTCGATCAATCTACGTGCCACCAAAGGAACGAAAGGAAGCAAATGTGTAGTGTGAATTATGGATGAAAATGTTTGTTTAACCACCCTCAGCTTATCGCTTTATTATGTGAATATACCAACCTCCTAAGGGCATTGCCTTTCTAAGAAGATTTTTAAATTATGAAAACACAGATGATGCAAGTGTGCAAGGAAAAGATTTAAGAAAATCAGTGTTCATCTGTTGATTCCCAAATTTAATATGCATAACGTCCTAGCAAATCTATCTTCGCAATATCCTCTTGAACTTGCATTCGTGGGTTGAAAATTTCTGCAAGTTTTTATATGAAAACATCAAATTCTATTAATAGACGTCTTAAGTGTAAAAGAATGCGTTGTAAGGAGGAATAATTAGGCAAAGTTGGTGGTGGTGTCGGAGCTTGTAATTACAACTGTCTACGTAGAGATACTAATCGTCTAAAACGAGTTTAAAATAAGTGTCGAGGTCGAATTTAAAGGCCAACAGTTCTAATTTGTCATTAATCCTCTTCCGCACAATTAAATTCGCACATATCATTTACTTGCAAAACTAATGCCACCAATCGAGTTATTTAGCCGCGTAATTAATATAAATAGCCTTGCATAGCCTTCTTCCAAATTCCTCTAAAAAATTGTGACACATTTACTTGTAAAGAATTCTGTAAATTATTCACAAGCATTTGTCATACTATTTACTATTAAAATCCGGTGCATTAAAAGCTTATTGTCCATTATTGTGATCCAACAGTCCAAGTTTAAGACAACCGTATCGCGTTCCAGACTAAGAAACTCTGAAAATATTTATCCAAGAAAGAAAGCGAACACAATAAACGGTCTAAACGCAGTCGACGTAGTAAAAATTGCCAAAGCTCTTTTATCCCCCAATCCGTAATACGGATTCCGTATATGCAAGTTGTGTTTTTGTTGCGCACACTAATACCAGTATTGTACATGCTTGCAGAGGAGAACAAGAAGGTATTATGTGTATAGAGTGCAGGTAAGCACTATGTATGAGTTTCATACAGGTTGATGAAAGTACGAAGGGATAAGTGGTGTATTGAAATCGGTTGTATGAATGTCAAACTTTTGCCACACCACTAACTCGGTTTGTTTCTTATATTCGCGACCTACAATGCCTTGTCATACAACAGCTATTGGCGAAACCCCGAATTCCGGTTGCTGGTTGAGTCGGTTAGACAGGCAGGCAGGCAGGCAGGGATGGAGTCAGCTCTCAATTCTATATGACGACAAAGTCAATTCGTGGGAGAAAATACTAAATACAGGACCATACACATGGCACCGTGCCGTCCATGTGAGAGCTTGGTTAGAGGAACACGATGTTGCCTTATGTACAACTAGATTTCGAATGGTAGTGTTTAGTTTTAGTTGTTCGTCCATCGGGTGGTTTTCTCTCGGACTTATTGTGTCTCAATAGAAGAGTCTCGTATTTTATTATTAATAATACACCAGGGAGTCAAGATACATATATATTCGTGCTTTATACGAGAGTGCACCTGTGCTCTGCCCTCTATTTCAGAACAGACATTATCGACATTATCAGATAATCAATAATTTATCAGATTAATCGATAGGACGGACATCCGAATTCCCAAACTCAGTGTCAGTGTTTCACTTTACTCGCGATACACATTGGTCTCGTCGTCTCTGTGGAGGAATTAGAATGAAGGTGAAGAAAAAGGTGTGTATCGTTCATATCGGCTTTCGACTTCTATTGCCCCACTCCAACTGAATGACCAAAATCTAGCCAGCCCATCAGCCAGAGGAAGATCACACGAAAACGGTACCGTAGTTTGCGGCAGTGTCCCACAAAGCCCAAGCTGTACATTGGTAATTCTGGCCTAAAAGTTACGAGCAAAGTAAAAATTGACACCAAGCCTCAACATGACCGCTAAATTTCTTGCAATTCTTTTTAGTATCACACAATGTTTACATGTATAGTTCGTACCAAAAATGAGAACCCTCGAATGGGGTAAAAGTGTGGAATCCCAAAATCCCGTGATTCATCCTCAAAATCAGTTCAAATTTTATTACGGGTAACAACTTTCTTATGAAAACAAAGTGGTGGATCAGTGAACAAAAACCAAATGTGCGAAATAATATGTAGGAAAAATATATACACGTAAAAGTACTACCTAGTTCTTCGAAATAGGAACTGTCTCGCAATTATTCACATATTTAGTACTTTATGCAACTGCATATTTGTAACCAATCAAGTAATGCTAGCATAACATTCTTCGAGGTTACCCAAAGCTGCTTCATACGAGTCGTCCCAATTTGGACGGAATGTCTCAAGAAACCAGTGTTATATTCACACCTTTGAGAAAACCATGTAATTCCGGAAGAAATCCAGATGCTGAAAATGTTCCTTTTACAATATCTTCGAGGCAATTAAACCTAGACTTTGATTTACCTTCATCAATCACGAGCAACGGTGCAAAGACATGGTTGGATCATGGACAAAAGAATCAATTAAACATAAAAGACGGGGAGTATTTGCCACAAAATGAACGAGATAAATTTGATTATGAGAACTTAGCCTGTAAACCCTTGGAGGAAGTAAACCCAGAATTTTTACGTGACGAAGTAAGCTTTCATTTCATATCCATATGAACATGTAACTTTATAAACGGGGAAATATTGCGACAATGAACTCGTCCACGAGTTCATCATGATCACGGTCGTGCGACATTTGCACAAATTGAATGCTTATGATTACTCTCTGATTTGCTTAATTGTTTGCAGACGTTTCTAGTCGTTGGACGAGATGGAAAAGTTCACCGCTTGTCTGCAAAAAAGTCTGCGTTTATTTTTAATCCTTTCAATCGGCTTAGAAGAATCGGAATACTTATTTCATGGAATTGGCAGTTACCAGTGCTAACAGGGATTGCATTGGGCTGCCTTTGTTTGTCTTTTATTCTGCCAAATTATGCGAGTAATTCCATTGCAACGCTTGTCTGGAATTTCACAAGGTTCGTTTCGTTTTGTTCACTTAAATTATTTTTATGGTAGCAGCAGCTTGAAACTTTACAGATGTAGAAACCTCCTTCAAATAATGTTTTAAAGGATCTATACATTACGTGTGTACTTGGCAGAAAAGTATTTCGTATATAATAATGATAACAAAAGAAGAGGAATGCATACTTCAAACATGTAACAACGTTGTATACATATGTATATGCCTATGTGCATGTATATACGTACGTATACTAGTTCAATTAGCTTATTTGTAGGACAGAAAAGCGTCGATAAGCCTGAGAAATGTGGAAAGAACTTGACATTTTTCAGATAATTGGGTCTGTCATTGATTAATTACTGCGCATCGTCAAAAGCTTAGATTTTAATTTAATCAAACAAGAGCGAAATACAATAAATTTCAACTTGGTGGGTCTTCCAAATTTTATATTTATGTATTCCCACAATCCCACTAATGCATTCACATATATACATTTGTATATAAGTACACGCAGATATACGTACTACCTATTTGCATAGCTCGTCATATTCTCACTGTGTGCACACGCCGCAATTAGTGAATTAAAATGTTTTCACGACCAAAAAATTTCTTTCATTTTAGATACGTTTTTGGAGGACTTCTTTTCTCTGAAATATGTGCCAACGTTTTAGCGAGAGGGATCCTTGTATCTAAATTCAGCTACTTGCGAAGCCCTTGGGAGTGGTTGGACATCGCCATGTTTATTATTATGTATGCAAAGCGTGAAATTCGTGAAATTTGAAATGATTCATTTGTGTATTTGTATTCGCTGAATGGCAACTTTTTCATTGTATTGATCGTCATTGTAGATTTTTGAACGTTTATTGGAGAAGTTTGTTCCTACATTCCTTGTCTGGAGTTCTGTTGCTCAAATTCATTCCAATCGTACCTGGTAAGTTTTGTAGTCAAAAGACGTAATACCAAAATACCAATCAATCAATCAATATTATATGGGAGTAGTTGAGGCTTCAGAATATTTGACTTAATGGGTGTGGTGAATGTCTTTCATTCAGCATTAAGGACCGGATTTCATGTATTAACCACACAAATTCTCAAGAACCTCGTACCTGCTCTAATATACTCATTGCTCACACTTTGGATCCTGTCCATGGTCGGCTTGCACATAAAAAGCCATCAAATGCAAATTCAAAATTCGAACGCTGCAGATAACACTTCCTTCAACTGTGCACATCCCTTGACCCCAGATAAAGTAATAGCCAGAGGAGGAAGCGACGACAATCAATACCAAAATGAGTCTAGTGAATCGACAAGAAATTATGAACTGCATCTTCCAAATTCGAAACAAACCCCTTTTCTTCCACGACAATTAACAGAATGGAATACAAATTCAAGTTCAATACTCAATGTCTCCTTTAATAACAACTGGTAATTCCCCCAATGTTTCCTATTGCGCGTTGGATTCATATGCATCTATGTAAATATGTTACATGTAAAACAACTTATTTCTTTAAGCTTTGAAGATTATAGACTCATTGGGTCGACGTCCCGGATCATCAACATTTTCTTCCAAACGACGGGTATTACTACGTTTCAAGCCTTTGGGGTGTTTCCCAATCAGGTAAGAACAAACTATTGTGTATTATTTTCCATTCACTTTGACACATTTTATACGTTATACAATGTGCGTGCAGAATGCTCATGAAAAATTCGTCGTCAGTCACTACTCCATTCTTACGTATGCACATTCCACCGAAATCTTCACATGTCATTCCTTCTTAATGCAGATTGATCCACTTCTGAATCACTTCCTATATGTCACCCTAACTCTGGTCTTCGGGACTTTTGGGGTGAGTGTTCTGGCAGCTGCGAGTATTGGATTTGGCATATTCGATTTCCAACCCCACCACCACCACCTCCACGCCCACCAAACGGGGCCTGTTGGACATAAATTTCCGTGTCTTCCACGATTTCAACTACCTCAGTGTGATCATGGTGCCTTCAATGTGTTTAAAAAAGTCTTGTTTCACCCGTTTATGGAACTCTTTATGACCACCGTCATTTGTTTGGACATTGTTTTCCTGTCGTTGACAGTTTCCCACACGCTGAATGAGTATGGCTTCGTGTCCTGGATTCTTAAAAATGGACAAGAGGTTCATCCTTTCTCATAGTGAATTATTAATGTCTGCGCATGCTAATAATATACAGTTTTCTGAATTGCAGGCGTTCATGCTGCTTTATGTGGTGGAGACACTGTTAAAACTGTTTCTAACTCCTTCAATGACAACCTGGTGGACGTTCCTAGACTTTCTTGTTGCAACGATCTTCGTTATAAATAAGGTTTATCCGTTGCCAATTTTGGTGCATGTATGTACATATATGCGAAAATATTTTACCCAGATCTGTATGCATGCATGTATAGTTTATCTAACAATGATTTATTTTATTTGCAGTTTAGAGTAGTGAAAATTATGTCTCGATGGCCAACTTTGCAGCTAATATTCTACGTATTTTTTAAAAGTCTTTATTCAAGCCTGTCCTTCTTGGCAATCCTCCTCTTGGGATTATTTAGTGTAAGATATGGAGTAGCAACGTACATTGATGGTAGGCAATAAAGTAAAATCACCGTCATTTCAATATCGATTATGAGATTATTGAAACTAAATGCAATGCACTTTGTTTTATTGGATACTTTCAGGTTCAAATGTTTTAAATAAACGGGTGCTGACTTGGCTGGACGAGCTATTTCTATTTAATAACTGGACAACGGTCTTTGAAAACTGCAAGACTGGGAGTGGAATAATAACCTTATGTTTTGCAACCTGGTTGTTCGAAATAATTTGTGGCGTGGTGTTTGCCTCTGTGATATTCGTAACTGTGATTTATTACACGTGTGACTTGGCTTCAAGACCAATGGATTGTTGTTTTGAAACTGAAAATTACAAAAACTTGGAAAAAGCTATTTCACTCTTAAAGTCGCAGCTTCCAAAGTGTTTCTCATCATGCATCAAAAGCAACGAAAGGTCAAATTCGTGCCCTTCTCCCCCTAATCCAACAGCAACCAGTCCCAGAGTGAAAGTGATTCCTACTGATCTTCCAATCCCTACCTCAAATGGTGGACCCAACAATAACGCTCATCATATTATGGCTCACCATGTACCTAAGATTATAATTAACGACGACGTTGAGGAGTTAGGTCCGGACGACTCTCGACCACAGCAAAATTCACAAGTGTCTTCCATGATGCAGTTTGTTCGGCAATTTCAGTCCACCAGGTTTTTCTCTGTTGGAGTAATATTAGGGGCCTCTGCTGCTTCCGTGAGCATAGTTTTTAATTTTCTAAACTTTTTAGCTTGAAGACAAAATGATAATCATTAATTTGATGTAATTTATAGATTTTAAAATTTGATTTATTACAAAGAATGTCTCCGTACTTCAATCCAAGATTGTACATTGATTTCCTGTTTGTCTGCTATTTTCTGCTCATCTTACTGTGGAAGCTGGTTAAAAACAATTTCAAATCGCTAAAAAGTCCTCCTTGGCTGTTGGATTTTCTCATAGTTTCGGTACGCCACCATTATCAAAAGTCATTACGTAATGATTATGCATGCTTAGATTTATGTATGTATGCGTATTATGGTTGTCATTTAACAGGCCAGTGGTTTCACACTTTACACTTCTATCTTGAGTAAAGTGAGCCTTCAAGACATTCCTGCAGTCAAATTGATTACCTCATTAAGTTATTTTCGGGCACTTATGCTTGTCAACCGATTGGAATGGCTGAAGGTAAGAATTTCCATTGGTTCTATTTTTACCAATTTTCGATAGTTTTATATTAAAGAAACCTTCAAACCTATGGACGGGTATGTATTTTAACATGGGTTTTATTAAATATATAGATGGGCCTGGTTGGAATCACTTCTGTTGTTCGTGCTTTGTGGAGATACCTCTTTGGACTGTCTGTTTTATGGATTTGTCTTATTTGGTTGAAGAACAATTACGAAACAACACTGAGCAGCAGCAAATGGTTCACTAATGATGATATTAGCCGTGAAATGACAAATGCAAGTCTGGGTACAACCGTTGCAACAGTACGCAAATAATACTGATCATTAATTTAATGGACTAAATACATGCTTTCCTCTTGTATCTACATATGTAAATATATTTGGCTTTCTTTCCCAATTAGATCTCAATTAAAACAGGCCTGCTCTTCGTCCACATTTTACTTTATGGAGTTTTTGTAGGAGTTGTGATAGCCGAACTTTTGAACAGCGAGGTAAAAGTCTAACTTTAGTATTAAATACCAAGTCTAAAATTAGTTTGATTTGTATCAAAGCTAAAATTAAAACGGTATAAATGTTTAGTTTATAAATAAATTAGCTATAAATCGATCATTTGTTCATTCTAGTTGCTCGCTTCGTTCATGACGCCTGCTCAATGTGCGATTTATAAAGACAAGAAGCTCAGCTTTCACCGAGAAAAGACATATCACATTCCAGCCCCAAAACAAGCAGGCCTATGCAGTCAAGTAACGCATTATGTAACGCTCACACATGCTTTTGACATTACTGTGATGGTCACCATAATTTGCGACTGTTTGGTGATAACTTTTCATCATCTTGCGACATCGAAGGTTAAATTACAATACATATTTAATTATACTTGCAATATTCTCTTTTTACATTGCTAAGTGCTAATTTTTTTCTAAATTTTTGTAGGATTGGCGAATTATTTGGGGACACTACCCGGTTTTCATTATTCTTGTGTATATGTGTGAATTGTCAATGAAACTTTTTGGGTGGAGAAAATACTACTGTAAATCGGCTTGGAATTTGCTCGACTCTGTTATAATAGCTGTTGGAATTATAGGTGACACAATTATTCACCAGAATTGTACATATGTACATGAAGAATTAGGATGTGTATTAATGAAAAATCGTATACGTTTTTCCAGATATTTTAGTTTTCAAAATTCAGCTCGGATTTGTGACTGCGGAGACAATTAGATTTTTCCGAATACTACGAATCTTCCAACTGCAAATTTTTACAAACAATGCCAAACTTGTCTACATTTGCTATTCATCTTTACTTCGAGTTCTTCCCTGTGTGGGAAACATTGTTTTTCTACAAGGAATTCTCCTCTACACGTTCGCCGCAATCGGGCTGAACAGTGGGATTAATAACAGCACAATAAGTTCTTCCAACAATAATAATATGAGCTCACTTGGTGATTTTCAAGGAGCTACGAGTGCTTTAAACAATATTTCAGTGTCTTTAATATCACTTCCATTTTATGGAAGCATAAACTCTTTCCAAATTGCTCAAACACATTCGTGTTGGTCGGAGTTTGTAGGAGTAGCTTTACCCGTGTACGTTTATTCGTTTATTATTTTAAGCCATGTTCTCATCGGGAGTTTTTTTGCAATTGTTTTGCATGAAATTCTCAAAACTCTGAGTATCAGTCAATCTTTGTATTCAAAACATGAAGAATTGCCTCATCACAGCGATGATGTAAATGAGAACAAGTACAAGCATACCAATGGAGGATTTCTTAATTGTGATTACGCAAAAAGTCCGGACGAGCCCGACTCTGTCTCAACAATGTTAACTCCAATGTCTGATGATCCTTTAGACGACGGGGATGAAGACATCAAGTACCCAATTAGAATGTCTGCTAATGGTTACATTCTTCATGTAGAAGCTATTGTTACAACTGTTTGATTATGAAAATAAAGTAGAAATTATTCGAAACTTTTGTGGACACCATGAATCATCGTATATTTATTTTTGTATGATTTACATACAAATGAGTATATTCAAGACTGTATGCCCAAAATAAATTTCCATTTATTTAATATTTTGTGTGAAGCATTTTAGTATATGTACTGACTCTACACTGCAAGTTAGAAATAGTTAAAAACTGGCAACAGACTGAAATTATCTTAATAAAATTATAAATACACACTCACATAGCTTACTTGTCTGGTAAATATTTGAGGAAAGTTGAAAAATGTCGAGATTTCGAGATTCTGATAATTGTGTTGCAGCTATCATTTTATTGCCAATAACATGTTTGCTAATCTTGTCATTTAACTGCAGCGAAATGGCGAATATTACTGCTAAATATAACGACGATTGTTCACCCTTCAGCAATGCAACTTCAGCATTTATACAAAACTTAACTAATTATGATACCAAAGAACTTTTGCTGAATTTCATTCAACACCGCGGATGCAAAGTATTAAACAAATATATTAATTACATTAAAATCAACAAATAATGAAGCCATATAATATATTAAATCTATCTTTTTCGATTTTAAGGGTACCCCAGATCCAACTACTGAGCAGAATTTGATGCTAAAATGTTGTGCATTAATGGGAAGCAATTCACAAGAATCCGCACATGGATCCTCCGAAATGAGTGAAGCTTGTTCTAACCTTAACCTCCTAAGTATTACGCAAATGGTGTGCAGTGAACTGTGAGTGGGTCGATTATTTAGTCATTAAGAATTATTTGGGAATTAACTGGCCTTTGTTTTTGGCCCAACAAGAAAAATGAAGAAAAATATCATGACGAATTTAAGAGTCTCTTAACATCAGATAGAGTGAGAGCAATTCTGGGAGGACTGCAATATGTAGATTTCCACAAAACCATGTTGGCAATAATTTACCAAAATGCTTTTCTAATAATTGTATAGAATTGACAAGTGGAGAGCGAAATTGGAATCGAAAATACACTTGCAGAAGAATATTTTAGAAATACAACTAAATGTTTATTTTAAATCCATATCATGTGTTACTTCTGATCCACGGGAATTGGCAATAAAATGATACATTGTTTCAGCTCTCAACTTCTTTGTTCAACGATTAACTCATACGGTTGTGGAGACAAGATTATGCCATAAATTGGTTCCGTTGTTGGCAGTTTCGTATCATGGACACGCCGGAAGGAGAAATTATGCAGCAGGTATGTGAAATACATGAAAACAGTGGTCCTTGCCAAGATCTCACCTATACACGACCGTCGACCTGCATAATTTTATGGAGCATTTTTAGTATTATCGTTAATGGTGTTTTAAATTTAATTGAAATGCGATATCATTAGCAGTATTTATATACCATGCCCCCAAGAAATTCCAATCAAGTCCACAAGCGAATTAAGTCCTCCATCAGGGTTCAAAAACCTCTCTGGTCGAAATTTGTCTGGGTCTCCCCAAGTTTCTTTGCTTCGCATTACACTGTACGTGTTGAAAGTTATTGCCGTTCCCTGTATATCAATCGATTGAATATATACACAATCAACACATAACTTCAATGTCCTTATTTATTTTGTAAAATTTATATTTCAATTACTTTCGGAATAACGTAACCATCGTATGTATAATCTGTCATTGCTTTTCTTGGGCCAGAAATTGGTAATATATTACTCATTCGAAAGGCTTCCATCAGTGTGGCATATGTGTACGTCAATCTAATTGGAAGAATCAGATTCAGCAGACATAAAGCATCAAGGAAATTAGAAGCAAACTATCTACTTGACGTGCAAATATATTAGTTATGAGATGATGTACTTAGCAATCTCGTACTTTGTTCTTTGTGAGAGAAGGATAGGTGTTTTCTTTGAAGGGCAGACAGAGTCGAGTTCCTCTTGAACTTTCGTTTGGACTTCAGGATTCAGTATCATGTACAAAATTGCAAAGGCCAGAGTGTTGCTAGAGGTCTCAAATCCACCTTAAATTTTTATTTAGTTAATGCGACTAAAATGTATGCAAATGTGACAATGTGTACCTTGAAACATGTCGTAGCAAATGATCATAAACTGCTCATCTACATATGTACATATGACATTGTTAAATTTTTGTAAAAATATAAAGTAAAATATTTAATGAACATTAATTCATTTAAGACAATTCTGAACCTGTGAATGCTGTCGTCAAATCTCCATCCTGGTTGTCGATTTCTCTCAAAAACACATCTACGAAACTTTGCGGATCTGTTTTATACGTTCCTCGACTTCGATGTTCTTGCATAATATCCTGTAAATGGTTAAAGTAATTAATTAAGGTTCTTATCTCATCAATATTTATATCATATGTTTATGTGAGCAATAATCTCTGTAAGCATAATATACCCTGGCAAATTGATGAATTTTTCGATTTCCATGCATCAAAGAGGAATAACCAGTCCACTCAGGAAACAAAAACCTTATGAAAGGAAAAGCTGTTATTATTCCAGACCCAAAACTTCCAGTTTGAAACCATCCAGAGTTAATTTCTAAAAGCTTAGTGAGCTTGGGGTCATCGTGATCATATCGCTTCGCTGCCATCATTGTCCATAAAACGTTCATCAAACTGGGCTGGAAAAATCGTTCCATCAGCACCTTTCCACCATTCACTTTTGAGGCGGACCGAAGTCGCTTGTCCATACATTCTAGCTCGAGTTCGACAATACTTTCCATCGAAGCGCTTTTACCAAACCCAAATTCTCTCAGTGCCTTTATGACGAATGTCTTGAGCTGTTTCTGCAAATCTCCGCTGGAAAATGCAATCCCTGCAAAATAGCGACATTTTTCGGGTTCTAATTATTGATATATGTATCCGCAAATACCCGTTCGTATCGTGATGCAATCTATCCTATATGCACTATGTATGTACATATATGTATGCATATATGTACGTACCTAGCTCTTTTCCAAAGGATCGATCTTCCAAAATCCCTGTCCATAGACGACCGCTAACCTCGTCTTTATCCAAAATAGCTTTCATGACTTTATGGGATGAAAGTACAACTGAAAATTAAAGCAATTTTCTAATTCAAAATACTTGCGTACATTCATTTAAGTATAGATACGTATGCAGTTTACCCATTTCTTGCAGCCCAACTTTCACACTCATAATTTCCCCATATTGCTCAGAAAGTTTATGAAATGCTCGATACCCGAATGGGTGGGCTTTGGCCATTTGAGGTAAGTTTCCAAGTATTGGGTACCTTGCAGGGCCAGGCGGTAACTTTCTATTTCTCCGCTTGGTTAACAAATAATAAATTAACAGGGCGGATACCACACACGTGAAAAATGTTGCAAACATTTTAAATTTGTATAAATCCTATTTTTGTTTTCGAGCTACAAATATCTGTCTTTGGTAAATGACGCAGATAAAATGAAAACGAAAGTCACCCATGCATTATTTTGCAGTCTTAGAATACATAAATGTACCATCACGTCATTGTTAAAGTCGGCATATAATCTCAAAGTTAATCGCGTTGTATTGTATAACTCAATTTTCAATTAACGCGAACATGAACTTTTTATGCACATAACATATTAAATTATAGTAAATTGAAAAAAAACATCAAGAGTGCTGATAACCTATGATTAGTTTTTGCGACAGCGGAAAAATAATTAATTCCATCATACTTTGACCACCACACGACACCGCTCATAGTATTTAGCGCATGTAATTTGCCGATTATAAATACATACACACGTTGTACGTACTGTACGTGCATACATATGCACACAATGGAAGACGGAATTTCATTTGGATTGATTTTACCGGAAAATGCTAAAGACGTTGCTGATTTTTTGCTGTCTAATTTTTTTCCAAACGAGCCAATATCCCGAGCACTAGGTAACTTTTGAATTTTCTAGCAAACTAATATGCTTAGTGGGACTAATGCTGATTTTCAAATAAATTTTACGTCACAAAGAACTTCCACCTAATCAAGTTCAGCGATGGTTTACACCCACCATTATTGGCAGTGTCCAACAAGAATGCTGCATTCAAGCGATTGACATAAAAACCGGTCAAATTGTCGGAGTTGCAATTAACATTTTAGTCGAGAAAAACTTGCAGGAACCAGAGTCTGTAGGGGAAGGAAGGGGGCTGTTAGACCTTCTTGATGTGACGGAACCTGTGATGGTTGAAATTGCTAAATTCCTCGGCTTCCTCAATCAAGGTGTAATAAGTATATACTTTTGAATGTAGGTATTGAAATTAATTAATGGGACCATATATAAAATGTTGGCTACTTAATTGTTCATTTTTAAGTTCCAATGCAAGTTTATAAACCCGGCATGGACACTGATGGACGGGTTAGGACGGTGAATTGTGTATACCTGAATGTTCTCCCTGCATATTGTGGAAAAGGGATCGGCAAGACACTGGTTGATAAGTCTGAGGTTATTGCAAGAGAAAAAAATGCTGCCTATATGCAGGTAAAATTAAATCGCCTTTATAATTGGAATAATTACTTTGAATTAATAAAAGGACCCCCTTGCTTTAATATTACGTGTATAAATGCATATTTTAGGTGGATACAACTTCAGAATTTTCGTACCGCATATTTAATCGGTGTGGATTTTCTGTCATTCGAGAAATACCATTGGCAGGACATCTGAGGAATATTGAAAGCATAGATAATGGTGTTCATAAACAGGGAAGGATATTGCTAAAAAAGATACGTCCTTGAAGTACAAATATTTCACAAGACAAAATCGGCATCGTTTCTCCCATCGAATGTAGCAATCAATTCAGTCCCTTTTATCAACCATTGAATTCCTATTAAATTATTTTCTAAAATAAACCGTCCAGTCATTGCTCTATATTTTTATTGATAAATAATAAATATCAAGATATACTACTAATGAATTTGTCCATCAATATACAGATACATAAATATATGCATCAAACTTTTATTCACTTCATTGGAGGAATTTATGCATGCATGTGTTTGACAGACTACGATTTAATCGGCAGTACCATAGGCACCTCCACCGGGGGACAGAAGTATAAATACGTCCTGAAAATATAATGCAATTAAGAATTAATAAATTAAGTTCATATTTTTATACCAAAAAATTCCTTACCCCAGGCTTCACAGGAACTGATGTCTTTGCGCCAAGGTTGATGGTTTTGTTTCTAGTCTTTAGTAGATTTTTCCCCTTGCATCCATCCGACCCCCCTTTCATTCCATACGGAGAAAACGCACGGCGTTCAGACAAAACAGATAAGGTCATATTTCTTCGGAACATAACTTCTCGGCGAACGCCATCTCCTCCGTTGAATTTTCCAACTCCTCCAGTTCCCCTCTCCAAACTGAAATGTTGAAGAATGACTGGGTACCTCTTTTCTAAAATTTCTGGGTCAGTGATCCTAGAATATGATTTTTATATTTTAGTATATAATTTTGCTAATAAAATAAAAATGACAACAAATCAAATGCAATCAACAGTACGTGGCTCAATGTAACCAATAATTCGCACACAATTTTTTAATGTACTGCATCGAATCTAGGTTCAAGAAACTTTTTGTGACACTTGAAAATCTGATTGAAAATAAAGATTGGCGTATAGATTATGCTACAAATTATGATTTCCTTGAAAATTGTAAATCTACACAATAAAAAAATTAATTAAATCACCTAGTGTTGGTCATGTGTGTATGAACTCCAGATCTTCCATGCCATGTTGGTCCCTTGAGAAAACAGGACAATTAGTGATTATAAAGATGATTTACTAGTACGAAAAAATTGAATAATTATGTTCATACAGCTCCAGCCCCACCAGCAATGGTTTCGTAGTACCCAACAGTTTCATGCCCAAAAGTTACATTATTCTAAAAACAAGATAGACGTACAAATTCAGAGCACTTCCTATATGTTGGTATGTCCATAAATACACACGTCGTTTTACAAGTCCTCAGAAATAAGAAAATTTACCGTACCATACAACCTTGTGAAGCCGCACATGCTTGAAAAGCTTTTAGAATGACATCAACAACACGCTGTGAAGTTAAGACGTTTCCTCCAACAACTGCTGCATCCTCGGAAGGACAAAGAATGTTTCCTTGAGGGTTGATAATTTTAATTGGAACAAGACAACCCTGTGTAAATTGAGTATTTTATTAAATAGCAACATAACGATAAGACGAAATATATACATGCTGATTTCATGCCTGATTGAGTGGGATATCCTGAGCTACTAAACACCGAAGACAGTAGATTATTGCCGACACTGTGATAGCTCTTGGTGCATTTAGGTTTCCCCACACTTCATAACCAGTTCCGCTATGTAAAGGTAAAACCGCATACGTATTATCCATTTTTATAAAATATGTCCAGTATACATACATTAGATGCTATTTATATGTATTGTAAAATCCTTACGTAAAATCGAAAGTGGCATTTCCCTTATCACTGTCGATAGTCACAGTCAGTTTAATCTCAGTTCCATCATCAAGAAAATCACTAGCTTCCAGAACGTTGGTCCCCAAGCTTTGGCCAAAATCTCGTAACATTTGCCTTACGGCTACCTCTGCATTAGTTTGGATATGCAGCATGTAAGCTTGAACAACTTCTAAGGTATAAACGTCTACCAAATCCAGAATTAAATTGATGCCCTGAACACAGGAAAAAAACATGAGGGTATATTGTTGTTTTTATTTATTTTTGAGTCTTGGAACATTTTTATAGAAGTTACCTTTTGATTCGCAGCGACTTGTGCTCGTAAGTCTGACAGATTGTCTTGCAAATTTCTAATTTAGCAACAGAAAATTATAGAATTTTAAAATGTGACCATACGAATAAAATTAAGTCATAATTTAACCTTGTCCCAGAGCTGCCTGGGTATTTTGCTGGAGCATTAAGCTCATCAATCAATTCCTTCTCTCTAAAAGTTCCCTCAGACACAAGTTTGAAACTTGTGAAGACGGCACCCTCCTCCCACAACGATTTTGAATGTGGTGGCATGGAGCCGGGAGTAATTCCTAAATGGTGCCACTCATTAATTTCCTTGAGCTTTTCTGATTACAATGCGTGCTAAATATTACCTCCGATATCAGCATGGTGTCCCCGACTCGCCGCAAAAAATATTGGCTTCCCATTTCCACCTCTAATCATAGGGCAACATATTACGAAAAAAACATTAAATACGTAGAAATACATCATTGTATATTTACGATTTAAGGAAGACTGGAGTTATTACAGTCAGATCTAAAAAAAATAGAATGAAAAGGATACCGTTGTGTTCTGTTTTTCAATTTCAATGTACGGACCTGGTAGGAATTATTATTTACCTGGAAGGTGTGACCCACCAGCAATGGGATGATTGCTCAAAAGAACATCGCCTGGCTTTAAATCGTCGACCAAAGTTTGAAGCTAAAGTCATCAATGATAGAATAATGATTAAATGAATTATAAAAATAATGATTGTGAAGTAATTCAACATGTATGTATTTTATTACCTGATATTGCACAGCTTCCTACACAGCACACAACGTGTAAATTAATAACAATTTAATTATATGGTGGCATGCAAATGTTAAATGTACACCTTACCTGCATGGCACCTAGGTGAACTGGAATACTACCCAAAAATGTAAAGATTATAACCATTGACATTAGCTCACTAATTATCAGTAGTAATAAATCCTTCATACTGAGGTGCGTTGCTGACGAGTCCCCCGTCTGGGCCGAATATTGCACATGAAAAGTCCAGTCTATGAAATAATATTTACGTCGTTCAATATGCATAGTCACAAATAATTAGGCAATTATGGTTTACTAAACCTTTCTTTAATATTTGTGGAAATAGAAGTCCGTTGTAAAATTCTTCCCATTTGTTCCGCAATACTAACCAATTATTGTTTGGAAAAAATATCATTAAATTTACAACAATAAGTTTATCAATGACAGATCTTCTGACAGTATTTATTATTTTGATTGTGGGCGTAGCTTTATGTTTAGCTGCGTATTATGGAGAAATGTGAACTAAACGAGTATTTATGTTACGGTGAGACAAGCACAACTTTCTTCTCAACTCTCTCTCAACAGCGAACTTCAAAACTCTTGTCGTTCGTCCAGGTTTACTGTGCAATCAGCACAACATTTCTAACAGAAGCTTTGTAAGAAAACAAAAGTAGGTGGTTTTAGTTTGCAAAATGCCACCAAAATCTACAAAACTGTTGTTGCCAAAGTCTTTTGCATGGGTCCGAAATTCTCGTTTAACTGATGATGAGTTCCAGTCGAGGTGGGCACAGTTTTGTTGCTCCGCCGAGCATTCAGTAGCACAAACTGAATTTAGAAAGCACAAAAACAATATTCTATTTCAAAAACGTTGGGAGCAGTGGTTAGAGATGAAACTGGAGAGTGATGAGAGGTAATGGCAATATTTGGTTGTGCATTACATGTTTTGATATAACTAATACCTTAAAATTATTCAATTTTTTAGTCGGCGACAAGCTAAACGTCGGAAACATGAGGATGCAGATTTTCAACATGTTAAAGAACTTCAAAAACAAGAGTTGGAACAGCAACGTCAGCTTAGAAATATGGGCTACAATTTTTGTCAATATATTTATGTCGATTTGTACTAATTTGAAATATTTTTTGTTTGTTTGAGGAACAGAGACTGGACAATGAGCGTAAGGGCCAGGTCGCAGCTGAACGTGAAGTTAAATTTCGTCAAGAACGAGAACGTGAATTAAAGCTGCAACAGCAAGCCCAATTTTCATGGAATACTGCCACCGTCCAACCTAATGCATCTCAAAATATGGAAGGTAGTGACGAATCCAAAAGTCTGTTAGAGATCCAACAAAAAGAAGCAATAAAGCAAGAAAAGGAACAAGCGAGTCAGAAGAAAAAGGCACAACAAGAACAGCTCCGTCAACAACAAGCTCAACAGCAGAAAGCCATCAATTTAAAATGGGTCGACAATGCTGGTGCCGTTCCGACGAAACAGGCTCCCATCAAATCTTTAACTGAAATCCAGGCAGAAGAACAAGCCAAGGTGCAAAAGGTTCATATTTGATTTTATTACAGTTACATGCAGTTATTGTCGTAGTTTTGACTTGTTGAAAACCTCATTAGTTATGCATAGATTTGGTTTCCATTAAATAAATTTAATTTTTAGCAACAAGACCAAGAACGTGAGAAGCGGGCCATAATTAATCAACAACAGCAAAAACAAGCTGTATGGAGTGCTCAGCTACCCTGGGCTGATCGAGCCCTAGCCGGTACTGGGGGTGGAAGTAGTAATAGCAGTGGGGGTGGTGCCAAGAAAGTAACTGGTACGTATTTTTTTGTAATTAATTGCATAAAATAAAAATACTAATCATGAGTAAATATGTGTAACATATGTTATTAGGTGGAGTATGGGATGACTCCTCCATGGGCTCGATGGCGTGGAAACTGAAAGGAAGCAATAATCCTCTCCCCTCTTCTGCCCCTTCTTCTTCAAGCAATAGCAACAATCGTGGACCAGCAGTCGGAAAAAAGACCAAAGAAATTTCGGATGACTCGTTTATGAAGCTATTTTCTGTTCAACAAGACGGCGCCGCTACTAATCAGAAAGCTGGAATCAACCGACCAAAGATGACACAACAGGCCGCTGATGAGTTTACTCGCTGGTGCTCAGATAGAATTCAGGCCATTGCTTCCGGTTCCGTGGACATCCCCACATTCGTGTCCTTCCTCAAAGAGGTTCAATCTCCCTACGAAGTGGGAGACTATGTTCGATCTTATCTTGGCGATGGGAAGGAAGCCAAGGAGTTTTCGAGAGAGTTCTTGGATCGGAGATCCCGTTGGAAGAATGCACACAAGGGGAACGGATCAACTTCACCAATGGAGGATAATTTGTGCCGACCAGCCTCTGTCACCAACCCGAAGTCCAGTAACACAATCATTTCAGATCGCGTAGCGTTGCAAATCCTGCCCAATAACCAACCTATCACCTCATCGGATTCGTCGTCAGTTACCGAACACGCAGTTTGCAGGGACGAGAACAAAGCTCGTGATGGACAACAATTTATGAATTGGTTGGGTTTAAATATGCAAGACGATAGTATTCTGCAAAATTATATGCAAACACACGCTCCAGGTTTTCGGACTGAAATCCTCTTCGCTCAGGACATAGGGTATTACATACGTCACTCTATCACACACCGAGAACGTCTATCAGGGCGGCTAAAAAGTATGATCAAGTACAATAAGTCTGACAACAAAAAGGCTTCAGAGCGTGCCCATAACTCTAAACCAGAAAGAAAATTGCAGATGTCAATAAACCGTCGCTCATTTTATGAAACTGCACGAGCTAAAGGAGGAATGCCCATTCTCTATTTAGCAGGCGTGTTCCAGACTACAGCTGACATTTCCTCGTACCAGAAAAGACTCTTAACAGGTCAGACCTGTTAAGGACAATGCTGACACTGCGAATTTATCCAGGAAAGTGGCTCTCGCTTGGTATGTTTGCCATGCGAAACAGCCACTTCTCGAACGATAGTCAAATTTTTTGGTACCTACATCAGTCGTTCAGATATTGTCTTGAAATGTTGCCGATACTCTGCGACGATATGAGTACTGCAGAAATGGGGGAAGGATTCCTTATGGTAATATACATGTATATATACGTATCAAATTGAAATTGTGTAACAAGTTTGATGAATGGGAGTAATGAAATTTTATTGTTATTTTGATATAGCATTACTGTACGTTCAGCAATACCAACAAAGGCACGCAGCATTTAGTCGGACCAGCTACAACTCCTCCCCGACAGCTCCGACGAAAAGCTGAACAATATGTTCTGGATAAAATCCCCATGTTCGTATTGGTGCCAGATGATGTTGACCAATTTCCTCCTAATCGTGCCACATTACAAGAAGTGATTTCAAAGAACGCTGGCTGCCCAACAGAGGGAGACCCCACAATAAATGGCGAAACATCGAGAATGTTGACATTGAACTCCCCCGGAAAGAACCGGTAGCTACTTGTTAATTGCGGATTCGCACACGAAACATAAAAATAATGTGAATCGCTTTGTTATGAATAAAAAAAAATGGTGAAAACAAACCTCATGAATCGATGCGAAAATATACTGAGTTGAATTGTATCAAGTTCTGTCCCAATTTTAACTCGCCTACCGAGAGAAGATTCCAACCGGACTAAAATGTCCCCTTTCTTTGTTATTTCAGCAATAGCTGCTGGTTCGATTAAAATTGTACTCAAAGAATCCATGATTATCGCCGGTCCTTGGATAGAATGATCCGATTTTAACTCGCTTAATAAATAAACTGGAGATTCTACAAGACCAACGGCGTCAAAATAAACGTCACATTTCTAAAAAATTAAATATACCCAAGGTTAAAATGCTTAATTTCATTTGCGGAAATTATTAAATTCAAATTTGGTTTACAATTTTGCAGTCTGGTATTTTGGAATCAGCAATTTCTAAATCTTGTCCAGAATCCTTATCAGTTAGCCCAACCGCACGAACTCTTATGTCGTCAACTATGATATCTCGTCCTTGGATCGTGAATCCAAATTCCTTGCTATACCTAAATTTTATAATTTTAATACATGTTACATGAATACCTGATGTCTGGAGACAAAACACTATCCCAAATAAATAATTCCTGCAATTAAAGCAATATAATTTTACCTCTCCACAAAACTGGAAATAAAATCTCCATATTTGCTAGTTGTTTCAGAATTTGTAGTATCTTTTGGAAGGCACATTAAGGCACAATCTGTTCCATCGTAACGAAGATGTAAAAATCTTTCAATCTCCACTTTAAAGAATTTCATAGATTTGGTCAAGTGTTCTGTGCAGTGTTTTTCAAGGTCAGCAAACTTTGCGTCGAAATACGAAATAGTTTCTGCCCATTACAATATTAATTATTATATTTGCAAGTTTTAGAAAGATTATTGATATATAAATCATAAATCATCGTTCATACCTTTTCTATAAACCTTTCCAACAGGTTCCTGAGCCTCGTATACCACATCGGCCAAAAATATTCCAACTGCACTTAAAATTCCAGCATATTTCGGAACAAAGACGGAGGAAATCCCCAAAGAGCTAGCGATGGCACAAGCATGTTGCCCTCCAGCTCCTCCAAAGCACGCCAACATGTGAACAGAGGTATCGTACCCTTTGCCCTAAACGAAATAGTTATAAACGCGTCGTCTAACTAAGGTAATCGCAAACTATGTATTTATTCACTTGTGTGATGGCTCGTATCGGTCGACACATCGTTTCATTTGCTACTCGAACATAGCCCATCGCGACTTCATGAACAGTCATGCGTTTAGCGTCATTTTGCGCTTCCAGAAATCTGTTAATTTCATCTGTTAGTTTGTTGAACAATTCCAGAGTTTTGTCTTTGTTTAGGGGCATATTATTATTAGGCCCAAAGATTTTTGGAAAAAATTCGGGAAGTATTCTTCCAAGCACGAGATTTGCGTCCGTGATTGTGAGTTCAGAACCTCCTTTGTCGTAACACACTGGTCCCGGTTGCGCCCCGGCAGATTCTGGACCTAATAAATTTCACATTTCTTGTAGAATTTCACTTTTCACAAATTGATGAAAGGAGAGCTTACCCACGATAAACATTCCAGATCGGAAAAATAATTTGGACCCACCCCCAGCTGCCACTGTAGAGATGTCGAGCTATTAATTTAGAAAATAGACGAATTAAAGATGTATTTATTACCAAAATTGAATCATATGTAAAAAGTTGCATAATCAGCAAGCCAAGGAATGCACCAACTACATAAAGAAGGTTGCATGCATAATAGTTTTTTATATGCAGCGATAAGCAGCCTGGGAATATATTGATTGACAACGCGTAAATATTGTCGCTAGTTAAAAAGAAGAGAAACCCATTTCATTCTAGTCATTCGTCATCCAGTTGTGGTACGGAATACTTGTCCAACTCGAGGGAATTTACATAAGTATGCTAAAAAAGTTTAGCTTATTTGTACAGCAAATTGGGTGCACTTCCGACAACCAGGTAAGCTTTACCACTGGATATATATATGTAAGATTTGGACAGCCAATCTTAGGATTAGATATGATATCTGTGTATTCTTACTACATAAAGACAGTTTTACATATTTTACATTTACTCAAAGGTAACATGAAAAATCACGACTGAATTGCTAATTCGCACCTACCTTGAGTCTATCGTCACATAAAAACATGAATTGAATTTTGCATAGGTTGTATGTTACTAGGCTATATTGCAAGTTAAGTGTGCCAAGGACATTACGCCAAATTTTCCTCGTTTCCTTCTCTTTACAAGTAACCAAACCATACATAAGTATGTACATGTGCCATGTGTACACATACATACATCTCTGCGAATATAATCTATACTAAAATGAATAAACATAATAATGTGCCAATATGTACATAGTAAATTGACAAAGAACGTCTTCTAACAGCCGTGTACTTCATTATTATATCCACCAAGTTCGTAAGCACAACTCATCTCTTCATTTCAGATTCTTCAGCCTTCCACGGGAAGTGATCATCGCCTTAATACCACAACCAGAACAAGGAAGGGAAACTCAATGGGAGATCAAGTTTACGAAGGGTGGACAGGAGAGAGGGCAACGTTTGGAATGTCCTGATTTTGGTTCCCCGAGGGGCAGTTTGGGTGTGCCCCAGGGGTTATCAGAACCAGAGTTGGTTATGCTGGCGGATCTTCTGTGAATCCAACTTACCATCGAATGTAAGTCGATTAAAACACTGATTTTTAAACTACTGATCAGAGTGTCTCATGAGTATTTCAAGTAAAATATTCTTGTAGGGGCAATCACACCGAATCGGTTGACATTGAATATGACCCCAAAGTAACATCATACAGTAACATGCTCGACATATTTTGGAAGAATCACGACCCAACAACCAGCAAGTGTTCCAGACAGGTTAGTTTGTTGATGCAAATAAATATTATGAGATTATGGTTTTCCCTACTCATTAACCAGTTTTATCATCATACATGATTTTAGTACATGTCAGCAATTTTCTACCACAATGAAGTGCAAAAGAGATTGGCAAAGGAGTCAAAGGAGCAAGAAGCAAAGAAGAGGTCTCGTCCCATTAACACTGAAATTTTGTCAGGAAAAGATTTTTACGAAGCGGAAAAGTAATTTTTATGATTTATTCGTATAAATAAAGTGAGATCAACTAAATATAATTAATTGTTTCCTGTTTTTTACACAGTTATCACCAAAAATATTTGCTCCAGAGCTATCCACGAATCTTATCCCAATTGGACATTGAGCCTGGAGAACAACTTGTTCGTTCTTTTGTGGCAACCAGATTGAACGGCTACATTGGTGGTTACGGAAGTATGAAAGCATTTGAGAATGAATTGGAACAACTTGCACTTCCGCCGCAAGTGGAACAATCCATCAAGAATCAAATATCGAATAAGAAGCGTTCCGACATTGACTGTTGATCGCATTAGTGGGAGTGACAAGCTCAATGGCACATTCAATCAATTTATCGATTTCCAAGTTCTTTTGAAGTGATTTGTGGGAAATCCTTGGCACAAAAAGGAACCATAATCGCGGATGTGCTGATCATTCGAAGTCGATAAATTAAATGAGTGTGTTGATGACTTATAATTGTTGATGTATTTATAATTATAAACTTTTGTAAACTTTAATCTATCAATGCAAAAAGTGCAAGTATTAAAACGGGTGGACAAAGTATAATGCTTACTTGTGGGGTTTGAATAGTTACTCCAGCAGTTATGGATTCGTATGTGTGTTCAAAATGCCCGTCATATCTGGATACGTCTGTAGAAGTCCCTCCCATGTCGAACCCAATCACAGGAACTTTATATTCATCGTAACAGCATTTTGAATAGCCTACAACACCTCCAGCCGGCCCCGATAATATTGCACGACTGCCACAAAATCTGAAAATTTTGAATATTTTCATAGGTTTATACACTTTAAATCCGAGATATTAATTACAAGACTACATACTCTTCCATGGGGGTCAGTCCTCCGTCACTTTTCATAAAAAGTACTTGTGATTGTCCCAACCCCGTAAATCCAGACGAAAATCCCTGAAAAAATTATCAATCTTTCATACACCCACTGAATAAATTCGGGTTAATAAATTTTGAAGCTCACGTTCAGATATTCTTTAATCAGAGGGGTAAGATAAGCGTCTGCAGATGTGGTCGTACCTCTAGGAACAGCTCTTATCATTGGCATTACCTCAGAAGACAGTGAGACATGAGAGAACCCAAGACTTAATGCGAGATTCCGAAGTTTCAATTCATGCTGAGGATAACTAATTATTTTAAATAATTGACACATATTTATCCTAAGCTCCCAACAAAATTGCAAAAACCATAGATCGTAAAAACACGTTTCTTACGAGTAGGAATGAAGTAATAATATGGCAATTGACTTGATGCCTTTGTTCTTCAACCCAATCAATGAGGAACGAACCGAATCCAAATCAATTTCTTTTGCGATCCAAACTTTTTCATTGTTCAGAGTAGTACCGGTTTTCCAGGATTCTTTCAACTCGGGTGACAATTGGCAGTCCGTCCTGTCCGTGACCACTCGCTCGTCAATCTCTAAAACTTCTTCATAAAGGTTCTCCAACATTGCTATGCTCTACAATTAAAAATATTTAACAACACAAAAGTCCGTAACACATAGCTAGCGAATTCATGCAAATAATGACAAGATCTTACCAGGTCAAAAATCTTTGGTCGGGCTTGATTTCCAATGTGTAGTAAATCTCGAAATCCTGTTGAATATAAATAATCACAATAATTAAGAAAATAAATGGAAATTTGTGGGTCGAATTGGAATTACAAAACATTGTTATGTTATTACCGGAGGTTATCAGTAAAGCCATCCTTTCGCCTTTTCGTTCTAGCAATGCATTTGTTGCCACCGTGGTTCCCATTCGGATCCATTCAATTGCAGAAGCGTCCACTGGTCCCTTGATGTCCACCCCAGTCTCCTACCCCATGTTTACATGTTTGAATAATAATGCATGCAATTCCAATATTAATCCAAATTAGTCAAATACTTGAGCAATGATACGACGAATCCCTTCCCGTGGAGCATCAGGATATGACTCATCCACCGAGAGCAACTTCATGACCTTTATTTCGCCCGAAGGGCATCTCGCTATGATACTTAATAGAAAAATATACTTGTTAAACTTACCTTATAAATACCTTTATAAACTTAGTTTTAATATGTTATATTACTCAGTAAACGTGCCTCCACGATCGACGGCGAATTTGAATTTCATCTTGCCTAATGATTGTGGTCACACCGATTGCCTGGGTTGCTCTTTTCCGGATTTATTTATGCTCATCTACAATCTAAAGTTGAGTTAGTAGGAAATTATTCGACTTAACTTATTTTAAAATGGTTATATATGTTGTCAGTTTTTACCATCAATCAGGTTGTTGATTCTTTGGCCGACCTTGGTAGTATTATAATCTTCCTTCGTTAAAATAATCCAGCCAGATTATTTAGACGTTGCTGAATGTGGTCAACTCAAATATGCTTTAACAGATCTTTTTCTGCTGGTGTTTTTAGCAGCTGCCACATGAAACAAACACCGGTCGTATGTACATCCATATGTACACATATCGATCCATATACCCATGCATTCTAAATCTCTTGGTTATGCAATCTATTGATAACTTCAAAAGAACTGAAAATCAGTCAAAATTATAACGTAGTATATGAAATGGTGTTATGTAACGTACTTTGCAGTAATATGAAACATATGCCATGAAAATATACAAGATCATAGACAAACTAAAAATTTATTGACCCATTCCAATTCACACCAATGATTTTCTTGAATTTACCTAATTCTAGAGTTTCAAAATTTCAACGAGTACAAAAAGGGTGAAACATTTTTTTACAAATTGATGATTACAATTATTTATATCAATAATATTTCCTCTGCGCTATCTTCCATTAACTTTTCAACATGTCGAATTTCCTTTTTCCAATCATCCAAACGGGAAATCATGTTACCAATCTGAAATTAGAAACAACAATGAGATAAATCAATTTATTTCTAAATCATAAAATTCTTCATTACATAGAATATTATGAGATAAAGAATGAAAATTAAAAACTACAAACCTGCACGCGGTCCAAAACCCTGGGCTGTAAATTCAATTCAAAGGAACAAATAATGAAAAAAATAATAATTTCAGTTTGAACAGACTTGTGCATGCCACTCACCTGAACCCAGGTCATGTGAACCTTTCTTGACACCTCATCAATAGTGCCATCCACTAACCCCTTTGAAATGGCTTTCATTACGAATGTTTCGACGGCATCTTCTTTGATTCCCAAAGTCTGTGCTATTTCATCGAAACCAATTTGTCGCGTGGTAGCTGGGCGTTTAAATGTCATCTAAAATTAAATACCAGTAATTAAAAGTTAATTATTTCACGTTAAGGCAGTCAACTATTAATTTCCGGCCAATACCTCCATTAATCCAAGAAGTAAAATCTTGACTTCTAATTCCTTGGCGTGCTTCAGAAGAGTGGGTTCAGTCTGCCATTGTCTCTTCATATTATTAAAGGCTTTGATTTCACCTGCGTTGAATGTCTTGAGCAATTCAATCAACCACTTGTCCTTGGTCCCTTCCAGAGAGTTTAAAATCGGATGAGCCAGCTAGATTCAAGTGATACGCACATAAGCAATAAGTATTTCCCACCAAAAAATATTTAATACTAGTTTCAACAGATTTTTTATACAAATAATTACTCACCAACTCCCCGAAATTATAAATTCCATCACTCACAAGAGCAGCCACAGACAAGTGTTTAGCATGATCACGTTGTTCATCAAGTGGTAAATCCGTGATCTTGGTACATCCCAAAAATTTCAAAGCACTCTTGTAGTACTGTACAGTATCGTTAATAGCTTTAAAAATACAGCTCTGCAATAAGTAGAATCGCCCATGTGCAGGAGAAACCCCATCAATCTGGGTTAAAATTCCGTCCGCTGTTTCCATCATCTCCTAAATAAACAATATCATTATGTAGTTAGACATTTAAATTATTACTTTAGATGTATTTATTGCTAATAATAATACTTTTGCCAATTTAGTATCTTTCTTCTTTCCCAGTACGACTTCACCTTTCGTTATCAAGCACAAAGCAACAGCGACATCGCTTGATTTAAGTTTCGGCTCAGCTTTAGCAAGAAATTCAATTGCCTCATCTGCATCCTCAATCTGCCTGACAATGATTGCCAGCATTTCCATCAGTGAGAGGGGGTTGATTCTACAATTTTTGTTACAAACACAGCAGTAAATCTTGAGTAGTTAAATCATATGCTCAAGTATCATAAAGGGCACATCTAATATTTATTTACCTCATTTCAATATCTTGAATAAAGTTGTCGTACAACTCAATAAGCTGTCCTTTCTCTTGAAGTTCCGGGTGTTTAACAAATTCGCCCAATTTAATAGTCAGTTGATGCCACAAGCGTTTTGAGTAGAGGTCATCCAACTGCGCCCAATCATTCGCCAAAGCGGTAGTGGAATCTCCCTCCTTCTTGCGCAAATAACCACTGACGTCTCGAACCATGATGACTGTTAATTCGTGTCTATTTATTATATATCTAAAATACAATATTTTGAATAATTAATTAAAATTTCAAATGTAAAGAATCCTTAGATGTCAATTTGACATTGTCAAAACTTTAGACCAACCTACAATTACCTCGTGTGTCAACAAACGTTAATACAATACCAGATATATTTCACAACCCACAAAAGTAATAATATGTAAATTAATACTCACCACGATTTTTTCCTGTTCAAAATTTTTGACACAAAATTGCAGAAAAATGCAGAATTCAGGTGTGTGAAATGAAATGCAAAGTCACTGTTAAAAGCTGTTTTTCCGGGTAAACGATCGCAAGTTCCCCCGTCGTCATCACTCTCTAAGCAACTTATTCCTACTCCCACTTTCTCCACAGATTCTCCACTCCACTTTCTCCCCGGAAACTTAACGGTTTATGATGATTAAAGTATTATCCTCTCGATGGTGAAATGTACGGTGATGACAGAGGTGTGAAAAATCAAACATAATAATTTTAATGTAGATAACGGCACGCTACGCACTGTTCATCAGTGCAAAGATCATCAATCCATTCATGTACAAATAGTAGGTAGGTATGCATCACAGACAGACTACAGAGTTGTTTTTTAATGTGACAAATCTACACATCCCGACTCATCACTAATCCAATTTGAGGAAAAATACAGAGCAAAGATATGTAATGGTGGTTAATTAGAGGAGAAAGTAGGTAAAAACAGACAGTCGAGGGCGATATTTTTATGCTCCGCATCCTCCTGTTCCTCATACATGCCAACCACGTCGTAATATTTATTATCAGTTTTGTCGGAGATGGATGCGCACCAGGGAAAATCAATATGTTCGGGGAGACACTTGTTGTGATTCTTCTTCTTCTCGTGTGATTGTGCATGGTCGTGGCGATATGATGCTGATGTGGGGAGGGAGGGAAGGAAGTGAAAGCAGGCAGGTTGGGGACGACCGAGTGAGGGGAACTACTTGTTGAACAACGTCCACATCTCCAACAAGATCATCATGATGGCCTGGATTCCAGATTTGTCTAAAAGTAGGTAGCTTTCACACAAACAACACACACATTCCAGGGTACTCTGTACTTTCTACATACACCGAGTGATAATAGCGTACTTTTCCATTGGCTACTACTTGCTCATCATCTGTGATTTTTTAAAGAAGTTCAACTCAGATTATATAAATTTGTCAATTTGTCATACACGGCGGAACAAGCGGAATGAGCTTGCCAACGGAAAATAGCATCTATTACAATACTCGAGCTGAGATTTTCATGGTGTTGAAGTAAGTAGATTTTTTTTAGCACCATCTTTATGAAGCATGCCATGTTAATTACACTCTTTTGGGTCATACACAGGGATGTCAACACGTCATACACGTTGACCCCGAGTACCGGTGAGCTAAAAAGTAGTGCAAACATCAAGAGCCAACAAGTCACCGTTTTTTGGAGACCTCCTGGGGGTATGTACTAGCATATTATAGAAGGAATGAATAACGAATTACGAATTTTTTTATTAAACATAAACGTGTATTGTATTAGCATTACAATGGTTAGAAAAATACAAAACGGAAATTTTACCAGGAAAGTCAAATTTGCAATTTCTTGCTTCAGTAAGTACATTCGTATACACATACATATTTATATTTGCAGAGTTTAGTCCAATTAGCACACTTAAATTATATAAACCTAATTAATGGTACATGTTGGTTTTGATGCCTAGCTGCTATTTGACTTTGATGAGAAAGATGCTACGTCAATATCCTTAAAATTCGAAATGAGACACCTCATCACTTCAAAAAAGGGTCCCATCCCAGAAACGATGGACGTGAAACGTGACGAAATGTCACTTTGGAGTACTGCGCACACAACGTTGGATAAAATTTTAGTTTCTGGTAGCAAAGGATTGGAGTTATATCTGTCCTTGGATTTTGGAGTTTCAGGCACTAAGTATTTGACGAAACAGCCAAGGAAACTTTTTCCAGGAAACTTGTTGATTCGGGGAGAAATTTTGCATCCGTCGCCTTATGGGGTGAGACATGTAATATTTGGCAGCTGTACGATTAGTTTCTGTGTTTTGGCATGTCATTTGTAAATGCATTTATGTATGACATGCGGGGCTGTATGTAATAGGTAGATAACTTGTGTCAATCTTAGGTTCTACTTCAATTTGGATTGCAGTCCGAAAAATCCACCGCAGATTATTTTGTCGAATTACATAAACTTAACCAGGATAACGCTTTCGAACTTTCTCACCCTTACACTTTGGTAAGTTGGTTACTCTTTGTAACTCTGCATATTTAATTGAAAATATATTCTTGTCTTAAACGATAGAACATTACCTTTACATAATTTAAGCATCATAAAGTAATGATTTTCCTCGCCCTATAGAAGTGATGTACATTCGTACAATTTAATTCGATGCCCAAGTAAATACTTTACGTTGTATTTTGAATCCTCAGTTCATCTTCGAATCCTCTTGTCCATCTCTTTTCCCAACTTCCGTTTCCATGCTGGTCAATCTCAACGTTTCACTTGCTTAAGTCTCACTTGCCCCACGCACACAGGTGGTTGATGTTAGTGGTCGGACCTATTAAGTGGCCACTACCAAGTCGTAATCTTCTTCATTCTTCCACATATCAACCCTAAAATCTTGAAAATCTCAAGTACACAACAAAATTTGAAGTTTAAAAATACAAGATGAATTGGGAGTCGTTAACTCCTTCTGCTTAGCGCACGGAAAGACTTGAGTTTGGTGGATTTCTACCACAGATTTGGAGTATACTTACTACCTATTTCTACCGATTTCTACCTATCATTCTCTTACATATATTTATATAAATTTCATCTTAAGTAAATCACGCCTTCCTTTCATACTTTAATACAATATGTACAATAAGATGTTTTTTCACGTGGCAAGGTATACCGAAGCGAGCTTGATGAAGTATTGGCCAATTTTCTTGTTTCGGATGGGAAACGAGTATATTTTAATGAATCGAGATTATCCAACGGCGACCCGGATCGAGTCCTAAAAATTGATATTTTCAAAAAGGAGTCATTCGACAGGAAAGGTTTTGCATTGACTACTTTGGGTACTTTGCTAAAAGATCAATATCAGGAGCTGATTGTTGATCGAGTTGATTCTTTCTACCCTTACAAAAAGGTGAGTATATACAATTTACTATATCTGCGCTCTGGTTTCAATTCAATACTGAATATATGCATATGTACGCACTATCTTAACCGTTTGTAAAATTCAATGATATGTGTTTACGAAATTAGCAGAAAGAAATCAAAGTCATTCTTAAGCTTTGTTCCAAAATTCCAAATCATCCCATTGAGTACTACTTCAACCATGGATGGAAAATAGTCCCCGTTTTTGCCATTGATTATTCCCGTAAATGAAATATTTATTTACCCATAAATTCATTCGATTGTCAGAATTGCTGATTTTGATAAACAATTTTCAGGTTCAAACTGGAATGAGACACTGCATAAACGAATTCTTCACGATTCCAAAACTGGTAGAGCACCTTATGAAGAAGCACTAGAATTTTGCTCTGAAGCCCTGAGCGCAGTGGCCTATGGTCACGCCGTCTTTTACGGTTTTGGATGTCCCTCAAACGCTTACATGAATGCATATCGGCCTGGGCACCAATTTATCGCATCTGCGTTGAAGAACTATCAGTAATTAATCACAGAATATATTCTTTTCCTCCCTTTGAATATCAATATGAATGATTAGTTCCAATTGATATTGTGATATTGTATTGTACTTTTGCAGTGACGGTCTTTGTCTCAGTTTGATGTCTGCCCTCAGCCTTTCTCATCACCAGCAAGGTCGCACTGGGGTTGGCGGAGGGGCGAGCTCTCAAAGTTCGTCCACGTCATCCACGTCAGCCTCCAGCGCCATCGTCCTGTACACTGGAAGTCTTTTGTCCCCGTTGCTCAGTGACCTGGTAACATTAATTTCAGCAAGGAAATGCGCTTTTGAATACTACACCGTCGTCATTCTTACCGATGGACAGTTCACGGATTGCACAACATATATGACGGTATGCACATACATATGAATATTTCGTAGATATAAAATTTGAAGTATTTATGACGCTGAAATTCCCCCTGTGCGTAGTTGCTGAAAGAATTGTCGATACTTCCGGTGTCTCTCATTTTCATCGGGATTGGTCTTGGAGACTTGAGATTACTTCTACAACTAGATCAAGCTTGGTCACTGTCTTTCAATGGGATTTACTTGAGTAGGAAATTTGTGCATTTGATGCATTTTAGATCTAGGAGTCATTGGGAGGCTGCACTCACTCATGAACAGTATCGAACTGATCCAAAGCAGATTTTTACCAGAGAATTATTAACTACCGTCCAAGAACACGCCCTCGATTATTTTAAGAGATGTTCCGAGTATAAAAAGTAATTTAATGGTTGTGAGTGTATGCTTAAAAGTAAGTCTTAATACTTAACCAACACATTGTTGTAATTGATTGTCTGTGTGTATGCTGGAATTTATTTACTAAAAAATTACAGCTAAAAACAAACTGCGTATATTAGACTATGTCATATGTATTTATGTATGTAGAACATATTTTACAAGAAATACATTTAATGAAGGTTTCCTTGATTTACAATAAACACGATCTTTATATATTCCTCTACCTAATTTGGCTCAAAAGTGACTTTCATCCATATTTATGTATGTATGCACGTACTTTTTTCTCTGTAATCCTGTCGATCATTATCACTTTTTTCGTTGGCGATTCTTTGATTAATAAGTCACGGTGAAACTACGGAGCAAGAGCTAAATTCACCCAGGCTTAAGTATATGTAAAAGGAAAGCAATAGTGGTAAAAACCTTGAAAAACTTTCGTGCGAGAGAGAAACAATTGAAGTGTAAAATTTTACGAGGACTTTAAAGGATCCAAAGATTCAAGAGGAAAATCATCGTTCAGAATCCCACGACTAAACCCTACTTTCATCTCCTCAATTTTCTTGTCTAGAAATTCTAGCGCTGTTTCAATCTGCTGCGGCTGAGCCTTTATATTATTTGCTAGGTTATTTTGAGCTGTAATGTTATTGTAGTTAGCAGTAAGTGCTGTACTACTAAACACGTTGCTAATGTTGTTGTAATTCACACCATTGCTGCCATACGACGATATATTGTTATTCCCGTTGAAAGCATTGAATCCATTGGTATCCCCATAACCGTTAAGCTTGTTAGATTCGTGGCAATGTTTAGTTCCAAAGTCAGACATTCCAAAGGGGTCATCCGCTGTAAAAAACGGATCTGAGCTGAATACATCCGTTGAGCTGGACCCGTTCAAAAGATTCTCATTTTTCCGTGCCTTTGGTGGAGGAGAGACTGCAAAGGGACACATGATTTTAGACTCTCGAATTAACATTTCACGGAATATTGCCAATATTAAAGTAAATTATTGAGTTACTTCTTGGAGGAGCTTCAATTCCATCAGGCGACCCTCTCGGTTTGCTGTCTAATTGCATAATGTGATCATCATCGAACAGTAGTCCATCTGATTTACGAGTCTCCTGTGCTCTTTTCTCTATTTCATTTGCTGTTTTTGCAAACTCCCTACATCATTACAATCGTCATACATTATTAGAAAATGCAACTAACTATTCGTATAGTTATCTTTGTCAGCATAATTAATGACTTTATTCTTACGCAAAAATTTGATTAGCAACATTAGCAGACTCTCTTGGAGGAACTGGAGGACAGATAAGCAAATCTATATCACCATCAACAGACTTGGATACTTTGACTTCCGTTGTAACTGTGGCTGGTGGCAAGTTAAGCTGTTGTCTCAAATCACTGTTTTCATTCTCCAGTTCTGCAACTCGTTTTTGCAACACCATAATTTCTCTTTTGAACTCCATTTCCTTTCCAGACGTCTCTAGAAATCTCCTATAAGCAAGATCGAAGGCTTGGCCAATTGTCAGCGTTATTTCTTCCGCCTAAGATTGAAAAAATAAATACATTCTTAGAATTATGTATGAGAACATGGGTCAGTTAAGCTACTATTTAACCAATGTACTTGACATGATTTTATGACAGTTTAGCATACAAGAATTTTGGTGTATATGCATGCAATACTGAATGAAACAAAGATAATAGAATTATATATATAAACTTTGGCGTGCATTCTAGCGACCAAATTAGGCTTGTGCTATTTTAAGCATTCCCAATATGGATGCTTCTAGGTGGCAAACACTTGTTGAAAAATCGTGGTAAAAAATGTAACAGGATCTCAAATTTTCTTCAATCATGTGCCCAACTTTTGTAATCCGATAGAGTAACGCATAACGTGACAGTGACAGTTACTTATGTAGGAAGGCAACATTGTTATACATGAGTTGACATTTTACTATAACCCTAAAACCACAAAATAAACTACGGTAAAAAATCGACTTTAAATTGGCACTAAAGTTTTCTGGCATTATTACTTTGCGATTTTGCAAATTCTATCGGAATATTTTACTTCAAAAATCAAAATGCACGACGATACGGATGAAATCATGCATACGATTGTTCTTACCAGTTTTTCAGATGAGAAAACAAAACAACGATGACATTCACCGTCCTTGGCGATAAAAGAAAACTGAAAAGATAATGTTCAGATTAATTAAGGAAAATACGTCTTGATTGGCCAACTTGTTTCAAGTAAATACTCACAAATTTTTTCTCTGTCTTGTCATCCGCGCAGTAGGATATTTGATGAAGTGGGAATTGATGAAGGATTCCTGAGGACACAAATTTGTGGTTTATTTAACTGAACTTTGTTTCTCGGTTCATTTTGATTTCAACTTGTACGCTTATGCATACCTTTCCCTTTTGGCTCTTGCACGGCCACACCGTCTGTAAAAAGAGTTAAGATAAATTAAGTCATCTCGAGTGGTAAACTACCTCGAGAAATATCAGGTGCCGATATTTGCAAGAATTAAATATTTATTTATAATGCCTTACCTATTGAAATTGTCACCTCAGCCTGCAAACAATAGTGAAGCAATTAATGTCAGGACTGAATGAATAACAATTATCCTGTTACTTTGAAGACCATATTTAACCTCGTCAAAGTACATTAATCATGCATTATTAATTCAAGTGTCCAATCACATAAGTACAAAGTAGTAAGTACCACAAATTACCACAACAATTAAGTTGAACACGACAATCTTTATAATTTACGATTTAGGTATAATCATACAGCACATTAATTGGTTTTACATATACGTGATGATTATTTCCAATTTTAATTTCAAGTAATTGTTGATGCTAACAATACAAATGAGAAGAATAGCAGAGGCTCCCCGTAACATTTTGTCATACAGATTTAAGATAATCTTTAACAATTAGCATCATCAAGCTAATGCAGAGTAATAACAAGCTGACTGAATAGTGTCAATGACAAGCTGAGACGTGAACCTAGAAATGATTAATTAATATTATTTACTGCACATATTTACTTGTGTATCTTTAATGTGCGACGCAAGTTTGTTGCCTGATATTTCACATCGTTAAGTTTACATGCAAAACAACGAGGTTTAAGTTTTTTGGTATGTTTATAAAAAATAATATTTTACATGTTCACATCATCACATGTTTCAACATTTATATAATTCTTAATATCAGGACAACAAAAAAACGGATATTGATCAGATTAAAATTTCAAGACGCATATTGCAAGTCAATTTATTTAATAAAGCCCAAATAGTTGATTTATGCACCAAATTGGCCAATATCAGACAGGTCATTCGAACCAAACTATTTTACAAAAATGGCATTACTGGCTTTGCAAATCGTGTTTAATATATTATTGTGCTTGGCCGAATAATGTGGAAACTAGACCAGACTCGACACGTTTATTCCATTAGATTTCATTGATGTCATGCCTAAATCATTTCTTTTCGGAGTGATTTTTTCCGTATTTTACATTTTAACTCGTACTCAAGTATGAGCATTCTTGGCATTATGATCAGCCAGTTTTGTTTTCGCGTCTTTATTATACGACAAATCAGTTGGGTTACAACCTCCGATGACCATAGGACAGTTTTTGCTTTCAACAATGAGTCTAAATTGATGTACCTTGACTAATCGCTAAACGCATAAGTGAAACTTCTACAGGTTTGTCTGCGACTCGATAAAAATCTCTGGCTGATACTAGTAACACACAGTGAGCATTTTATAAGTATTCCGGCCGGACCATGACGTATTGATTTGTTGTGCAAATACCAACTTGTAACCTTCAAACTCTTTTAAATTTTTGCTTCACATGCATACAAGCTAAAATTAGCTTACTTAACAGTAAGCTAAATGTCCATCAGAGCGTTGAATATGTTGCATACCTACACTAGAATTATTCCGGTATGTCACATCATTTGCAGATGTTGACGCTAGGTCGAAAGACAGAGTTTACATAACATGGAAAGTCCGTATCGCCGAAAATGAGCACCGTGAGATTTATGTAAATGAGGAGACCCGCAACAATAATTTTAGAGTACATACGCACATGTTTTTTGCCTGACTTGTGTTACAATACATATCTATTTCGACCTGGAGCAAAAAATATGTATTCTCTTACCATTTAATTTTTTATAATTCAATTAATCACTTGGTATTTCAAAATCATAACCTATCATTTGAGCACCTGTGTCACTTTATTATGGAGAACAAATAAATTGCATATGCAGCATGTCGTCGATAGAATTTGCATTGGAACAAATTATGTATGCAAAATTAGAAATGAGGTTTCAAGGACTATTAATTGCTGCTCAGACCTTATAAATTTGAAAGAGATTTACTTTGCGTTGACGCCAGCACTACTTGGGATTAGTAATCCCTTTACTTGTGCAGTGCTACACATTTCTAAAAAACTTAATAAAAAATCCATGTCGGCACGGCAAACCCCATCGGCTTGTAATTGTGACGAATGGATGACAGAGCAAATTTGCATATTTGGCTTTGCTTTTATATGATACAATTCGAGGCAAAGGAATGGTCTTCAAAAATATTATTTAAAAGCAAGATTTGGGAATTAGGCTGAGATGTGGTATTCACCCAGACAATGATAATTATTTATGCCGCCTTGCATCCTATTTTCTCCTTCAGACATTTAATGCATTATCTGACTTGCACAAACTTCGGGCCTGGGTACTTGAATAAATTGTTGCAAAATTTAAAGTTACCTTTGGAATCTTGCCTCCACCTTCAGCACGACGGATTTCTTGATCAAGCTTCAATTTACGGATGCAATCTTTCACAACCTCGATTCCCTTGGGTTGCTCTGCTTCAGTTACACCCAAAAACTGCAATTTAAAATCAGGTTGCATTATAAATCATGCTTATTTAAATTTACAGAGAAACAAAGCCAGTCATGAGGACTTTATTACATGAGTACACATAAACAAGCATACAAAGGTCTCAATTGGGAATCCCTCACAGGAAAATCAGTTGAATAATAAGTTGAATATTACAGATATACAGATTTATTTCATATGTACTTCTGCGTTGATAAAATGCAATTGGTTTGCTACATTTAGTGTGATATTTGTCACAAGTTTAATTTTTGGTTTTTAAAGTACGTACATGTATATAGATTCATGTATGTGCCTACGTACATAATACTTATACGGTAATTTACGAATGTTGTAAGACATAAATGGGACGAATGATTCACCTGAAATTCAGGTTTAACCAAGTGACGTGTGCAGTGCAACTGCATCCTGTTAGAGAATTGCATTGCATTATTGCACAGTCATGTTGGACATCTGGCTCGTATTACCCATTTCAAGGTATTTAATATTCATTTTTCTTTTGAGTAATTAGTACTATCTGCAATTGCACTTGATCTGAATGATATACCTCGAAATATCCACGTATCATATTAATGGTTGTTTTTGAAAAAAATTACAATCTTAAGAGTAAAACATCATTCCACTAAACTGCAATTTTATGGCCATAACTTTAGTTCATTACATCTTTATTTTTGAGATGCAGTAACAATTAGAGACATTTTATTAGTCGTCTAACTGTAGTTTACAAGTATATTTCGTGTAATTAAATCCATTCCGGTCATAAAATTTAGTTTGCGTTATTAGTTCTGCTCTAGAGAATAAAGTTGATATATGTAGCTCGGCGAATAAAATGACAGAATTTGCTCAGCCAGCATAGCATGACAACAACAGCATGTAATCTTCGGCATGCCGATCCGTTGTAAAATGTTTGAAAAAAATACCAACTCGTTATGTTCAATCTAAACAGTTCGACGTCAAGGTTAGCTTGGCAATGGCCAAGATGCATGATTTTAAAAAAATCAAAGATATTAACATCACTATTTTTCCTTCATAAGATTGCCCGACTCTCAAACAACGAAGGCTGTGCCGATAGAAATTATCCAAAATGCAAACATGAATGAGTTTGCTCAAAAAATTTGCTTTTGCCAACTCATTTAGTACTCATCCGCTGAGTGCAATGTAAACCTTATAAAATGAAGCAATAAATGACAGGAAATCCTGAAGATTACTCGAACCAAGGCAAATCCTCTTCCCATTCTCATGATCTCTTCATGCAAATAAACTTCCTGACAGCAACATTAAATTTAAACTAATCACGCAATTGTTCACCGATTTCTTTATAGCTCATCATTCATGAGCCGTTGGTATACAATGCAAATATATGATTTTGGTTCACTTTCAACTGCTTCGGAAAACAATAAGTCTCACAGTTTGTTAATAACCGGAGATAAAAATCATTATATTTGCATATATCTGCTTAGATAAGCGTCTAGTGAGTGCATTTATCTGCACATAATTACACACTTCCCGTCATGAGTGCAATGCATATGTAACAATTTAAATGGGCTTTGTTCTTTATCTACCAATATATGTTACGCACAGTTCAGAGTGCAAACCCATTGACATCCTTTGGAGCACATTCAATTCCTAAGTAGAGGAAAGCTCCGTTCGACAAGATAAAGATGAATCAACTTGGATGGCTTACGTCGGTTTGACAAGAATAACAATCAAACCCACGCCACTAAATGAAACCACTATCATTGCAGAGAGTCTACTAACCTTGATCAACAACAAGGAACGACATAATTGCAAATTATATTTCCGCTCCACTAGTTACGCTAAGACAAACCGTGTTCCTTTTTTGTAATTTGCTACATACTTTTCACAGGGTAGACCAATTGTCACACAGACTTATTAGTAGATGATTCCGTGACTATAATTATAACGAAACACATATTTATGCCTTGAAATTTTAACAAGAAGCATCCCGAAAACTTAATTTTCAGGCGACATCATTTTTATCACAGAGTTTTGTAGTCTTGATTCTCACCGAGTCTCGCATCTGCACAGTTATACAGGAGGTACATAAATTGTTAATAAAGATTTTAGCTATGTATACACATTTTGAAACAATAAAAATAAATATGTACATATGTATATCAGTATATGTATATATATAATTTGTTAAAAAACTTCTTTCGACATCACTGCATGCTCATAGCACTTAATACTCTGTGGACATTAGGCAATCAATAGTGCCAACGATATCATATCATTGGCAAAAACCGTATAAGAATATTTTGCATAACTTAACATTCAGAAGGCGTCATATGTATGTACATATATTTATACCTCTCATATTTCTGTTATTTAAAAGCAACTACAGTCAACAGTTTAATACTTCCGCTTTGTTATGCATATATTTACAAATTCTTAATTTATAGCACGTCTCCGACTTTTAAAATAGTCAGTAAAAATGTGTGTGTTAGTAAACAAACTGCTCTTATTTCTTTCTCGAGATATTTAGTGCCGACGCCAACCTACTAGCACTTCAAACTTTCATGTCTAACATTTTCCCATGTTCCATGTTTTAATTCTCGTTCACTTGATTTACCATTTTCTGTATGTCACCATGATTGAATACACTCTTTTGCTAAATGTATTGTGCTACAAACATACATATTTATTTTTATGAAATTCAAATATTTTTACTCCGACTCATGATTCGTACAACTCCATTTTTCAAGCTTCTAGGAATTATATAAGCAATCCGAGTGAATCATTTTCTCCAAACAAATACAATTAAACAAATATCCCTCAAATGATCTTGCGTCTCAACCCCATTGTTCGTCATAACCCAAATGGACGATTCCATTGTTGGCAGCAGCAGCATAGGCACTGCTCAATAGTTGCATGGCTGTAAAAACTAACTACATAAATAAATATAAATATTTGATGATGGTGGTGCTTTGCGGAGATTGGTACTGCCTGACACGAGAGCCAGTACGGCCAAGCTTTGTTGCCTTGTATGCCATAATACACACCTAATGTTTCTCATCACATTGGATTTGCAGCACCTGCACGAATCTCTCGTCAAGACCAACTCTCGTGTCTCCTAATAAATAAGATTCACAATTCTTCCAACACAAACCTGTCCGTTGCATGATGCGGTTCGTAAGTAAAAGCAGAGTCACACTATTTTTTCTTGATCTGCTTGCTCGACGCTTAATGCATAATTTTGGATGATGATGATGATGATACGACGATACATTCATATTACGTAGTACTTTTTTAAACAATCCACGTAGCTGCGAGGTAAAGCAGAATGTATACGGACAGCATCATTGTCAAGGATAATATTTGGATAGCAAGCAAGTAATCTTTCCCATATTTATCACGTAATTTCATCAATTTCTATCATTTTAATATTTGTCAGACAATATATGGCGTCTGATCGCAGGTATAAAAAAATCTATTAAAACATCGATTGATGAAATCTGTAATTTAATTCATCAGGAGAGCGAAGAAAAGGAAATGGATGGAGGAGAAGAGAAATCGGCTAGGATGACATGACAATGTTAAATAGCACTACACAATAAAATGGTCGTTGTATGCATGACCGGATAGGCAGGATTATTCTTGGTGGGCGATGTCTTGTTCATCATCACATTTACATTTATATTAATAACACAATCGCAATTTCTTTTGGATTAGTATTATGTAACGTGAATTAAAATTCATGCAATTAGTGCACAAGTTTATATGTATCCCACACAGACCAACTTCTAACATTTTATGCACTTCCGTTCCAATGGGTATCTGAATAATGCAGCATAAATAAAATTGCAGAAAGGTAGTGTTTCAAAGGAAACGTATGTATTTATCTATGAAGGTGGTTGGCTTGTCAGCTCACTATTCTGATCGTCATGAGAAATGATGTAGGATCTGGGATGCATGTAGGTGACGACGAGTGAGAACTTTTCTTAAATGTTTTGGTTGATAAATTTGTTGCGAGTCCTTTATTCTCAGCCAAAATAGGTCCTGTTGTTCTCCCATGTAATAAATAAGGACATGAAATTCAGTCTAATTTAGCAGGGTGGTAGCGTTTCTGCCTTTAAATATTCACATGCATACACCATAGTGAAGGGAATTCACATACTCATACGTACATATGTATGCATCTAGTAATATATGTAGCATAATGCAGGGTTGGCTTGTTGTTTAGTTCCTATTGTTGTGCATAATGCAATATCATATGCCGAAATGCCAATTTCGATTAAATGGCGTCAATTTGACTGAGAGAAAGTGGCAGGGTGGAAATTATGCTGCTGGGGTGTGTGCAGTGTGTGACTTGTTGAAATGGAAATAAAAGAAATGGCAAGTGTGGAGACATGTTGTGACAATATTACGAAAATGTCAAACCTCGAAATCGTTTCGTGTACAAGTCGTTGTTGCATGTCCAAATCCGGAAGACGCATTGAGTTTCAAAGTAAAATGATCCAAGTGACCATTGTGCTAATTCTGATTGGCTGCATTGTGTCAAAAAATGTATACGCTCCATTTCACATGATTCGCTTTGATACAGAGCCAATGTGTTGGTCGAAAGTTAGTTCTAAATTGATAATAAATGGTCACAACAGGAACTTGGCAATTTTGGCTTGTGAAGTGTGTTTGGCAAATAACTGTACGCAGTGAAATGCTAAATTACAAATCTTGATCTATATGAAGTGAACTTACCAAGAACATTTAAAACCTGTAGTTCACCATCAAATTATTGATTTATTGGGTTATTGGTTTGTGGGGATTTAAAATTGATGTTATACGCACTTTCTACATATAACCAATGAAAATTATGTGTATACATTGGATAATAAGCTAATACATAATATACGCAAATATTTCTAAGCATTGCCTGGGCATTGATGTGATTCAATGGAGGACTTTAATAATTAGAAAGTATTTAAAAATTTATATCATCATGTCAAAATAAAAGTTAGTTTATGAGTTTACGAACATATGTATGTACAGTTGCGTAGATCAATATAAAATCGAAGCAAGACAGCTCTTGAAATCATAGAAGTTAAACAAGGAATGTTTCATATGGATTAGTAGATGACAATAATTTATTTCTTGTGACATAATAAGCAAGCAGAAAAGCACGAAAGGCCTCGGCCGGAAGGAATTTGCAGTAATGGTGGTAGATAAAATCTGCACACAAAATTGCAGTGCATATTTTTTATCTAATAACTGGCTGCTGCAAGATAGCCAGTGTCGTGACTGATTTTTACAACTGCGTAGATAATTTGTAATTTTTATAAATGTGGTCTTCTCATGTTGTTGGTTAGATTATCGTAACAACGTTGATGAAATAAACTTATGATTTTCTGAATAACAGTCACAGTTTAACAACAGTCAATAGCAATATATTGAAAAATTGGCCCATTGTGAATTGAATATAAATCAAAGTTGACAGCGTGTGTAAAATTCCAAATTATTATTTTCTATAGTTCTTCTTGAAGTTGCTGGATGACTGATTACTAATTTTTGCATAAACAATATCCATTAGAATTTATTGTGCGTAGTGAGTTAATACATATGAATGTCATAACCATTATTTTTCGAGGTCTATCAACCAGCACAGACTTTACTTTAGTCAATGCTTACACGCATGACACCATGTATTCTGTTACATACTCCATCTTTACTAATCTTAAACACATATAATTTAATTATAATTCAAAAAAGTATACGACAATCATTACGTTGTATCACTAATTGCAACAAAGAAAAATCTGTCTGTAATGCGTGTGATGGTTTTATCAATCCCATTATACAGTGATTCTGAAGAGTTAAGAAATTGAGTACCAAATAGTTTCTCATTATTACGACCTAATTACGAAGTAGCAATTGATGATCCAGTCGAATTCTCAAAACAGGTTCCAGGCAATGCGTATCCAAATTTTATCGTACTGAGGACCATTCAGAGTGGACTTTAGACTTTAGATCAAAGTGTATGAAAAACTTGATGGTATCGTATATGCAGTGGAATAAGTAGGTACACATGCATGTCACTCATATGTGCAGGTGATAAAATCTGATCATGTTAACACAATCTAAAACCAGACTTTACACAAGCGGCCCACTTTATAAACTCAGTTTTTGGGGTTCGGTTTTATTTGGTGCAGTTGCTTTTTAAGTGGAACACTTGCTCGTGAACTTATGTTTACGAGAGTCATATTTCGGTGAAAGGAATGGTGAAAATATGTACGTATTGAAAACTTGACGTAGAGTCGCAAAACACGTCGAGTGTTTTTCTAGTGGTCATTGATGACGCTTGCCACCTTACAGTGGTAAGTTAATACCAGTCACATGCAAGGTCATCTTGCAGACATTACAACAAATGAATTGAACCTCTGTAACAAGTATGCAGCGCAATTTAAATTAAGACTATGGCATTATATGAAGGTTTTTTATAATGTAACAAGACCATCATTTTCATTGAATATTCAAAAATTGAAGATGATTGATTGATTCTATTGAAATTTAATTAACAAAAAAAATAAATGCCAATTGATTGGTTATTATCGAACGCTACCTGTGAGCAATAAGAACCTTGTATTTTAACATGGAAATGTTATGCCGTTTCTCCGTAATCAATGCGAGGCTTATCGTTAGAAGAAAAGTAAAACATATTTATAACTCACTTACCTTAACAAGATAAGCAATGTGACCACTTGTGAGTGCATCAGGAGCGTGAATCCAATTCTTTCCTAGAAAGACAAAATTTTTATGGTCACACTAGTGAATCTCACTTTTATAAAACCTGTGTATATAACCCTGACTCATGTTCGCTAGTCGTTGAGGGATTTATTTTATTGAAATTACATGGTTTCATCAAAATTTAACTGTAGTAATTACATTTTTGAAGGAATGCCTAAAAATATGTATCAATTAAGAATAAGTCGGGCTAAAAATAAATAAATTATAATTTTCATACAATGGCGGGGGTACCGCGTTTGGTTTTACTTATCAATAAATTGAATCGTACATATTTATGTATGTTTGCAGTTACAACTATAAACATTTGTTCTTCGACGTCTTAATGTATGCCCTAGTTGCATAATTTACATTTTGTCGGAAAGTTATCGTGTTACTCAATCCGTTCTTCACTGTTGAGTCTTTTTTGTAAGATAATCTATCGAAACGTTACAACGAATTGGACACCACAAATCGCTCATACATGCAACAATTAAGTATTACAAATTAACGCTAACTGCACAACTTTGGTGGCATTTAACCACAAGGAAGTTGGCAGTTTATATGTGCATCATGGTGTCGCTGGCCCAAGTAATCTCATTTTAACCGCTCTCATGTCAAGTTGCAAAACTATTAATATCAAAGCATGATGACAAAAAAATTATATATAATTGCACTATTCAATAATCCAAAATTGCCCTTTGAATTAATTCACAAAAGGCGATAATGTTTGCAAATTGGCAATTCATGAAAATACTGGAAACATAAATATCTACGTTCAACCATAATATTTGGCCTTACATAAAAATGGCATGCATTTTTTGTGGTTTTTAAGTAGCGTACTTAGGAGGGGAGCTTGCGAGGTTGATAATAACAGATCTTGATGCCCTTTGGATATGTGATAGGGTCTCATGAGTGTACTAAAACCCTGAAGTGGTTTGACTCCATGGCCACATTTGCGCCCGCCACACCCACTCAAAAATGCCCAAAAAACGCTTTCACTCGAGTTTTCACTCACTCAAATCCACGTCAAAAATCCAATTTTACTCGGATTTTGAAATTTCTTTCATCATTACACTCCCAGATAGTTGCTTTCTTCAATCCAATATCAAACCCAATTTTTTCGAAATTTTTAGTATTTTTAAAATTTGAAATTCTGAATGAGGATTGTTGTAGTAATCAACAACTCAAATTACGCCTGCGAAATAATCATCAGCAAAATTGAGTTTGATATGGAATTGAAGAAAGCAACTATCTGGGAGCGTAATGATGAAAGAAATTTCAAAATCCGAGTAAAATTGGATTTTTGACGTGGATTTGAGTGAGTGAAAACTCGAGTGAAAGCGTTTTTTGGGCATTTTTGAGTGGGTGTGGCGGGCGCAAATGTGGCCATGGAGTCAAACCACTTCAGGGTTTTAGTACACTCATGAGACCCTATCACATATCCAAAGGGCATCGAGATCTGTTATTATCAACCTCGCAAGCTCCCCTCCTTAGGAGGACAACCCTTCACCGACAGAATCACCGATCTTGATGCCCTTTGGATATGTTGTAGTCCTAGGTGAGTCTAGCAAAAGTGAAGAAGGATTTCATTCAATGGCCCCATTTGCGCCCGCCACACCCACTCAAATGTGCGAAAAACACGAAAAACACCGTTTTCGTTCATTCTAAAAATCACCAAAAATCCAATTTTGATCGGATTTTCATAATTTAAGCATTTTTGTGATCTTAGATAGTTGCTTTATCATATCCAACAGCAAACTCAATTTTTTTAATTTTTTGAGTATTTTCGAAAATTTCCTGACCAGGGGTATGCCTTCGAAAAAATCAAAATTTCAAAAAAATTGAGTTTGCTATTGGATATGATAAAGCAACTATCTAGGATCACAAAAACGCTTAAATTATGAAAATCCGATCAAAATTGGATTTTTGGTGATTTTTAGAATGAACGAAAACGGTGTTTTTCGTGTTTTTCGCACCTTTGAGTGGGTGTGGCGGGCGCAAATGGGGCCATTGAATGAAATCCTTCTTCACTTTTGCTAGACTCACCTAGGACTACAACATATCCAAAGGGCATCAAGATCGGTGATTCTGTCGGTGAAGGGTTGTCCTCCTTAGTTGGACGCGGTTGAAAAATGTTGAATTGTTGAAACGCAAGATGAAAGCTATTATGTTCATGTTCTTGCCGTTAGTAGACATGAAGTTAATCTTCTGTTATTCCACCCTCGCCTGCACAGTTATTTAATCTTGGGCTTCCTTTGTAAATAATGTACATAACTGCGCCAATTAGCAAGTGGTGAATTGCAGTTTTTATTTGCATATGTATGACCCTCTTGAAACTATAATTTGATTTGCTGTAAGTCCCATCAAAGATTTTATCGCTTTTATTTACTCTTCATAAACACCTGTCTATTTACGACTCATCCTTGGGAAGTATAATTTGCATATTAAATATTATGAAGGGATATTAGATTGCAAATATTCGGTATTTGATAAATACTTGTCCATCCATGTACATATAAAGTCTATATGCTCAGAGCCAGATGAATTATACTCACAAGTCTACTGTTTTTCCATTTAAACTTGGAACAACTTAGGAGGAGAGTACGCCAACCTGATAATGACAGATCTTGATGTCCTTTGGATATATGGTAGTACCCCCTCTGAAAGCAAAAAGTGTGAAGCGGTTTGATGCCATGGCCCAATTTACGCCCGTCACACCCCTTTGAAGGCGCGCCCGATGCCAAACTAGCTGCACTAAAAAATTCGCCAAAAATCCAATTTTGTTCGGATTTTCATAATAGTTACATATTTATGATCCCACATAGTTGCTTTATCATATCAGATATCAATCTGAATTTTTTTGGAATTTTGAATTTTTTCAAGCCATGCCCTTTTCAGGAAATATTCGAAAATATTGAAAATTTCTGAAAAGTTAATTTTGCAACTGAATATGATAAAGGGATCACAAATACATAATTATTATGAAAATCCGAACAAAATTGGATTTTTGGCGAATTTTTTAGTGCAGCTAGTTTGGCATCGGGCGCGCCTTCAAAGGGGTGTGACGGGCGTAAATTGGGCCATGGCATCAAACCGCTTCACACTTTTTGCTTTCAGAGGGGGTACTACCATATATCCAAAGGACATCAAGATCTGTCATTATCAGGTTGGCGTACTCTCCTCCTTAGCTTGTTATAAATATACGCAAACAAAGTTGACATTAATAAAATCTGGCAACTGCTTTACCAATGTGTCTAGAATAGAAATCAACTCTACACTACTATCCTAGCCGTTTTATACACCGTGCACATGTATGCAGTCTATATTTGACAGGACTTCATATTTCCTAATAATATCTGGATCGTGTCTAACCAAAATGGACGTCGTTAAGAAGACGGAAGCCATTTTTTGCACAATCTTCACGGCTATGCTTTATTGTAATCAGAGAATAAATACGCACATGCACGAACAAAATTGCTAATAAAACCAGGTCAAAAGTTAAAAGCGTGGTTCTGTTACGTACTGCAACTTGGCAAAATAATACAAATAATTGTACCATGAGTTGACGAAATGAAATTATACATGAAATTGTGTCTTTATGACATTTCTAAGAGTGTAGTTATGTATGTAGGTGATACATATTCTAAATAAAAAGCTTGGACTTGACCTTCATTTTCGAATTGTAAGTGAATATAATTTATATTGTGCATTGTGATTCAGGTTCGAAAGTTAAATGACTCCAGTAAATTTATTGTCACTATGAATCATTGTTTGGATTTGAAATTTGAAATCAAAACTGCTAAGAAGAAATGATGCATCGCTTACATATCACAATAATATGTACACATACAAACATGTAAACATATTATATATTTAAACAATAAATGCGAAAGTTTAAAGCGTACGTATGTGCATTTCATATCAAATTGAAACTTCCGTAAAATATATCTCTCATAAAGTTGCATCTGCATTAATTTGCACAGAACAACTTAACCAAGTAGTGAATTTGCATACCGTTGTTGACTCCACTCTTGTTCTTGTGGAGAGACCATTTGTTGAGCAGCCCATTGTTCTTCATCATTACGGAAGTAACAGACGCACGCAGTAATAGTAAGATACGAGCACACTTCAAATGAAAACACAGCTAATGCAGCAAGAAATTAAATGAAGTTGACTAACACACAGGCCGAGAGGACGTTAAATGTGAACGGAAGAACTTTAAACATTTAACTTTTTAAATAGCTTCACGTAAATATTTCTCTTATTTAGTTCAGCCTGCACGTCATCTGGCTTTGCTTATAATGTTCCTGGTTTATCTCTTATTTTATTCACGGTTTTGGCAGACCCATGAAATTACGGGTCAAACGCAGTCGCTTACTTTTTACCCCTCCCAAACACGATTAATCAAAGTCTCGATTATCGAGTAAAGTATGACCTTATCCTGATTTTTTAATTTAAAAAAACTAAAAAACCACACCGATGATCTTATGAAGTACAACTAAAGTGATTAAGAAAACGAGTCAACTCGACAGTGAAGGCTGTACCAGAGAGAGGAGGACTACTGCTGAAACTGCCGAGGAGGACTGACTGCGAATAATGAAGCAACTCTACCGTTCCATTGTCATCATCCCTTCTGCATTCATCGTCACTCTGTATTTTCAACTATCGTTGGTTTGTTGCATTACTTTTCATTTTACAACCCACTCGTATAAGCCAAAAGCGTATAAAATCCTGCGCTTGTTTTATTATGCATTGAGTTGTATTGTTACGTACGATGTTTTGTTTTCTACCTCCCATTACACACTTAGATATTTTATACTCGTGTTGTAAGCTCCTCATCATCCCTTCTGTCTGTTTCATGTGCTCACCTTTTAGTAACCAAAGCCTTTCTGTTTCCGTATAAGCAGCAGACTGAATGACATGACCAACAATAATGCATTGCATCAGGTGAACCCAATATTCCCATTAACAAACACCTTTACATACACCCACCCCCGTGAAATTTCTCCCACCTCGCAACCACTCTCAAGATGTGAATATCAACCAAGAAACCTGAACGAAAATAAAGGATTTCAGTATTCACGACTTGTGGCCTCTTTAAAATCACAAGTTAAGAGAAGCACGTAGGTATAACAATCCCTTCATATGCATACCTGTTGAGGGTTGAGCGAGTTTGTGCCATGAGAATTATATACGTACATCCAGGTGTACAAAGGCTTGAGAACAAAGGCTGGAACTGGACGTATGCAGGTATAAATCAGCAACAAAGAGCAAATGCTTTCAGGTGCACCCACCATCAAATTTCTTAGATAACAACTTTCAAACTGAATTTTATTTATTTGCAAAATGCGGAGTGACACCGTAAATGCGAGTAAATTTTCATTAGCATTATCTACTTTAATCTTCGCCCAGCTTCTGGATCCCTCAAATATTCTTGACTAGATGGACCACCGCAGCAGGAAGAGAAAGCAGTGTCTCCCTTTCCAAAATTTTCTCCGTCTTGCAAGGACTGGGGCATTTCTTTGTGCAGCGTTTCTGGAAGGAAGAGTCCTGTAAATGCAGCAACAACAGCCACACCTCCAAACACGAGAGTGGGAATTGATTTATCCAGCGAGTCCTGAGTTAATTTAAAAAAATTCACGTGTCAGGAGTTATAAGTTGGATTGATCATGTTAAAATCTTCAAGATAATCCATACCAATAGAGTAATTTGTGGAGTTAACATTCCTCCCATTCTTGCAGACATGGAACACAAGCCAACCGCAGAATTCCTAACGAACAGTTATGATTTGAATAATATTATGTATAAAAATTTGTATAACAGATTAATGTACGTATGTATGTACCCTTACCTAACGACCGTCGGAAACAGTTCGGCTATGTAAAAAAATATGCGTAGTAAATAATTTGCAAACTACAAGTTTGAAATGTTTCATGTACATAAACATATTACAAAACTAAAGGCTTCGCTTACCCGTGTAGTTGTAAATCACCTATAAATTAATTATCCATTAATTATGCATAAATCAAACAATAATAAATAATTATTGTTAAACCCTTACAGCAAAACAGCCTGCCATTGCAATTTTTGCTGAAAATTAGATTTTACATTAAATTACATTAAGGCCGATTTATAACTGTTGAAGTAGATCACCGTGAAGATCTGAGTTTTAATGATGGATAAATTACACTAAATGTAACTAGCCATACCTAACATTGCGATAGTTGTCACAACCAACCCTGAATTTAACAAAAGAGTTTCATTTAAGGTTCCGTACTTTTGATAATTAAAAACCTTATTGATTATGAAACCTCTTGGAATGAAAGTAGTAACGATGCACGCCACTCCTCCAATAAACAGGAAAAACGCATTCAGAGGCCTTCTTCCCGTCTTGTCGACGATTAAAATGACGAGAAGATGACCAGGAAGATCAGCTAACCTATTTTTTAATTACAATTTAATTTTATCTATTCGATGGACAGAATACAATTTCACTAAATATTTACTACGTATTACTTACCCGGATAGAAAGAAAACCAAGTACGGGTTTCCTGGAAGTCCTCCCGTATTAAAAGCAAGACCGTAGAAGCAGAGGGCAATTGAGAACCTGAGACATGAATAAATGAGATAGAAAATTTTATGAAATGATGCATACTACTTCTTGTTGTAGTCACTTGTTATTCACGAAATAATTAATCATTAAAAGTAACTCACCATTGGAACGCTGTGTTAATGGCTCTGAATCGGAGATTAGGAGTTCGGAACAGATCTGACAAACCGTACGATTCTGAAACTGTGTTCACGGCTTTCAGTGCAACCACTGAATATTTTCTTTCGTCCACATTGTTAAACGTCTTTCCGTTGATACGGGTTGCTTTCCGAGCAATCGCCACCGCTTCCTTTATGAGCCCTTTTTAGACCATCCCATTTATTATTGAAATATTACCAACGTTATGAAGCATTACTTACCTTGACTCCATAGCCATCGAATGGACTCATCAATGAACCTAATTTATTCGACAAAGAAATTTAAAATAAAAACCTGACAAGTGTGCATCAGGCCCTGCCTCATAATCTGGGCAAACCATGTTTGATTAGACCGTTAGATCTTATAAAACCCTTTATAAAAATGAGTTCGGTTGACAGAATTGTGTGCGTGAGTGAAAGCATCTATCATCTTAAAAAACTCTTTTTACATAATTACTCTCATAACCTAATTACTTTTGTGCAATATTAATTTTATACTAATCGAGTTTATGTCAAAAGAAGGCATATCATTTATGTACGAATTAGTGTAAATGAGTGTTAATTAAATTACCAAAAGTGTCCGAAGAGCATGAGGGCGTGGAGAGCGAAAACGGTTTGGAGCATCGTTACATCTCGGATTAGATAACTCCACAAGGCCACGAAACAGACGCCAGTTGCAAATGAAGCGCTAAATGCCGTCCCACAATACGTCCGCCTCTTTTTGTCAATTAGCTCCATTGCTGTGAAAAAATTTCATTGGATTTCATTACCAATCTGCTAATTAGCTGTTTGCCAGAAATTTAAATTCTTGGCATCTCCAATTACACCGATGTGATAATGAGGCTTACACAGAACAAACCCTGTCACGTACGCCCCTCCTGTGCCATGAAATTAAACAAATACATGAATGTGAGATATGCACTGAATTCGCTCAGTCAGTTAAATGTATCAAATTATTCGATGAGATATTTTCATGCATAAATAAATATTCGTGATTGAACATAAGAAATAATTTGGCGATGGGCTAACCTGATCCAAATACGCCATAGAAGAACAGACTGATGCTGTACATTATGTAATTGGTGATATAGGGCCCCATGATGGCAAATGCGAACTGTAGGATTGCACAAAAGCACAGAATCCTCTTACGTCCAAATCTAAATATTAAACACCATTAATTCATTAAAATCTTTGCTGCGATAAATTTAATTTTACGAATATTTCATACCTATCGGCAAGAGAGCCAAAGATTAAAGCTCCGTTAAACACCCCAAACACATAAATCGATTGGATAAACGCTCTCATCCACTTTCGTTCGCATACCATATCCCACTAAAAATTCAAAAGTTGGAGGACTATGATTACATTTAAACGTATTATGGGCAGGGCAAATAATCTAACGAAACAATAATAATAAATATAATTACTGCATAATTAATTTTATACCTCATAGACTCGAGATTGTCCATAAAACGACGTGTCGTAAACGAATTTGCCATCGCATGTCAAGATTGTCAAGTTCTCTTCAGGAGTCGGGAACCGTTTACAAGAGTCCAAGTCACCATTTAGTTTCAGAGGCATGTAATGGGCGAGAATGTCTTTATCAAAAACAGGAGCTCCAGAGTGATTGAGATCTAGTTGTTCAATGTAACATCTAGAAAGAGAAAGTATAATAACGCTAGACGATTTCTTTAATTCTAAAAGTATGTATGTATTAACAATGAACAAGGTAAATATTCGTACCGATGAGGTGGCGTGGGTGCAACAAAGGTCAAGGACAACATATGCATACCAGCCAAAAATGCTGTCAGCAAATGCAAAAGGTGCTGCCTTAACTGGTATTTTCCAAAAGACCCTAAAAATAGTAATTTAATTAAATTGCTTGTTAGATAGCAATGGCTTATACGGAAAACCTAATGATAAAGTTTTTACCAAGCTGGGCCATGAGATCTTCGAGAAGAGGATCAGTATGCATCTTGACTAGCTGTAGGTTGGTCAAAGTACTATTTTATTTTATACAAAAACTAGGTTTTGATGGATGGAGTATATGCAACACCTCCCTCCTCCAAGATGTCAGGGTGAGTGGACAAGATTCAGGGTGGAAAGTATAGTTTTATTCGACAGGATGAGGACCGAAACCATTAGAGTGTATTATAGTGTGGTAATTTGAGCTAGTAATTAACGTCTCGTTGAGCCCACGGTTGAACTGGATGAAGGAATAATACTAAAATTGTAAGGCGAACTTTGATGAGACTTTTTAACCTGCGAATGTCCTCGCCGTATTTAGAAGCTTGACTTGCCTTGCCCAACACACGAGTACTGACCATCACATTTACTTAATTATGGAAGCGTGGCCTAGGACGAACGGAAAAGGGATGGAACTTATTGGTTTATTCATGTTGTAAAAATCTTTATCCATTGTCATTCTGATTCCTGCTATAAAATCCATCCGTCATGCGGCCATAAAATTGGATGATATTCGATCATTTGTCACATGCAGCCAATTGTCTCGTATGCAAAATATTCTGTATCATGATTACGATGACAAAACACGGAATGGGTGTGGATAAGTTACGGTCCAGATTTAACTGGTTTTTAATTTTAGCCTATAAAATAGGTAGTTTGCACATGTTATATCCTACATCTTATGTAAGCCAATAAAGTTTCGATCACTCTGTTATGCAAAACCGTGGGGTCTCTGATTTTCTTCCCGATAAGGAAAACAACTGGCACAAATTATGCTTCGGTTACTAAATTGTAAATTTAGCATGTGGTAATTGCACGTTGCAACACCTTCTAAAATTATCTCCAATTATTATTCTGTCTTAAAATGAAAAGTGAAGCACCTCGTCCAATCCGTCGAGAATTGGGTGCTAATTGCCGACATCACGCCACACGCGGTTCATCCTTTTTATTTTTCGAATTTTGATCAAAATTTGGTTACATAAGCAGGAGGCGTCGTTTAGCCTTCAATTACGTCACGTATATCGTATGTAATGTCTGTATGTCTATGCAATTATGCTGGGAAGATGAAAATGAGTTTATGACATTGAAAATGATGCCGGAATGTGACACATCTTTCTCAGCTATACAATGAATGACCATCACTTAAAAACTAGGACAGCGACAATTTCGACGACACGGCACAAATTCTTCAGCGTCAGAGCTGCACATCAGCTTCAACACAGCGTTCGTCTCATGGAGAGCTGTAAAGAGAAGACCGGGGACACAAATTACGGCGGCTGTCTGGTTTTCTCACCAACAACAATCCAACCTGATTGCATTGCAGTGCAGCTAACTTATTTTGTAATTTGAGTTATTATTCTGAAGATCAAAATTCATAGTTGTCGAGATTAAAAATAGTTTGGTGTACTTGACATTTTACTGGTTGACTGATTGGATTGAGAAAAATGGAGAACACGGAGAGGATTCGGAAAGTGATTTCATCGCTTTTCAAATTGAATGGACTTCAAATTCGCAGGTAAACCAATCCCCTGCTTTCATATAACATAAATAATTTGACCATTGGAAGTGATGTATCGCATCGATTATTAAATGTTGAATATTTTGTTAATTAGTGATGCAACAAGTTACCTGGTTGGAATTTTGGCACCCCTTCCAGGGCTAGAACCTGAACAATGGGCGGAGCGCATTGTCGACAGAATTTTAAAAGTAAAGCTCAAAACTCCACTGGTCGACAAGGCCATTGTAGAAACTGCTGTGAAGGTAAGGAATTTAAACTATTGGCTTATTGAGCCGCAGCCTGATTCATGGACGATATAATTTTTTGATCTCTTTGTATTCATATTTTCATGCCAGGAATGTGGGAAAGGGACTGATGAAGGACAAGAGGAACTCATTACTCTCATTTCGTCATTCGATGTGCCCAGGTACTCGTACAATGCGGATAAAAAGAAGTTCCTCCCGGTCACAGAGCCTAACGTACTGATGGCTGGTGCCACACATAAGGCTTTAATTTACAGAAATCGGTCAGTCAAAGTGTTTTAAGCCCAACTTGTATCAATCACTCGTAAATTGTTAAATACATCTGGTGGATTAACAATGTTGTGAACACTTTCAGATATTCTATTCTTCTTCAACGAACATACCATCACGAGCTTTTCAGCCCCATTATCAGAGGAGGCGAGTGGGATGATGCCCGAAAAAAATTTCAACTTCGCCCTATAGAGTTTCTTGCGGGATCGAATACGAAGGTCGTGGACGTTGTTGTACTAGGAATGATTAGTCAACTGAAGGAGGGGAAATATTTTATTGAAGACAACACTGGGAGTATGGAACTGGATCTTTCCGAAACAAAATTTCATACGGGCCTATACACAGAAAATTGTTTCGTGCTAGCTGAGGGTATGTATGATGAAGGGATTTTTCATATAAAAGCTATGGGACTCCCTCCTCCGGAAACGGCTTTGGTTACAAAGTAAGAATATTGACCAAGAATTATTATTATTAATATGAGAATTACAAGGTATGCATACTGACATCACTATATGGTTTTATTAATCCTATCGTAATAGAAGTTATCATGGGAGCGTTAATTTTTTTGGTGGTAACCCAAATGTAATAAGTAAAGAACGCCTACGATTAATAGACAAGCAGAACGAAGGGGCCATGTTTGTTATCCTGTCTGACGTTCATCTGGATAAAATTTCGGTAATATTGATTGCCCATTCTAGACAATTATTACGACTTTTTATGTTGAAACTCAAACAAGCAAAATTAATCATGTACGTCGCCTATTGCAGGTTTTGGAAAAATTAAGAATACTCTTACATGGATATTCAGAAGCTCCACCTGTTTTATTTATTATAATGGGAAACTTTTTATCTGAACCTCATGGGGTTCAAAGTGCCGTTGCACTAAAAGACTGCTTCAAGACCTTGGCTGACATAATTGCTGAATTTCCGCCATTAGTGCTCAACTCCAAGTTTATTATTGTACCTGGTCCAACAGATCCTGGATTTGTCAACATTCTGCCAAGGTTGGTCAAATGTGTTTTTATTAATAAATTTATTACTCCATTCCATCCCAATTTAGCCTAGTGGCCCAAGGATATATATATGTAGTGTAATGTAGTAAGTAATTATTTGACTCGGCAAAAGTTGGCTTTTGGCAACGTCATATTCGTCGTAAACGCGTTCCATTTTATTAGGAAAGTTTCAATTTTATAGAGTTAAATTTTATGATCTTGTGTTTTATGTACGTCTAGATTTGAAAGTTTTTGGTGTATTTTCATTTCAGACCACCGTTTGCTGACTGTATCACGCTGTACTTCCGTGAGAAGATTCCAAATTCAGTTTTTGCATCAAACCCTTTTAGGATAAGATATTGCACTAAAAATATCGTCATATTTAGGGAAGATATTCTCACAAAGCTCTGCCGCAACTCAATATATTTCCCGTCATCTGGCGATATACCAAAAGAAGTATGTTTCGTTTTAGTGACGCAAGTCTCGTGCCATTAAATTTGATGCTTGATTTCCCTACTACATGTGCTTGTACATTAATATATCAATAATATTTTGCCCAAATTTTCAGTTTGTCTCAACTGTTGTTGGCCAAGCTCATCTGTGTCCACTTCCACTGCACATATGCCCTGTGTATTGGAGCTTTGATCATGCCTTATCACTATATCCACTCCCTGATCTAGTTATAATTGGGGATAAAGCCGATCCATTCACAGAGACCAACACGGGTTGCATATTTACTAATCCAGTATGTTTTCACACACATGATTCTTCAGTGTTCATTTGTCACGTAGTATGAGTGTCATAATTTATTTCCTTCCTTTTAGGGTTCCTTTCTGAAAACGGATTACTCTTTCAAAGTTTACACTCCGTTTGAGAATAAAGTTGAAGACTGTCAACTCCCATCAGACTGACGACCTAGTTATATTATTACGTTTTACAGTTTATATCATAAATATTACCCAACATCGTACCTTGAAAAATTATTTCCTGCAATTGATTTGTTTGGAATTTATTTGAGTGTTTACGACCTTCCATGTGATTGTGAATATGTTGGTGTTAACCGCTGATTGATTGCGGTTATTTTACCAGAATGCTCGGTGCAAAGAAAGTGCTATCTATTGAGAGGTTACATCGGAAGTGAAAATGAGTGAACATTCCCAAGCACTGGTATAAATTGAAATTGTACATTTCCATTTGCACTGACCTACTAGCTGTACTTAATTGCGATAACCAAGTCAAGCTCTGTAAGTAACCTATGATGACATTTTTATTGATTTAAATATTTGTCTGTTTTCCTCACATGCACATGATGTGTGCACATAGGGTCTACATATTATAGTGGATTAGTTTTAACTCCTACACACAGTGAGTACACTTTTTTCAATAAACATGTTAGGTACATATAACTAAAGTTGTTATATTGCATAACAGAAGATCAATTAAAATCAAGAATCTGCTTTCACCATTACTTAATTTTGTTTTCACACTTATTTCCATTTTTATGTAACAGCCATCAAGTCGGTAACTTGTTCGATTTTTCCAGCTGCGTCCTTTCTACATAGTTGAGGATGAAACAATTGGAAATTTTAGGTCATCCATTTCACTCTACGTATTCCATTGATTTGCCATTCCCGTTATTAATCCCATAAAACCATGCCCAATTACCACAAATACTAGGCTGGCAGTTCCCATCAAGCCGATGCAATTTTGGGGTCGTCGTTGGGTCGTAGCGAGATTACCAACAAGTTTCCAACTCCTTAGCACTCCTTTATACTACACGTTTTGAGGAAAGCAAAGTAAAAGCATGTTGAAACCACACGTCGTTATCCATCCGTGAATCCGGGTTCATAAAATCCAATATTTGTGGCTATGTGACCGTTGTATTTATGTCTACAGAATTTCTATCGGATGACATGCCAGCAGAAGACTATGTGACACAGGTGTGGTTTTCGGTATTCAAAGTGCAGAAATTGAGCAGGTTTTACAGATTATAATGTAAAATAGAATGGAATTTGGTGCTTGATACATAATGTTGCAAGGAAGTCAATATTTAGGTATGCCATACTGATTGAGATGCTGCCCTGCTCTCTGGCGAAAGTGAATGCGGATCCAATGCAAATTAAATCCCTGATGAATTTAAGCATGCAACTGAACTGATGAACTCGAGTCAAATTTCCACAAATTCCAAATTCACCCTGGGAATACTACTATTCACTTCATAAAACATGAACTTAATATTCTTATCACTCGATTTTCAATTTGAGCTTAAATGCAGTTAGACTGACAAATTGAAATGTACGAATAATTATGTAACGAGTGCAGGTTGCTACTAAATCATTCATGTAAAATCTCTTTATGTGAGTTAATAAGGATATTGAATTATTGACAGCATAAGACGAGGTGAAATAAGTGGAATCCCATTATACAGTCCAAACATAAATATTGACAAACTCGAGTCACCACCACAAACCTCTAATCAATAGCAAGTATTGGATCACAAAATCGCTGCAGAATCCAGAGCAGGACTTCATTCGGGTGCATGCATATTAAAACTCCCAAGTGACGTGTATAAACACACATCCTGCTAGCGTACGATGTTCCTTATTGAGGTAGGAAGAGGATATAATAAAACAGTCGTCAATTTTTATGGCCATAATTTTGTGGGTAAAAGTTTTCTCTTTAATGCCAAGGTTAGCAACCTTGGCAAGCTTTCTAAATGCGGATCTACGGACCAAGGGAGACTGTGGGTATAGTTTATGTTAGTAGTTAGCTTCATGGATGTGCATATGCCCATGCGTCTAATAATTGGGAAGTCTGCTTGAAAATCATTTTTTACCTAAATCTGAAAACGCAAGGTGTGCCGAATTTTGCTTTCACAAAGGAAAAGATCATACGCGTTACTTATTTATGCTTTCTACAAACAAGGCCTGGTGGGGTCAGTTCTATTGAACATTCGAAATCACCGAAATGGTTGTTTTCTCAAACTCTTTCTATTAAGCTAACTGCAATTGTGCATATTTAGTGAACAAACATGAGTTCGGGTTTATATTAGACAATGCACTTTTATATTTCCATACACTCAAAATAGGCTCGAAATTTGGGAGCATAAAGTAGCTCGGTTAAAATTTAATGAAAGCTAGACAACTTTCTCACCTTGATGCAAAATAATGCCGTAGAAATTGCAAACCATGCCTCGGAGCAGCAGCAAGTTATTGATATTTGCACCCAATGTTGTATACACACGGTTGTCAGCCAGTCCTTAATATGACACTGAAATTGGCACCGAAAACACGTCATGCATGCGAACATTTCTACGCCATGTTCATTCGATATTGTCTCCTCCTTAAAATTAGGTTTCAAGCTGAAATACACCTACAACAAATTTCCTTGACGGAACTGGTGTGAGATGCATGGAGCACGACCACCTTGTCTGACACAGCACATTTTTCACTGGTTTTTGAAGGACCAAAACTCGAGACATCGTGTTTCTCTAGTTTTAGCTTAAAGCGACTATTTATTCTCATGGGAAGTGCGTCTCCGTGACTAGAATTTGCTCCAGTTTCTACTATTATGTATTTCTGTCTATACTGGCTGATTTGTTGAGTGCTGTGCAGCACGAGTCAAGTGTAGCATTAACTACGAATTGAGTGAGTAGTTTCCTGAGACACAAAATAATTGGCCGTGAAAGTCTGGGAACAAGATTACGGATCGATGCAATGACATTCAAATTTACATGAAACGTGAGCAAATCATTCATAACATTGGCAAAAGCAAATGAAAATGAAAATCTCACGGATTGGCATAATGTGATTCTCGACATGTGGCATGATGGTAATATACACAGGTTAAAGGGATATTACGTAGTAAATCTCAATAATCTTATATTCGTGGATAGTTTAGTTCAACCAGCAATCAATAAACCTCCACCATGACCTAAGCCCTAAGGAGAAAGTTAGGTAGTCGAGTTATCAGTGCTATGCTGAATAGTTTACAGCCAGACCCGTCATTTCAGTCATCAGTACAAGCATAAAACCGCTATATGTACAAGCAAGCAGATTGCATTTCAGTTGAGTAATCACTATTTGGGCTATATCAAGATCACGAACTCGTATTTTCTCCAATTTAGAGATACCTCAAGTAATAAAAATGTCTCAAATTCATAGGCCACGAACCTTGAGCATGCAGTCCGGCTGAGGATGGGTTAAGTTGGCTATTCAAGGAAACCCTACAAGTCATAAATAGAAAGTCGAGAAGATTTGACAGTAATTTATTTGAGCCCCCTCACCCTTCCAGTTTTATGCAAAAGACATACGCTCATGGGATTCGGATATATTTATGCTTAGGATTCGTTAAATTGATATATTCATTTGCCTTGGACTTATGTAATTTAATTAAACAAATTTCAAAGGGTTATTTCGTTGAAGTGTTTGTCTTAACCGGGGAAAGTTGGTTAAGATGCATCTTCACCGCAAAAACACCAACGCTTGCATATGTACCTACATACTCATTTCTCGTTGAGGAAATACATTCAAATTCCTCGTTTATGTAGGAGTGTTACATAACTTAAAATATGCACGGTTATATGAGACGGAAGCATACAAAATGAAATTAATGAAATACATTATGTACATTGAAGTCCTCAAATTAAAATGGAATTAAATGCTGAATTAAATCTGGAATTGGGAGAAAGTTCTCATATTGCACTTTGAACATAGTTTACCTCAGGTATGCGTGATGTGATATTCAAAGGTTATAAAATGTTGATCACTCTAAACCAACAAAGTTTCGCTTTACACTTTCGTCGTACCAGGAAACACGTGCGCATATTATCATAAGTATTCACGAAAATCCAAACTTGTGTAATTTATTTATGTAATTTGAGACGAGTATTTTATTGCTGACGCAAAAATACGTCCCACACGTTAAGAAGCCTTGGAGGGATTTTATTTTATTATTGAAATTGTAACAAAACTTTTGTATTTATTCACAAAAATCATATTCTTCCGGTACGCCTTCCATATTTGAATGTTATAAAGTGTTTATCCAAAATACTCCGGGAGGGTTGAAAAATGTATTTTTAAGTGTTTTGTATCACAAATAATTGCACACGTGCGTATGTAACTACGAGTAAACAAGTTTGTATTCAAGTAAAATTAACATTTTCGTCAATGCTTTTTTGTAACACTAACTTAATTAAGTCATCAAAAATGGTTATCACACATTAATTCTCACATTTGAGACAAGAATTGTACAGCAGTAATACCATCATCACAAACCCACGAGTAATATTCATGTGACTGATGTCATACCCAGATATGGTATTTGACAAATTGATCGTGTTCACCAAGGATAAAATCCACATACCTTTTTATTTTAATGATTAATTTGCCTAATTAATCAACTCACGTAATTAGCCAAAGTAGTATGCAACATGGTACAGAGACGCCTTTGAACTCATTATTTTCAATGGATGTTGATGACTGAACTGGAGGACAGGTTTTCTGTTTGACAGATTTACCTGACTGAATGGCGTATGTAAATAGTCGACACAGGTTTTGGGCTATTTTCGAACTTGTGCCAGAAGGGAAGTTTTATGAAATCAAAGTATGTATGCACATCGAAACGTTACGTAGAGCATAATTTGTTTGTTTGCACATATTGCACACGTAAGTATCTGGGAAATACGGATATAAAAATTCATTTTCATTATCAACCAAGGCATAAAAGATAACGCAGGAAAAATATATATGTAGAATAGCAATAGACTGTAATTATAGTGTCTCACTATAAAAAATCAGTTGATGTAGAAAAATGCAAATAAATCATGATTAATTTTGTATAAATAATCCTGGAGAATGAAAAATAGAAACAACTTAGCGATTGTTCGCATCTCTCTTTCTCTCTAAGCATAACATTTGAAAAGGATTATCAAATATTATTTTCATTGCAATTACATATGCCTACATAATTAATATATGTGCTAATTAATACAAATGAATAAAAGTTTGACTGATTAGTGTATGTACTTTGACCTTGGAAATCTGCAGATACATTTACCCATAATTACAGTATATATTCCCCTTTATGTAATTTTCACCTTTACATAAAGCTTTAACTCGATTATTGTCCAGTTATTTTTACATCAGTCAGTCATATGTACACATTAAATGTATGCATGCATAGGGTTACCTGCCTATTGTCAGTTCAGTCTGTTGTTTCGTAACACTCATAAATTTGAAATTACTTAAAACTGTACTGTATCGAGTTGACACTCCGAACAAAATTCTGATTACGGCATAAACTATGCAAAAGGTGCCATAATCAGGACTTGGTTGGAAATCAGTTATGCAACTTCTTTTATGTTGGTGCGAATCTCTATGATTTACAGCTTAGCATATTTATATTTAGATTGGAGAGTTCGATATTCTAATTTCAGGCGACTACGGACTAGGTCTTCTTCCAGAAACT